TCTGCGTGACGAGTGTGCAGTGTGCCGGGATGGGGAGACTGGATACGTCCGCTTACTAGTGCCCCCTAATGATCCCAGACAACCACCATCACCAAAAATCCCCGTTTTTTTCTTTGTCGCCGTGCTCTCCTGCTTTGCAAGAGAAAGTGGATTCTTCTACGTCTACTCCTCGGGCATTACGTGTGAGAACTGTACTGGACGATTTTGACGAGCCACAACGAACCTTCTGTTCTCTGGTTCAATGTGAGTGTGTATGTGTAAAAACTGTAATGATGATGGAAAAAAGAGAAAGAGTGTTACTGAGACTTAGCCTACCTCGATCAGTACGTGTGTGTGGCTGTGGTTCCCTCTCTCCCTTACCACCAGTATATCTACGTCGATTTGAAATTTAGAAGTGAGTACTCAAATATATATAAATTCCTTACTTGTATTTAAGTGCAAGTGGGTACTCGTAGCATTAAATTAAAATTAAAATTATATTCTTCATTCTGTTTCGTAGCATTGTTTTAATTGAGTTCTTGTAGCAGTTCCAGTATAGATACAGAGGGTCGCCGAGCGGCATTCTAATCCTCCGCAATTTTTACAATGACATATATAAGTATTTTCATTTTCTATCTTCAGCAGTAAATCTCAGTGAAGAAGCGGAGCAGGTCATTCACATGGAGGCTAAACCTCCCAAATTTTCGGAGTACACAGTACGCATCTGAGCGTTCTAGTTTTTGTGCTGCTTGCATTTTCTGTGTAGTTGTATTCTGGTTGTGCTGTGTTTTAAAATCGGATCATAGTATGCACTCTTGTTCCGCGTTACCTTATTCCACCTGTATTCCGTTCTATCAACATGATGACTTTTTCTTCACCTACTTCCACTACCATTTCCTCCACCAGTGAAAAAGTGACTATTTTTTTCTGATCATTTAAGTTTTTAAGATCCACCTCTACCAGATTTTTTTTACTGTTCATACTTATTGATTTTGATGCAGAAGGTCAAGCTCAAGGACACGCCCGGCCAGTGGACAACTACAATATTTCCATCCCGTGAACAACAACTACAATTGCTTGGTAAGTGTGACATTTCCGCTTGAACTAAACAACCCCCCACCTGTTTGCAAATGCATTGAGTTATAAGGTGACCCACACGACTTGCGTCCCCTCGCACTAGGCGACACCTCCCGAACGGGTAAATGAATGAAAACGAAGCCCGTGCTTCTGCTTTTTCCCCAGGTAGCTTAGTTTCTATCTTTCCATATGGGTTTCTGTACACGAGCTGGTAGAAGCGAAGGAGCAGACACAGTTTTACAAACGATGTAACGTGGCTTTTTTGAAAGTCTTCATTCACCATGCTGGCACCCATCAGCCTGAGATGCTCGCACGCGGTGACGTCACTCACCGTGTGGAAGGGGCCTAAACATACCGAGAGCTTGTTGTACTAGGATGTATGCCCTCTGACCAGGAGTAGCTGATATTCAACCATGCAAGCATATAAGCACTTCTAGGTCCTGGAGTCGCAAGTAGGGGAAGGAAGGAACTGCTCGTGTCAGGTCAAGCACAAAGAGAACTCCAGCAACTTTTGCTGGGTTGAAGACGCTGGAAAATGGTGGTGCACAGCAAGCTGTCCTGAGTCGTTTGGGCAATCCAATGCCTCTATGACTGAACTGCAAGGATCGACGGACTCGGGTCTGCATGGTGTCAGCAAAGAGGCGTATGCTACTTTCCCTACGTCTGCGCGAAGTGACTCACCAGCCCGTTCGTACAATTATAGTAGGTATCCTACCTCTTTTTCCGGTTAGATACCTGCTGTTTTCTTTCGGCGTAGAGATAGATTACATGCACCTACCACCTACTGTGGACCAACGGCAAGGGACTACATCTGAGCAAAGAGTGCAGCTCATTTCCGTTTGGCGGAATCTTACTGTTTCCATGGTGAAATTGGCGACCAAAACAAACGTGCCCTCTGGTGGTGTACATCGGCATTGAGAAAAGGATGTTCTTCAAAGAATACAGACAGGCTGCAGGTTGCTTAGGAACGGGCAATCAACTACAGCGCAATACAAGTATTCGTGTGCACCAGTTCTTTTAGGGCGCTTCCTGCAGGGTTTCATCCTGTAATCAATGTCGAACGAGGACTCGATAGAGAGTTTAGGGATTAAGCCGGTGCAAGTCGCGGCAGTACCTCTCTCAGCATATAAACACCTTTTTTCGACGAGTCGGATCAAGACGTAACGACTCGGAGCGATCGCCCCTGCAAGCTGGCAAGCCAGCGAACTTCTAACTCTACTAGTTCCGAGGGACGTGAGAGTTGAATCTAGCGAAAAGCGGGTGAAAAGGCAATCAAGTGAGAGATTGCGGGACTGAGACGGGCTGAGATTGCAACTTTGTGAGACTGGAGTACAGAGTCTGCAACTTTGTGAGACTGGAGTTCAGAATCTGCAACTTTGACTTTGTGAGACTGGAGTATAAAATCTGGAACTTTGTGAGACTGCTGGAGCACATAATCAAGATGAGGAGGCTCTTCCATGGACGACCCTGAGAAGTTTCTCTGCGTTGTTGTCTCACCGAGTGCAGCTTTCCTTCGGTGCTGTAAGCTTCTCTGTATTGAATTTGGAATCAAGAAGGAAGTAATCGTATGTTAGGCTGAACCTGTAGTGATAATGATATTGAAGAGAATGATACGTTGTACTCTCCTCGCCCGAAACTTCCCCTCACCATTAACTGACTCTGGCATGACCAAATAAAGACGGTCTTGGCTAACGGGAGCCAAACGTAGAACTGCTTCGCCGTCCACGCTTTTTTCCAGTTTAGATTCGCGTCCTACGTCGGTGTGATGAATCTTAGACTAACGTTTCAGACAACACTTGAGTGCATCGATTTAGATTTTCAAAAGATGCTGCTCTTTCTGGTTACAAATCTTTAGATACTTGGTTACTAAACTCTGGAGCATGATTAATGAGTACTCTTGTCTTCATGAGTGCCGCCCTCTTAAGAGTGTGAAACTCTACTAACCCGACCCGAAAAGGAAATTTTTTTGAAGCGTTCTTGGCGATGCCCACAATTCGATCTAAAGATGATGCGAGACAGTTGGCAGAGAATTGCCAGGAAGAGCTCTCCCGGGTGTACAGACATTTTTTTGATCAGCGTTGAACTTGGACGTTCTAAAATGTACCTCACAGACATCATCAGGTGAATGTTGGGCTTGGGATCCTACTTGTGTAAGTACTTATTCGATGTGCTTCTTCATTTAGATGGAAAATCAAGCTGATTGCTTGTCCAGAAAGAGAATTTAGAGACAGTTCTAACAAGCTTTACTCGGATCAACGATCAAGAAAGATTGAAAAACAAATGCGGGACCAACTACAGATCGAGACCTTCTGCGTATGATCCAAATGAGAGGAATGACATCTCTTGACACAAATGTGAAGTACGAGAACCGCTCCTGTTACTGTTTCTAAGATCTTGCCTGGCGGTCCAAAAGGAGATCCGAGAATGTTTTTGTGCGGTCGCAAGAGATTCTCACAACCGCTGCCGAGAAAGCTTCTGCAAATTCAAAGATCCGCATGTTTGATTCCAAAAACAACAAGCTGAGGTCTAAGTTGGACACTTTCGATCAGACGTTTGATTATCTAAAGATACCTTACACCTGATGACCGACATTATTTTCTAGATCTTCCTCTCAACATCTACGTCGATTTCAATATCGAAATCCCTATCGGTTATACTATTCAAAATCACTATCTCCTCTACTAACTATCGCAGGGACAACGAGACAAGGTTCTTCATTTAGAAGTCTTGCTAAAGAACATTGAAAATGGACGCCGCTGGTGAGAAAAAGTACGCTCGCGTTGTCGAGGTCCTCGGCCGAACTGGTTCCCGTGGTGGTGTCATCCAGGTACTACAAAGAGATTATCTATACTACAATTGCTAAGCTCTAGCACGTATGAGTTGTGATGTTCGTTGAGGACTGTAAGATTTAGATTCGCTCTTGGCTGCAAGTGTCACTTGGCGGGCAAGAGCCTAGTTATGAATGTGCATTCTTTAGAGGTCAGATCCTATTGCTTCAGCTTGGCTGGTGTTCCGTCAAAATTTGTTTAGACCTTTTCTTCGGATTGCATCTCTATCACCGATTCTTCTCAGTGATTTTTAGATGATATGAACAAGACTGAATTAGAAGTCCAAGCCCATTCTGTCCTACAAAAAATCGAAATTTCTTTCAGGTCAAGGTGGAGTTTTTGACCGAGGAGGGTGGCCTCGCTGCCGGAGGACGTAAGCTCGTCCGTAACGTCAAGGGACCGATCCGTAACGGTGATGTCCTCTGCCTTTTGGAGACCGAGCGTGAAGCTCGTCGCTTGCGTTAAGATGCAGTAGACGTGCAGAATCATGTCGATTAGAAGATTTGATTGGGTGCTGAGCCTATCGGTACGAGCGCTTTCGCCATTGGGAGCTTATTATTCCAGTAGCGCTTACAATTAGGACGAGGCTCGCCTGAGGAACAAGGTGGGGATGTAAAAGAGCTCTACAACGCACACAAGAGATCCTGTCATTGGATCACGAGAACCTCTCGAACTTCTCGACATTCCTCGTTTGCGTCATTGTATTTTCAATCGCTTGACTCAGACACAACCTTCCGGCGCCTGGCTCCCCTCTCTGTCGCTTTGAAAGCTTGTCGTGTTCACCTTAAACGTCTGCGCGTGTGCTCTTGTGCCGCATCTTCAGATGTGGCCACGAACTTCAGACGTAGCGACCCTCGAATCAGCGAACTTATAAATGGTGCGAAACGATAGTCAAAAAATCAAAAGGTGTACCTCCTCCAGGATGTTGCCAAGTCTGAGTCGGTTTTGGAAAACGAACTTCTTCGAGAGAGCAATGAGTGAGTATTCACAGAGCAGGGCCAGAGAAAGAAAGAGCGGGAACTCCCAGAACCCGAGTGAGGTCTCGGAAAGATTGGAAGGCTCCTCCAAGCAGGATTTAGATTTAGATTTCGGTGATGTATTCTTCATTTGCCAAGACCTATTAGGCGCTCAACTCCCAGTCCCATTTTCGTGTGTGGAAGTCACGCTATACTAACCGTCAAAAAGAGCAGGGAACGTCGTAATAGAAAGGCATACAACACTTTTTCCTGAAATGATGTCTCAGTTGCTTGATCATAATCTTCATCTGGCCTAACTCAGCGCCAGCAGCTTACTAGAGAGGGTGCGCCTTTGTTTTGTTGTGCGCACAATCGTCACTGGAGAAAATGAGAGAACAACGGGTCTCCTGGACACATGTTCGCGACGATAGTGCAGCATTGGAATGTTCGCCGCCTTGCGCAACCACGTGAAGGAGAGCATGCGACCGCCGACCGATTGCCGTCTGGCAGAAGATCCTTATGCTTGTGTTGTCTGCAGCGTACTGCTCCACAGAACCGTTAGCTGCAATGCTTCTTAGTGAAGATCGAGATGATGAATATTCGTGGCCCCGTTGAGCAGGGCCTCCGCAGTCAATTCTGATATGAATATGATGATCATATTGCAGAGACGCTTGCTCTAGTCCTGATACTAGTCACGGTATTCTAATCCACGCTCACTCATGTCCATCACCATTAGTGGAAATCTTCCTTGTCGTGTTCATCAGATTTTTCGGCTTGCCCGCTTTCTGGGCGAGGCTACCGCGCAAATCAAACAGAGCAGCCGGAGAGCTTGCGCGTATGCCTTCTAGACTTCCTGTACATGGTCCTGTGCCCGCCTATAGAGATACTGGCTGGAATTTGTGCTATTTTAAGGCCGCATAGCTCGTCGAAGATTTCGAGACTTTTTCAGAGATGTTTCTGGTTCTGCTAGTTGGTCAATCAGATAGTAGACCGAATGGTTCTGATTTTCTTTGTACTTTTTCGGAATCGTCTATACCAAATTTCCCCCGTGCAAACCGATAATCACTTCTACACTGTACGACTATACAGCATGAACACCCACAGAGAGAAAATTAAGCACTTCAGACACACGCTACGCGCTTCCAGTGTTACCAAATTAGTCTGCCTGCGCAGCTTCTGTCCTCCTACAGTGTTCATTTGATGTTCATGGATGCAAGGAGAGACAAGTTTTTAACTCTTCACGAGTGCAAAGAAAAAACCCGAGCAAATGAGTGAAGCCAGATGTGGGAGACATAAAGTATAAGGAGCGAGTAAAGCAAAGTGAAAAAAGTGCAACAGGAAAATCACAACTAAGGAAAGCCTAATGTTCTATCCCAAGCAGCAAGAAACACTAGTAAACAATACAAATGGGCAACAAACACAAGAGCAAAAAAGGTTTAATCCAGATCAAAACACAAGCGAAGAGCAGCAGCTAACCTAAAAGAGGTAGCACCTTTTTCGGCAGTTGAAAAGTGTGCATTTATGTATGTTATGGTGTGGAAAATTCGTCTTTTGATCCCTCACTTCATCACTTTTTTGAAGGAACTTTTTGAAGAGTAACCGCATCCACAAAGATCAAAATATAAGAAGATAAACTAGTAAGAAATTATTATTTTCCACTGAGACACAGAGGATCCGCACTTTGATGTTATTCAGAGGGAGATCAGATAATTCTTTACTTTTCTTTTCTTCCAAATTCAACCAGACAGGAAAGGTGGCGCAAGTTATCAGCTCAGATGTTTTTTGAAGCTCCTGACATACCTGGAGGCTAATGCTTCCGTTGTACTAGTGGCACAAAGAACGAAGTCAAGAGCAATTTTCTGACGAAGAAGCGTCAATGTGCCAGTAAAAACTCAAGGAGGGGAGTCAAGTCTTTATTCTACTTAGAAAAAATTTATAAATTCTCTTAACCAGTTCATTATACCTAAGGTCTAAAAAATATAAAAGAACGAATCAACCAGCCTGAAAAACCCTTTTTATATATATGAAAAACGAGGGGCTTATTCTAGGTTGAGCTTTTAGTAAGAATTAAGCTACTGGCCAAGTCACGGCATGCGACTAGACTAGCGAAGACCTTCTATGTGTGCGTGCTTATTTCAAATGTACTATATGAATTCCTCGCATTTAGAAGAGTAGGCAACAACAAGTAGGGACTAAAAAAGGGAAAGGGTAAGAAACAGAACAAAACAAAACAAAACAAAAAGTGGTGAACAAAACAAAAATATATAGTCAAGAATTATCTATGTGTAACCATAGCCGTAAGCTTAAGGGATGAATAAAAAGTTTTAAAGGTGTCTTCTATCTTTCGGTTCAGAACTTCTTGGGTGGTAGTAGAGAACCAGTTTTTATGCTTGAAAAAGCGTAGAGTTTAGCTTACTTCTAACCAGTTTCCCTCTTATTAAGCCTTTCTTCTGCATATTAGTTAAGAACGAAAGAGGCGGCAACACCTTCCATGCGTTCTCCTCCTTTGGCTTTAGTGCAGTGAGCCTCTCCCTAAAGGTAGTAAAGTTCATACCAAGAAACTCCGCCTCCTCAGTGGTCTCTTTAAGCTTGCAGCCTACATACAGAGGATATTCCGCTTTCTCCAGTGACTTAAGTTTTATAGAGAATGAATCATCAACATATCTTTTATGCAAGCGTGGTCGAGTTCCGTTACTAGCTGTACTTCTCCACAAACGCTCTTGGTGACAACCAAAACTATTAGCTAGTGCACACATAGTCGGAGATCCCATGGGGCCACCACTAGTTTGTCTAAAAAGCTTCCCATGCGAGCGCGCGAAGACATGATCAGCATCATGCTGAAGGATTCGGGGAAGGCCATCCAGACTAAACCAATGCGAAAAAGTGGGCTTATACTTAGAAACTGGCACCCCTTTCCTAGGCTTCTCGATGCTGAAGTCTACGGTTGTATTCGCTTTAATGATCTGTTTCCTAGTAGTGTTGTGGTGCTGTAACCTCTTAGCGTAAGCCTTCTCCGTCTCTAGTACAAAGTACTTAAAGCCTTGGTCTTTATAGTGTCGAACGCGTTCTCTAATTAAGCGCATAGCTATTTTGGTATCGCAAGCAGTGAAAAAATCCTTCACGTCGTGTGTCTCCACCTCAATAGCAGGCAGCTGAAGAAATGCTTCTTCAAATGTAAGTCCCTGCTCCGCCATCAAGTCAATAACAAACTCCAGACACCTTTCGTTATATGAATTAATTATATGGATGAAACCTTTTGTAGTAGTGGCCATACTTGGCTCGCGGCTAATGAGCCAGTCAACCACTTGTGCTGCGCGCTTAAATATCAACTTCCAGGAATGTGCGAAGTAACTAGTCAGCGGCCTATATGCAACCTCGTCAATATCAATCTCCTCTCCCACCTCCTTGAAAACTCTGTCCTTAAGCATAATCTTGAGGAAACACCACTTGTGCTTTCTTCTCCTTAGTTTCAAACTTGTGTCCTCCTTGTTAACGTCAAAAAGCTCCGGGTTATACTCCTCCAAGGAAGACCAGCCGTCCACTCTAACACACGCGCCGCTTCCTTCCATGTGGCTCCTTATGATTCTGCTAATTACCTGATAGCATGCGAGAAAGGTTGATTTAGATTTGTCTACATCACCTACAACTGTCAACCTGGCCACTTCCAGTAACCTAGGATTGATGTCATCGGTTGTCTTATAGCCCTTGCTGCCTTCTCTGGTTTCCTTCCTAATAGTCTCCACCTGTTTCTTGTAGAAGGATGGGTCCACGCATGCTTTGGTAGTTCTGCGAATCTTCTCCAGGTTCTTTCTAAAGTAACTAATACTTTGCTGCTCAGTGGGGCAAAATCTACCACTTCTATTCCAAAAGGTTTCACACTTAAGGGCAGGGAGGGCACGCAAGTCACAGCATACATGTCCACACTTAGTGGCTTTAATACCAGGGACCATTTCACAGATCTCTTTGCAAAAACAAGGCTCCTTCCCGGGAGGATATTCGTGCATGGTTTGGTGGACCCTTTCCCACTTAGAATTCACTACATCAGAGAGTCTAAGTAACTTTTGGCGACGAAAGGAGAGTATGACAAGCTCGTCTCTAGCTTTATACCCACACAGCCTTCTTCTCCTTCTACGTTCTGAAGCATATCTAACTCTGTCGCCCTTCTTCGTGCAGTCATGTACAGTGCTAATATAAGCATTCGTGACCTCGTTACTGGCTGGCCAAACGGGGACTGATATCCTCAATGGCTTAAAGGCAGAACCACTTATATCAGTAAAGTTCTTCGAAAAGATAGAGTACTTACAGGGAGTTAGTATACTTCTTGCTAGGTAGTCGAGTTTTCCTTTCTTGTAGTTGCTCATTTTCTGCACAAGTCTCTTATTCCATGCTGATGGCTGTCCATCTCTAGCTATCTTGAGTACGAGAACCGTTTTTGTTTTATTTCGTCTAGCGTAGTCAGGAGTGCGGAGGATTCTTTCTATTGTAATAGGAGTACTCAGGCTTTCGTCAACAGTACTGGTTCTTTGCCTTTTGAACTTTCTGCTTTTTCTTGTTACTAGTACTGTCTTAATGCAACCAAAACGCTTAGCCCCAGCTTCAGTTATCTTCTTTCTAGTGTTCCTATCTGCGTTGAAGTAGTTGATAGCTATACCTTCAGCCGCCTCTAAGTTAATTCTGTCCTTAACTTTTGCATAGAAAATAGGGATAAAGACAAAGGCAAAGAAGTCTCTTAGCGCGTGTAACTTTGAAGAAAAGCAACCGCCTCTAGTTTCAGCTATGGCTCCTGTCCAGTGTGTCTCCACTCTTTCCATCCTGCCATGCTGTGTAATACCCACATATTTGCACTTTGTTCCAGGTCTAAAAGCTAGATATATAGTGTTCTTGTGTGAGTCATCTCCTACAGTACCCTCAAGGTCACTAATCCTACGACAGGCCTCAACTTTCCTGAAAAGGTTCCTATCGTGTCTAGTTCTAGAGGTCGCTAGTATAGAGTTACCAATAATATACTGTACCCGGAAAAGACGCCTTTTAGTTATCGCCAGTATGTTTTGCTGGGTAACAGATTGTGGGGTCACTTCGTCTTTCACCTTTGAGTTCTCGCCTATAAGCTTCTCCCCACAACTTGATATACAAAACGGGTCCACCGCTGTTGTATTATGCCACCATATCCAGCCCTTAGCTCCAGCCTGTTCTAAAACTATATGGCGCTTACACTTGACAACTTTACATCTAATGCACTTGTTTTTAAGGAAACACTTTTTGAAAACAAAGGCAGCAAGGGCAGAGTATAACTTATAAGCAAGTCGTGCTTGTACGTATCTACAGCGTGCTGCTGGGATTCTTTCTAACTTATTACAACTAACCCGAAACTTATATACCAGATTAATCCAGAAATGATGGCCCGTCCACTTAGCCGAGAAAGTGTCCAACTCATTCCAAAGCAGTTCCTTCACCTTGACTTCGTTAACCAAAACAAAAAGTTATTGTCAATACTGGCACTGGGTTCCCCCATTCTTCTTCGCTTTCCTGGTATTTCTTCGTTGCGCGCGCGCGGATGGTTCCTCCTCACTTTGTTGCGATGCTCCTCCCTGCTGCTTGTTGTAATCTTGACCATACTGCATAGCTAGCTCCGAGTCACCCTTTCCTTGGCCACCTCCTTTCTTCCCCTTGTTCTCGCCTTTCTTTCCCGTGCTATTCTCCTGGCCGCCCTGCTTAGCTTGCTGCATGTTTAGAAGCCTCATTTCCGCCTGCGTTCCTTTCTGTTGGATGAAGGCTGCGTGTTGTTCCTCAGCAGTAGCACGAGAAGAAGTAGCGCCAGGTGTAGTACTAATGTATTGATCACCTTGTTGCTCGATTAAGGAACGGCGCATTGCTTCTTGTAATTGTTGTTGCTCTTGTATGTCCGCATTTGAGCCGGCGTTCTTGTTCCCTTTTCCACCATCGTCAAGTCTACCTTCGCCACCGTTCGGCCCATTTCCACCTTTCCCAGAGTAGAGTGGAGTAATCTCGCCCTCTTCATCCTCTTCCTCCTCCTCAATAGTCTCGTAGACATAGCCACCATCATCAGCCCGCCTCAAACTGCTCATGCTGTAAACACCATTTTCATCCCTTTGTCCTCCATGTTCATCACATCCCCACTGGTATCCTTGCTGTTGATCACCCATTTGTTGATCGGGGTTGTCGTAGTAGCCTCCATAATGTGCATAGGACTTGCCATCTTGTACTTGGTTGATGTTGTGCGCGGATGTGTTGTTTTGTGCACCATTATATTCTTCTGCATTATAGACCGCAGGCGGATCATCCGGCGTCTCCCGTCTTCGCAAGCGCTGATGCTGTTGCTCACCCTTCCCTGATTCCTTTTTGTCATCGCGGCCGTTACCTTTGCGCGAACAGTTCCGCTGTTCTCCTTTTTCATTCCCATCTAGATGCTGTGCGCGATTTCGTAAGTTGTAGCGCGTAGTCGTGCTAGCAGAGTTGTTGATGTTATAATTGAAATCGCCGGGGGTCACGACATCCTTGGCAGCGTAGTTCACTTCTTGAATCTTTCCACACTGCATAGCTTGTCGTTTATTCATCATCATTTTCGCCTCCTGTTCTAGATGTAACATCTGCATTTTCTTCCGCGCATTCTCCTCCTCCAATCTCAAAGCCTCAGCCTCCATCTTGGCCTTCTCTGCTCGAGCTGCAAATTGTTCAGCTAAGCTCTTCTCCAGGGCAGCCTGGACTTCCGCTTGCTCCTTCTCGGCCATTTTATCTACCAAGGCCTTCTCGTTTTTCTTGTTCTCCTCCTTAACATCATCATCTTCCTCTTCTTCTTCATCCTTGTCAGCGAACTCCTGAGCCAGCCATTGATGGTCCTTCTGCGCTTCCTCCCAGTCGATGATTTCATACCAGGTGTTCTTAGGCATCTTGCCTTTAGCCTTCGCAAAAACTTTGTTGATCTCAACTATGATGTCCGCCTTCTTCTCCTCATCGGCCTCGTCAAACATAGCAGTATAGCGAGCCCAGTCCTGTGTCCACATGCGCGGAGTAGGAACGATGGAGTACTTCAAGACGTCATCCTGTGGTCCTTCTTCTAGGGTGAAGAGGGCATCTCTCAGTGGTTGCGGCAAATAGTACATAACTCGTTTTGCTTGTTCTCCTGAGAGTACTGGAAAAGGTTCTAGTTGTGCGTTGAAGGCTGCAGCTTGTTTTTCTTTTTTGCCGTTCTCATAGCCAATCCTCTTTGGTCCGTCTCCCCATCCTTGGAAGCCTTTTCCTTTACCACCACCAAAGCCACCAAAACCACCAAAGCCACCAAAGCCACCAAAGCCCCAGTTTCCTCCACCGTTGTTATATCCACCGTTCCCGTTGCCTCCATTATCCTTGGAGTTCGAACTGTGCAGCGGCATCCTTATATTGGTTAAATGCACTTTATTAGAAGGACTAGCTATATAGATAATTCTAGGTTGCCGGGGGAGTCTTATCCTAGCAAATTATCTGTTGACTGTATCACGAGACTACTTTTAGAATAACCCAATAGATACGAGTGAAATTTTTTCTGAATAATTACGCATATATGTGTATTTTGTTTTTATAGATTAAACTCGGCACTTGCTACCTAATTAACCTTATAAAATCAGATAGTAGACCGAATGGTTCTGATTTTCTTTGTACTTTTTCGGAATCGTCTATACCAAATTTCCCCCGTGCAAACCGATAATCGCTTCTACATTGTACGATTATACAGCATGAACACCCACAGTGAGAAAATTAAGCACTTCAGACACACGCTACGTGCTTCCAGTGTTACCAAATTAGTCTGCCTGCACAGCTTCTGTCCTCCTACAGTGTTCATTTGATGTTCATGGATGCAAGGAGAGACAAGCTTTTAACTCTTCACGAGTGCAAAGAAAAAACCCGAGCAAATGAGTGAAGCCAGATGTGGGAAACATAAAGTATAAGGAGCGAGTAAAGCAAAGTGAAAAAAGTGCAACAGGAAAATCACAATTAAGGAAAACCTAGTGTTCTATCCCAAGCAGCAAGAAACACTAGTAAACAATACAAATGGGCAACAAACACAAGAGCAAAAAAGGTTTAATCCAGATCAAAACACAAGCGAAGAGCAGCAGCTAACCTAAAAGAGGTAACACCTTTTTCGGCAGTTGAAAAGTATGTATTTATGTATGTTATGGTATGGAAAATTCGTCTTTTGATCCCTCATTTCATCACTTTTTTGAAGGAACTTTTTGAAGAGTAACCGCATCCACAAAGATCAAAATATAAGAAGATAAACTAGTAAGAAATTATTATTTTCCACTGAGACACAGAGGATCCGCACTTTGATGTTATTCAGAGGGAGATCAGATAATTCTTTATTTTTCTTTTCTTCCAAATTCAACCAGACAGGAAAGGTGGCACAAGTTATCAGCTCAGATGTTTTTTGAAGCTCCTGACATACCTGGAGGTTAATGCTTCCGTTGTACTAGTGGCACAAAGAACGAAGTCAGGAACAATTTTCTGACGAAGAAACGTCAATGTGCTAGTTGGTCAAAAATTAGTGACATTCCTTAGCGTTCCACTATGAACGAAGTGGATAGACAAGATACTTGGAAAGTAGTCGGTCATGGTCCATCAACAGCAGCAACAGATGAAGCAGATACCTTGAGAAGGAGAAGATGAGTGAGTATACGCAAAGGCATTGGAGGTACCGATCAACTTGGAGCGGTTGTGCAGGGTCAGTGTAAAGCATTCCTGCTCGTTGAAATACCTGGTGCAACAACTGAGGAGGCTTCTGAATCGTAATCCTAATTCTTCTTACGAACGTAGCTAAGTAGTTTGGTTGCTCTTAGCTAGTTTGGTTCTTACTATACTATGATAGAGAGATGAGGGCGGCTGTTGTTCCGGTTTTTTGGTTGCATTTGATGTCTGAGAGTGAGAAGCAGGAGGAGTAGAAAGGCGTCGAGGCGGCGAACATCCTCTGTGCATAGTTCCCTACTGCGTCTATCCCATCTTGAGTTCTTTTTATTCTTTCTGGTTCTGGATGAGCAGGTGGTATTATTGCATCAGACAAAGAGGAGGGGCTTTCTGAAGTAGAAGAGGAAGTACCAGAATGTCCTCGAACGAGTAGTGGAGCGGTTGTGCGATACTCTTCGATCATGATGAGTCGACAGTATTGTCCCTCCACCATAATCGCTGCCAGGCGATCAATGTGCATGCAGATTTAACAGCCTGTGCGACGGCCCGTTTCTCGAGGTTGGTGTTTTCGCTCCTGCGAGATGACACAGCAAGAGAACCAAGCGGGATCAGGTGTGGTGTCCTAGGCAGTAGGTGGCGGTGACCTGCAGCATCTGAGCAAGCAACAAGTCATCCATTTGGAGCTTTTTTCATGACCAGGTAGAAAGCCTAGCGGTCGGCGCAAGCGAAAAGGCAGCGACAAAGATGCTTCGATTCACAGGAGAAGGCCGTCCGTTCGGGTCCCATTTGATGCAATGGGCGACAGGCGGTTTTCGAAGACGAGGCGCGGCGGACGCTAACTGTGAACGATTTTCGTCAGTAAGACTTCTACATCAGGGCTAGTATTTTTAGACCCATGATTGTTCATGTTCGTGTTCCTCCATTATATCCGTTGCTGCTCACATTCACTTTTATTATTCTCAAAGTCAAAAAAAGGCGTTTCAACACAGTTTCACTAATTTCAGGAGGTCGTGTGGTGCAACTGCATCTAAATATCTTCATGTCCTAGTGCGGGTAAATTTCGAAAGAACGTAATGTTATTGATCCTCCCTGATCATAGGTTCAAGGATGTCCGTCGGAAGAGGAACGGTACTATATTAGTAGTGGTTCTACGTGCGCGCGAGAAGGAGAGCATGGTGAAGCCGCTGGAGAGGTGGAGGGTGGTGCCGCGGGAGACTCTGAGCCAACGGGGCTTCAGTCGACTTCGGGAGGAGGGTCTGTTAATGGAGTAGTAGAGCCGGTGGGTGTAGACTTAGATGGAGATAGTGGGCAGACGACATGGAGCAAATTTATTTTTGCTCTTGCGATTACAAGTGGTAGTTACTTTATGGTGGTAACCATCGGAAGTAAAGACATCTACTTGTTGGAATTCGGTGCAGACCCAGTCGTCTTAACAAGCTATTGGGTTGCTCTCAACTGCGTGGCGCCGCTGCTGAACATAGTTCTGGGCTACGTTATTTCTGGAACGACACGCGAAAAACGTTTGCGTCGCACGCGAGCCAAGAACCGTCAAAACGCAAAAGATTAGGGCTCATACAACTAATTCACCTTCAACACAGGGCCCAAAAGCCAATATGCTACTTCGTCTTCGTTTCATTTTTTGCTCTAAAGATAGCAAAAAGTTACAGAAATGGCAACCGGAGGTCCTGTACTCGACGCTGCTTTTCCCACGACATCGTCTGGCGCAGCTCTCGAAATAAATGTCGAGCAATCGATCCTACAGGAGGAAGCACCAAAAGCAGTTGTTGAAGGGAGTCATCAAGCAGCACCAGTAGCTAACTACAGATCTCCACAAGCAGTTCTTGGACATCTAGAAGTAGGACGGTCGTGTCTGCGATTGATGCCTTCTAGAAGAGCTGCTGCAGGGCAATTAGCTTCTGCAGAACAACTACACGTGCAGAGTCAGAATGGCCATCATCTTTCCGGTGACACCACGCAGACGAGTGGTATTAGTAGGACTAGTTGTAGTAGTTCCAGCTCGGCGTCGACTTCGACTCGAGGATGCATCTCTTCAAGTAGCCAACACCAGATGTGCTCGAGTTTGTCAGAACACGAGTCCGCCACGACGACTGGCACTAGAAGCTCAAACAAGAACATTGGAGGCGAGGATCTAGTGCTAGAGGAGGAGGACGAGCAGGAGAGCGCAAGTTACAGGAGTAGGGTGGCACCATTGACATTGTGCGAAGGTTTGCATCGAGCGGAGGACTCCATAGGTATGATTTCAACGACTAGTACAGAAAATGAACAGACGACCGTGCTAGCTAGTAGAGAAGCTGCGGATCATAGTACAACGAGGTGCAAGAGCAACGCTTGCGGGATAATGGGAGGTGCACGTGAGAAAGTGCAAGATGTTAATACGAGGAGTGGGGCAGTGGTAGAAGCCATGTCTTTGACATTGTCAGGAGAAGGAGACCATAAAAACGTGGACGTTACTAGTAAGCAGCAAATAAAACCGGCGGTGCGGGAGCGGGACAGCCAAAAACTCCATCGCATGGCAACAGTCCCTATGTCAGACTCAGAGAACAACAATTCGAATTTACTAAAGGCCATTTTTCGCCGTCACGTTCTGAGAGACAAAACCGTTGATCCAGTGAGCATGGGACAGTTCGGATGGTGGCAATTGTATGAAAGGAAAAAGTGCACTCACAGTCACACTCAACCTCAAGGAAGTACTTAGCCACTTACACTTACACTTTCCTACTTATAAATCCCAGCCAATTTCTTGAGTTTGGTGCACTTTTGCCTTTCATAAATTGGGCTCAATTCTCATTGGATCTTTGGCCAGCTTCGCCATGTGGATTGGCCGCCCAGCGGGCTTCGTTGAAGTGTGGTACTTCCTGACAGCCCTGATATGTTGTTATGGACTGTTGCCTTAGTATATATAAGACCTTTAGAAAAGGCAATGCAAACACCTCCTGCTAGGCACATTCATCCATTCACTCACTTTCCTGAGCAGCTGTAGAACAACCTGCGGCAGAACTACGAGGTCTAGTAGATCATGAAGGATCATGAAGGGCCAAGCTGGCTACCATTTCTATATATAATTGAACTAGTTCAATAGTTCAATGGTGCGGAAAGAATTCCGCTTCCGAATTAAGCTCGTCGCCACTTCTAATTACCGGCGTGCTACATGATCATCGTTTTGGTTTACGACGGGGCGCGTTGTTGCTTGTATCCATACAAGGAAGAGCGGGTACTTGTGGAGGGTTTCACGAAGGCTATATTTCTCGCAGTCGTTGCCATGTTTGCCTTATGAAAGAGGGTAAGTGTAAGTACCAATTTTGAAAGATGAAGGGTAGGTGTGTAGGTCGTTTATTACATAGATAGTAAGTGTAAGTACCAATTATGGGGTGCTTTCGTGACAAGAAAGAGCTAGATGAAGAGTTTCATAATTCTCCCATTCGCAGACGCAGTTTTAGATTGTTCCCGGTATTAGTATGATACATTTACATGCATTCTTGACTTCAAATTTCTTGAAGAAGGCGGCAAATCCCCAAGCCACTCCTTCTCGCGTGCGGCAAGCCCAGGGGGAACTCTTGACTTCCTTGATGACGGTTCCTCTTCCCTGTTTCATCTTTCATGATGTGTGATCTACATGGCCTACCTGATGGCGCCTTCGCGGAGCATGCAGTTTGTGGTTGCGATCTTTTCTGTGGCGATAGGGTTGACGTCGCTTGTTTCACTGTATGGCTCCATGACGGTCATTTTTTTTTGCTTCTAACACACACTTTTACTTTTTCTTCAATAAAGAAAGACTGATCTAGGTTCGTTTTAACCCGTTAGCATGACCCTGATTGTCCAGCATAAACTTTCATCAATGTACTAAATGTAATTTTTTTTTCACATGTAATTCAGCAATCGCACCCACCTATTAATTTCGTTCTCCTTCATTTTGTAGACCACATACGGAGAGCGCAACAGCCTAGTACCGTGGATAAGGAGCCGCCTGGTATACGTGCGTATTGGAAGGCCTTCTGGGAATACGATGCAAATTTTTGGATTTGTCTTGCCAGATTTTTTACAGGCGCTTGGGAAGCTATGTTTTGAAATTGAATGAAGTTTTCGATCAAAGCCAAGTTTGACTTTGTAAGCGCCAATTGCCACTGTAACAAGCAGAAGGAGTAATGTAGTTGATGGGCGGTTCTTTTTACAATTGTCTAGGCTATGGCTAAGTACGCTTGAATGGTTCTGGTATTTGGTAACCTGAATTTGATCCTAAAGGAAAACAAGAAGAGAACCCTTAGGATCAAACTCAGGTTACCAAATACCAGAGCCATACAACGCTACGGCTATTAAAAATTTCCATTTCGGAGCACAAGTACTAGAGAGCCAAAGAAGGGACACTGGTTGCACATGCACTTACTCTTAAACTAAAGGACTCGTTTTTTTTTTGTGTTTCCCTTCCCTCTAATCCAGGCATTGTGGCGCAGAATGGCATCTTCTACATCACATACGTCAGTTTGCTGAGTCGAGACGAGAGAACATTTTGGGTCATGCTTTTCGCTGGGCTGATGAGTGTTGTCGAGGTATTATTATGTAGCTAAATTTATTTATTGTATTGCTCTGGCACTTATCGTTATCTCACGCTACTTACCGCGCTATTTGGATTGCTGGTATGGATCTTCTCATGGTGGTGCGTAGAAGGTTCATCTTTGGTTCGATATCGTATGACCTCCACCAGATTATCTTCATTCCGATATGGACGAGCATTTTTAGCGACGTGAAGCGACGGAAGAGCCAGATATTTTGCATGCAGAAGCTGATCGGGGGCTTCCGTGCTATAGACGGTGTACTGATGTGCATCATAATCTCCATCACTTATGGCTAGATCACGACTCATCATGGCTAGTAGTGCTTGCCTTGTCTGAAAAGAATTGAATTTCAAGTATACATAGACATAGAGAGGTCGTGGTGGCAGAAGTACTAGTTCTCATCATGCTAGTACTACTTCTTTACTCACGTCAACGTTCGCTATGCATCTTCATGATGATCCTCTACTGCTCATGATCATTCTCTTCCGCTCAATTATATTGATTTATTGTTCTGTACTACAACGAAGACAGTTATAATCCTAATCATCAAAAAGTTCATCTTCTCTAAATATCTGGTCCCGGACGCGGGAAAGCGTCAGCGGCAGGTCTACTCGTTGTTGCGTGTCTAGGAAGATTTTTCTTCTCGCCTTTCACCTACTGGAGGATATCAGCTCAGAGCTGGTGCGTTGACGAGTGGACGCATCTCAAAGGAGCTAGAGAAGAAGCGCTGTACACTTCCCTGCCTTAGGCGTTGCATGATCAAAACTTCTTCTACTAAATGGTTTATGTAGCTGAGTCATTTCATCACGATCAAAACCTCGTCTTCTACTATCTAAATGCCTTAATATGTTATGTTTAATCAAGAATCATCTGTAGGTGTAGTAGCTGATAGATTTTTCTTAATCACTTTATCAAAAATTTGTTGTCCTTGATGTTCATCTTCTTCACCTTCACCCTCAACAAGAACAACAACGCCCTCTGTGGCTGCACATATTCACCCGAGGAGGCAGGTCAAACTGTGGACGGTGAATCAAATCCTATCCTATCCTTTCTCCTCAGATTCTATGCTCTGCACGCGTTTTGGTATGAGCTTGGGCGCGGCGTGGTTGCTTCGCTGGCGTTTTTAGGCATGGCGGTCATTGGCGGGTTGGTCACCAGGAATTGCGTAAGCGACTGCGAAGGCCACCAGCAACCTGACAACGTCCAAGCACAGGGTTATATACTATCTGCACACCTAGAACAATCTGGCGGGGATGGAAGTGATATCTCGACAGTGACCAGCCTCAGCGAACTTATGACTTGTTCATGATGTTGTTTTTGAATTTGATGATGGTAATTATGGTATCACTCCTGACTGCGACAGCGACTATCACTATGGACGAGAGAATATCCATACCACGCAGTTAGTGTTTTTGAGGTTGACCATAGTTTAGTGATGCTATACGTACACTATAGGTATGATCGAAGATGTTCAATATATTTATTAATTGACGCGTCGTTGTCTACTTTGGTGTCAGCACTCCTGTTGAAGTTGTAGTTAGCGGAGCACTCCTCCAAATCGAACTTTCATCTCTCTGGAGAAACTGTGCTTAGACGGGTGCTACCGTGCAAACCAAGCAGAGCAACCAGCAAGCTTGCGCACATACTTGGATTTCATGTATCTTGTAGTGAGTCCATTCTTCGAAATAGTGGCTGCGGCTTGCGTGCTTTTAAGGTCGCACTGTATTTCGATAAATCCTAGACGTTCGATAGTCCATGTACCTAGAAGGTACTGCTTAGAGTTAACACGTCTTGCATGAGTGCTACAAATCCGCTTTTGCTTATTTACAACTGGTGGGAGAAAAGCAATCTCATGCTACTAGTATATGCTGCATGGATGTAGGATCTGATTTTGTTTCTAATGCTGCATGAAATGATTTCTGCTTTCATTAATCATGAATTGCGCTGATCATGATTAATTTCTGGTCCTGCATTAGATGTTGAGTCAACTTGACCAGTACTCAGTCGAGTAGAACTAACTACTCTGTCTAATGCTTCGATTTCCTATAGAGGGGGAACGACTACTGCGGCTTTACGAGAACCAGAGCAAAGCCTTCCAGGTCGTCGAGGTTTCACCTAGTCTCGCGTCTCCCGCCAAGCGCCATAGAGGGTCCGATCGGCCAGCGTTTCAACCCGCAGAAGACAACTAGGAGCCACAGTCGGCTTCGTCAATTACTGCAGTGGACGAATCGTACTAGTAGACGAAGGAGGAAGACGAAGGAGGAAGCTGTGCAGTACCAGTCGAAGGAGGAAGACGATGAAGAAATAGAAATTTTAGTGTCTAAATATTATATTCGTCCGAATAGGAGGACGAGGACTAGGGCACCAGAAACAAAGCCTGAGGCACGCCGAGAAGAGGAGTCTTTCATATCAATTGTTTGCTCTAGTTCTACTTGTTCTTTTTACGATTCCTTCGGGTTGCGGTTGCACCTGCTTGTCGGGGATATATGACCAGCGCTTTGCTTGCGCTCGGTAATACCGACACGGCGAGAGCTAATACGAAAACTACCAAGAACAAGTGGTAGTCGTAGTACAAATAGGACCTGTCCAGATCATGAAGTACGTAGAAGTTCTTGTCCTGAAACCATCTTGAAGAGGAAATGGAGAACAACGCAGAGATGGTCACGACTTTTTGAAGGTGAATTCGACGAGGACAGCTGTCACCAGTAGTGCTCCTTTTAGTACACGACAGATGTGTCTCATCTTCCATGGCATGGACGAATGGATGCAGGATAAGAAGTAGATGAGAAATCGATGTATTATTTGGTAGAATCAAGACAAAGACCACCTTGGTGTCTGAATCTTGTTACTTCTTGTAGTTGTCCTCGTTATTGTTATGGTTATTCTATCCTCCTTGGAAAAGTATCTTCGTTTTGCCTGGGAAAAGTATTGTAGGAGGACATCAGAAGATTGCAAAACACAACATCTGTAGAGACAGAGTCGACCGAAGTTCATTCTTTATCTAGAAGCGGCAGGTGCTGGTTACGAAGAAAAAGGTGTTGGTGACGAAAAAAAGGTGTCGTGTGGATTGTCCTGTTTGATGGCAGTCCAAACAGATATGTCGCGGTAGAGGATCCGCCTCCACGAGTACATTCTAGAAGTTCACCTAGCACCTTCCTAGATCGAGTTTGTCGCACTGACATCGGTGCAGTAGTTTCCTGCTCGATCATTCATTGATTACCATAGGAGATCCTATAATCACGGTCCAGATGAAATCGAAAAATGAAGAAATGCACAGAGAGAGAGAGAAGTGAATAGGATTCATCTATCAACCTACTTGGGAATGAGATCATCCTGCCAAGAAATCTTCAAAAAGCGGAAGGATCACCAACACCATTCCACACAAGTAGGTAATTAAGGTAATCAGAATCACTAAAAACTACAAACACAATTATATTGATTTTGATACCGATATTAACATCCGCCTAGAACGACCAGAAGTATTTTTTCTATTTCTTTCTTCAATTTGACAAATTCATTGTCGTAGACACAGCGGCAGTTACATCAATATTGAGAAAACTCGTGATTCATTTTACCACCGATTAACCTTGCAGGGCGAAATTAGGGAAAGGGAGTCCCGCAGGGAGGGAGCCCCGGAGGTGGGTTCTTCGTCAGTAAAAAGTTAAAAATACAGCAAGAAATAGCAAACATAAAAAACATCATATTAAAATATCAAGTTTTATTGGAAATTGAAATAAGGTTCTTAGTATAAAGAGTTCTCGTAGAGGTTTTGGACTTATCTACATCGTTTTCGTACTCGATCATCATACCATCACTCCCATTGTTTGAGCAAAAGTTTAAGGTTCAAAGTTGTCTTCATATCTGTCCTCGCTATCCTGCTCTGACGAACCTGTAGTGTCTCATTTTCCTCACAAAAATCGAGAAGAAATCATGTTGGATGTTTGTTTGCCCACAGTAGGACCACGAAAAGCTGGTCCTCACGAGGACCATACGGTCATCGGCCAGTCGTGCTCCTCCAGAGTCGTTCCCGATTCGATCCGATTGTGTTTGAAGTGCTGTATTTGTGGTGCGGACGTGCATGAGAAGACTCCAGGTGCGCGCTGCCTCGCTTGTCTCCGCACCGAGGCAGTGAAGGCGTCACAGCCGTTTGCGCCAAGTGCTTGCAACGTGAAGATGTGCAAGGGCTGCGGTCGCTACTTGACGTTCAATTCGTCCGGCTCGATTCAGCGATGGGTGCGTGCCGAATGGGAGTCGAGGGAATTGATTGCTTTGTGCCTGAAAAGTTTGTGTGGTGGCTCCGGGAACAGCGTGGCATCTTCCAACGGCACACCTTCAGCTGGTGCAGGAGGCTCTTCTACCTCAGCAGGAGGTGGCTCTCTACAGGCGAGTGACATCCTCGACGCGATGTTCCTGTACACAGAACCGCACTCACGGCGCATCAAGATTCGTGTCACCTTCGCAACCCATTTCGGCAGTATTGCGCCTTCGGGCCCAAACATCTACGGTGGAGGAAACGGGACGTCAGACGATGCCGGCTCCTTTAGTGGTGGTGTCGGGATCAGCACTTCTTGCTCTAGGAGGAACTCCGCGACAGAAACTGACCGCAATAAACTCCTAGAACAACTTTTGAACGAGGACGATGAGTTTGAAGAAGGCACTCAAGACCCAGACGATGGTCTTCAGAAGCTGGATGGTAACGAGGATCATCTCCATGTTGACAAACTTGATGCGGCCTATGCGGCAGCGTCTGCTGGTGGTTCGCTGCTAGCCGGCACAGCCTCCCGCACGGCTTCTTCCATAGAATCGAGTTCGTTTCAAGTTCGTGAAACCCGCGACATCGAATTTGTGGTTCAAACTCAACAATGCGCGGACTGTGCGCGCGAATACACGCCGCACACCTGGACCTATTTGGTCCAGCTTCGCCACGCAAAAGCGCGTTACTTCTCTGTCGACGCGGCCAGGCGACTCTTTGCTCAAGTTGAGAGTCTGGTGCTACAACGAGGAAATAACAAGCAAGGTGGTTCTGGAGGAAAGAGTGGAGGCTCTGGCTCGTCCTCTGGCGGTGGTGGTGGAGGAGGTGGCGCTTCTTCTACTTCAGGAGGCGCATTTTGTCTGTCCCAATTGGTCAAGACGGAATGGATGAAAGATGGGCACGGTGCTGATTTCTATTTCCGCAACAAGCTGCAGGCGCATGCGTTCATTCAGTTGATTCGCAAGCACTTCGTCACTGGATCCGAGAAGCTAAAAGAGTCCAAATCGTTGATCAAGCGCGACGAACAGAATGCGTTTTCGCGCTACAAGTTTACCACTTGTCTGTCCCTTTCGCCGATTCTGAAGTGGGACTTGGTCGCGATCGTCGATCCCAAGGCCATCTTGCGGCATCCAGTTAAAGTTCGCAACGGGGCTGAACTGGTGCGCACCACTGGAGTTTTGCTATGTGTTGGCGCAAAGAACGGCCGCTTGGATCTTTTGGACCCTTGCAGTGGGCGCGTCTACGTAATGCACGATTGGAAGGGTCTGTTGACGATCGCCGACCGCACCCAGACCAAGGCATTTACGGTGCTGGACGTGGAAACGGGCAACTGGAACTGTACCCAGGGGTTTAATAACGATGACGATGCTCTTTTATCTACTTTCGAGGATGAAGATGACGAAATCGACATCGACATCCAACCGATAGAAGATGAAGCATCAGGCAAGATGAAGGATATGAAAAGCGTGCAGACCAGAAGCACAGGAGAAGTGGCGGAAGACGATGGCAACGGAGGTTTCTCATCGAGCAACAGTGGCGCAGAGGGGGACGATCTGGAAATGGCAGTTAATCATGGTGAAGACGGAAGTGCTGTTGCAGATTCAGATTGTGCCACAATATCGAAGTCAAATTCATCAATGAAGGATACAATTACAAAATCTCCCGAACAAGCTTCCACGACTAAGAAAAAGAAAGCAAAAACGACGACATCAAACAATAACAAGGCGACAACATCACCAGGTTCACCCCAGCTAGGTCCATCCAGTCCGCAACGATGCATTGCAAAGAGCCCGACTGTAAGACTGAGTGTCGCGCGTACGTGCGATCTAGGCACGACAGAAGACGGAAATCAGATTCATGGGGTATGGGGATCGCACTGTCTCAATTGCGACGTCAGCGACCAGGTGTGGGCCTACGACTTGCGTGCCCTCAACCGCAGTGAGCTAGAGGAGTTGGCAGATAGACGGATTACTCTGCCAGAGGCAGTACTTTGCTACAAAGTCAAAGCCACTGCGGGAACGATTCCTTGATGAAGAGAAGTCGGGAAGACTGCGAACTATCAGCAAGTATATCTACCTATAAATATGCCTGACTCTCCTGTTCCAATCAATATCTATCAAATTTTTTGGATACCTCTCAGTAATGGTCCTAGACCTGTCTCCAACTACCTTGTTGTAGTTCTCAATGTTGCTGAGGCACCTTGAAATCACTCTCTAAACCAGGAGAGCTTTCTGTCGTGTTTCAATGACGCTGTAGTTCTCGTTGCGACCAACAACGATGAAATGTGCAGAACCCTCTCATCGTTGTTGTAACACGAGCATGAAAAAAAAGTTGCTACGATTTTTCTGGTGAAAGCTTGAAGTAGCTGGATTTGGATGATGTTGATGACTTTCTGGTAGTGGTTGGTAACGTCTTGGAAGTTGTGAATTTATCGTGGAAGATTACCGTCATGTCATGTGTCATTACCGATTGAAAGAGATGACAGGCTGTGAGGGCCTGTCACTTCTAGCCGCGGCGACAAGCAAGAACTGAAGTCGGCTAAGTCGCGACAACAGAAAAAGTTTTTTCCCTGTAAGACTATGTCTAAGAGTGAAGCCGTAAACAAACGATAATATAGTTGAAAGGGTAACTCGGTCTCGAGACAGACTGAAGTTTCATGAGAAGTTGAGCATCCCGTTCCCGATCCTGATGAAAAAGAGGTAGAAAAACACAGAACTTCGTTGAGCGTACGTGCTTGAATTGAGGGCGCGAGTACAGCTACAGAGAGATGAAAGATGATGAAGCACTGTCTGTTGAGAATAGGCAAAGACGTGACACTTGTTGGACTTGAAGCAGAAGTAGTTCGCGGCAGATAATGCAAATGCTAGAACACTACATCATAGGAAATGCTACTACTAGAAGATACGTAACGAGAACTTCTTAATATGATTTCTTTTTTTGCCCATGGCCATGGAAAAATTCGACAATTAGTAATTGACGTTCTTTGGATATTCTCTTGTCGCATCGTGACTGTGTGAGAAACAAACGCGACCACCAGACCCTATTGGTATTGGTTGACTGAGGAAATTTTTAAGCATGACGATTTTACGAAAGCGGCTTCTACCCGGCGCTGACGCAGCCGGCGCCCTTTGCATGGATGGCACAGTTCCTGTGTATTACCTCGATGTGCCACCAGATTTTGTCAGCGAGAACTTGAACTCTTACAAGGTGATGGTGTACTTGATGCAGGGCGGTTTCTGCGGGCTATCGCTGGAGGAATGTGCGCAGGCGGCTCAGACGTTCTACTCGTCGTCGCCGCGGGGACGGGCTCTCCCTGATACTTTATTCGTTTCGGATTCCGGTGGAGGCTCGGTCTTTGCTCGAAGTAGTCCTGCATTTCATGATTACGCAAAGGTACTTGTCGACTACTGCTCGGGTGATCTCTATAGTGGCGACCATCACTATTCCTTAGCGACGAGAAGCGATGGATCAAAACAGCAATCGATATATTTTCGAGGTATACGAATTTTGGAGACGCTGATTGCAGGCATCGCAGACGGAAGAATCTTTGACGATGCAGTTGACAATTTGCAGCTTGCGTCAATGTCAAGCGCTAGCTCGTCAACATCGTCTTCGTCTTCATCAAGTTTTTCTTCTCCAGATCCAGTATCGAAATTCTCTTTCTCCGACATTGTCCTTTACGGCTCGTCAGCAGGTGCCGTAGGGATCCTGAACCACGCCTGGCGCTTTCGGCGGAGATTTCCGCATGCCAGATTACGCAACATTCTGGATTCTGGCCAATTCCACGTTGCTGGGTCCGCGAAAACTGCGAGAAACGTTGAGCAGTTTTTTCAATTGGTGAATCCAAATTCTGGTGGAGAAATTAATCTTAACGAAAATAGAAATCTGAATCAACAAAATTATGAAGGGTCCTCCTGTCTGAACGATGCGCAGCGTCGACATCAGTCGATTTCTTCTGATGTTATTGATGGGTTTTCGACGAGCAGTGCGTCTACATCTACTGCGCAACAAGACTTTTTATCCGCAGCTTGTTGTGTTGATGCATCGTGTCTGCTGAGGAGAAGCGCAATGAACGATGACGGCGACTATTTCCATGTCGTCAACAGCACCTTTTGGATTCAGTCAAAGTATGATCCTTACCATACAGTGGCTGACTTCATGCGGCTGCGTGCAGCGGGGTCGACGGGTCGTCGGCGGAGATTAGCGGAGTTGGAAGATCATGATGCTGACGGTCGCAACTTAGAAGCGGAATCAGAAAACATAAACAATAATTTGGAAGAACGAGCAGATAATTCCAAGAGAATGGCCAGTGTTGAGGATGCCGTCCTAACGTATGCGGCGCAGGCCGGTCGAGCGCTCGCACTAGCGGAGGAATTGACTATGTCTCGTCCTGTGGACAAGGATGGGCATCAACACACCCACACTGTGTTGTTATCATCTTGCTCCGAACATGTGCTGTATGCTCCGACGGCGCTCCGGCTGGAGCACTGGAACGCGAAGCCGGTTTGTGCTGATCTGGAGATGGAGGAAAAAAAGATGTCAAGGCAGGAATCAGCCGACTCGACGGACTCGACCTCCACCCCCCTGTGCAGCAAAGACGAGAAGCAAGCGCATGCATGGGTCCGTATACCCGTCAGTGAGGTTGACGCACCTATGGGTGGTGCACTTTGTACGGTTGAGGCGCTCTACAACGCTGCGCCAAACCGCGTGTCGAATTACGTACAGGGTGAAAGCATCACGCAGCATGTGACGCGATGGGCCATGGGAGATGGTGACCCTACAGTTACCACAGGTAGTAAAATTAAGCCGACAAGAAATCGATCTTCCTCAGCATCTTAGTCCCGTTTTTACAGGGGAGACGGTGATCAAGATGAGCCCGGAGAAGGATTTGGATTTCTCTTAGTTCTAATAAGAGTAAGAATACGATAATCCGTTCCGATGGTTTAGCGATTAACGACAGAGCAGTCGAGCAGTGTGCAGCAAAGGTCGATCTGGGTTTCGGATGGGTCACGGAGGAAAATTTTCCGGACTTGATGCGGGACGCTGCGGCACCATGGGAAGGCATAATATCTTTTGGTGAGTCCTCTGGTACTGGACTTGGTGGAGCAGAAGAGAGCACCAGCACAAGCAACGGTAACAAGAGTAACGAGGTGACGTTCATGGACGGCGTCAAGCTGGTGCACATGCTGCTTCTAGCGAGTTGCATGTGCTTCCTTGTGCGCCTATTTTTGCTGAGACGAAAGTTGCGCGCAGTCAGCCAACAGCACTGCGCACTTGCCGCTGCCACGCGACGAAAAGGCGGCTTACTCAACAAGTCTCAGACGAGCACTGGTTTACAGGCCACGAGCACGAACAGCAACAACAATACTAGTGGTACTTGCACTAGTAGCACGAAGTACAGGTGGACGCATGAAGGTATCTGTAGTGCGCTACCATCTGTAGACGAATTAAAAGTTGATGTTGACAGTGCGGAAATCAGCGGTGATAGTTCATCTGTGGTAAAAATTGGGGTACCATCGGGAGTCTCAAATCCAGCAAAGAGCCCCAGCGAAAGTAGTGAAGAAGGAGAGCTAAAGCTAAAAGCCAGCTTGTACCGTTCTGGCGAGTATTCTGCAGCTACGACACAAGCGCCTTCGCCTTCGGAGCAACCTAGTGCACACCCGAGTTCCGTCTCGAGTCCTGCAGAGGAGCAGACCGGTGATCGGTTGAGGGCTACGCATCTGTCCGTTCCGGAGAATAAGGTATCCGTATCCCACTAGGTCATGAATATGAAAACCCAGAAGTAAAGGTTACAAGCGCCACATCTTCTTCAACATCAAGATCAGCATCAATATCTAGGTCCATATCTCTTCAGGATCGTCCTTGCATGCGCATGACGAATGTCACTTTTCGACTCGGTTCGTCACATTTGCTACTAGCCAATGTAAATTGTTGCTTCCGCTACGGCCGACTCACAGCCGTTATGGGTGGTAGCGGTAGCGGAAAATCGACACTTTGTAAACTGGCTGCAGACAGGCATACAACTCCTAACGGCGTTTACTCTGGCAGCATCACCTTAGACGGCATTCCCATGGATAAGCTCAAGGATGCGACTGCCAAAGTAGGGTTCGTAAGACAGTTTCCATGCTGCGGTCCAGAAGAGTGCACAGTGATAGAGGCGTTATTATTGCACGCTGCGAAGTGCGGCAAAAAGGTTTTTGGACCGAAAACCATGAGGAGCAACATGAGAGAACTACAGGGTTTCTTGAGACTTAGAGCCGGGTCAACTTCATCTTCTTGCAGGAGACGGAACAAAATAACTCCAGGAGGCAGCGAACAAGAACAGCAAACAAGTTGTAGAAGACTCTCTCTGGCCAGCAATTGTAGTTTTTATAGGTGGGGTGCTGGTGGTTTTCCCGGTCAGAGACTGGGACGGCAACGTCTGGTAGCAGGCACTAACGAAAAGGCTGCACTGGGGCCGCATGATGATGAACAGACAGCCACTTTTTTTGGGCAACCTGATCCCGGCAACGACAATTCCGAGGAAGAAGACGATCCGGCTTTTGATCGCATTCAGTGGTTGATATCAGCCCTTGACATGGGTTGGTTTTTGGACCGCAAAATTTCACAGCTGAGCGGCGGACAGAAAAAGTTGCTCTCGGTCGCACAAGTGCTGTTCCCGGAGCCAGGGATCATTTTTCTGGACGAGCCGACTTCGGGGTTGGATTCGCTCGCCGCAGAAACGCTGTTGTGCGTGTTGAGGAGCGTGGTAGAGCAGACTCAGTGCTGCATGGCCGTGGTGATCCATCAGCCGGCTCGCGACGCCTATCGCCTGTTCGATGACTTGATTCTCCTGAATCGTGGTAAGCTGATCTACAGTGGCCCGCGCGAGGGCTGTGGCCAGACGCTGCGCGAAATGCGGCAATCGATCAAACAACGCAGCAAGAGAAAGCAAAGCGAGGCTAGAGAGAAGCAGAAACAAACAGCGGAAGAGATCCGACGCAAAATGATGTTGCGACGACGGCGAAGCACGAAAAACTTAGGTTCGGCGGCAGACATCCTAGAATTCGAAGCAGAAGAGGTTGCTGCCAGACAGCGGGAACGCGCTGCGCGCAGATCATCCCTCACTCTCGCTGGTACAACTAAAGTAAATAGCAGCTCTGGGGTAGGTGGCGCTATGAGCATGGCATTCCGCAATTCGTTGCGATCAAAGCTCTTCGGTATCAAGAAGGGCGCAAACGAGAACGACACACAAGGGGGCATCGATATGCACAAGGCACTAGATCGATTGACGTCGAACTCAAAATCACAAGACAGCGACAAGAATAGCAAAGTGTCAACCTCGGAGTCCTCAGACGACTATGGGGAAGGCGAGGACGCGGATGACGATCCAGATCGCATTGTGGCAACTGCGATGACCATTTTCCAGAGGGGAAAGAAGAAGAAACTTCGTACATGGGAGATGCTGAGGCATACTTTGGTAGTCAGTCGTGACGAGGCAACGGACCGCTCACGCGGAGCAGCAGTTGACGCTAGGGCTAGCATCCCTGTTGCTGCTGGTGTGTCGTCACTAAATGCTCTCGGCCAAAACAGTCCCCGAACAACTGTGTTTTCAAGAGCTTCATCAAAACTATCAACTATTACTTATTCCACAAATGCGTCTAGCAGCTACAAAAGCGTCGATGGAAAAAATCCGAATGGTCTGCCATCAACTGAGTCGGCTAGTACAGTGCTGAGTGTGGAGCTGGAGGACAGTGCAACAGCAATCACTAAGGATGTGAACACGTTGTCGCAGGCACAAGACCAATCGCATACTCATAGTGTAGCAGGGGAAGAGACCTTGATGTCTTCGGCTGCATGTGTCAGACTTGCGATCGATGGGCATACTCCCGCCTCTTCCTGTATGCCACTCTGTTTGGAGTTATTTGCGTATAACGAGATGAAGATGCCGAAGAGTTTCCTCGTTTGCATCTTGCCTCTCTTCGCTGGTCCCGCTCTCTTCAGCTTGCTTGAGAATGTGTCTCCACTTTACTCGCTGTCGCAAATCGCTTTAATCACGTTTGCAGTCGGATGGACACTCCCCAATCTTCTATTGCCGTCTCTCTACAGCCACTTGGTGCACAACGCGGACAGTCTTCGAGATGGCATCTTTGGTTAAGGCTCAACGCTAATTCACTTCCAACTCGTCCAAGGGCCATTTTCCTCTGCTTACTTTTGGGCATTCTGAAGGAATGAACTGAAGGAGTGAAGAATTGCTTTGCGCTCTAATTTGGGCCCTGGAGCCTTTTCTTCTCGCTGTTCTTCTACGTTGTTTCAACGTGTGTCACAGCACTGCTGCTGATGGTTTTGTCCTCCCTTCCGATGTTTTTCTTTCCGCAGTGCACGCTGTTGGAAATGGGCCGCGAGTGGTCATCTTCATCGTCAACGCGAACAGTAGACCTAGCTTCTGCATCCTCATCTAGGTATCCCGGCATCAGCGTACAAGATCTAGTAGTTACCTTTGGTCTCTACGGACTGATTTTTGGTTTGATGGCCTTTTTCGTCTTCGTTTCCCTCCGAGCGCACATGGCTGCTTCGCGACTCGCAACGATTCTCACTCTTTGCGCTTTACTTGGGGCCACGTTTTGCACCTTGTCGGGTTTCATGATTCGCGTGGGCGAGACCCGATGGTGGTTGCGTTGGGGCACGCTAGCCAGTCCAGCACACTGGGTTCAGCGTTTTTTGCTAGTCAAGGGCTTTCTCGGACAAGATTTCGGCTGCCATGCAGCTAGCTGTTTATCTGCGAGCGGAAATGCTTACATCGCGACGTTGTATGGAGGTCTTGCAGGCGTGGAGTACTCTTACGTAGTACTTTGTGTTTGGCTTTTGATCGCTATCGCTGGCTCGGTCTCCGCGTGGGCACGAACTATGTGTGGTGACGGAGGCGGCTGCAAAACGGTCCGCCTTCCTTCCGGAGAAGAGCTAGTTGATGCGGGCGGATTGAGCAGTTCCTTGCAAATAGGAGCAAATACGTCGAAAAACAACTACTTGCAGAAGCTTACGTCGAACAGGATAAGCCGCTCTGTTTCTGAGAATTTCTTATCTCTCCGGAAGAAGCTGCAGCCTGGCAGAAAGAAAGCACAAGCGGCCTCACATCCAGTATTGCTCCCGCGTGTAGCCGCTAACAACTTTCTGTCCTTGGTTAGGGAAGCGACTCAGCGACAGCGAGAGGCGAAAGAACAGCAGGGGAGAGAGGGAGACCAGGAGCCATGATCAATGCACTAATTTGAATGGATTGATGAAATGGATTTCTGCCAAAGCCTGCTACTGCTAGTTAATTGTGCCAATCGGCGCACGCAAACTCCTTCAATAGTTCTTGTTTTAGTTCTGTACTTGTAGCATCTATTTGCTGATTGTGCTTCTATTTCTGGTTGTGGATCTACTATTACTCCCAACTACTCCCTCGTCATCGTCGTGTTTTAGTTTCAAGTCTGTGCTGGAGGTTACTAACAAGATCGAACGAGTTCGATCTGGTTTTGATTCTTCAGCTGCAGCTTCTTCCGGATTGCAATTGCATGTGAAATGCATAAGTACCTGCGGCCACTCATTTTGATATGCACGACTTCTCATAGTTTTAGCTCTTGATGATCTTTGCCGATTCTCCATCGCAGGTGATTGGCGGCACGGGAGCACAAAATGCTCGGCAACGATTGATCGCGAGGCATAGATATATAAGATACGAGTGCCCTCGCCCACTGCTTTTATTATTTTGACAATGAAAATAGGCAGTAAATAAGATGGAAATCGTCATGGAAACAGGAAAGCTACAACACTCCTAAGACCAAACAAAATATAGAGTTGCTTCTTATTTCTTAAATGAATGTTGAGTGTTTAGTCAACGTGTAATCAGCATCTGCTTTGATTCACTCCTACTGGCACTGACCACGACTACCTGCACCTCAGAACATCACCAGCACGAATAAGCCATGTCGTCCAACAAGCCGTGTTGGATTCGCGAAGTGTATGTCGAACTAACCGTTCGGCTCCTAGAACGCAACGGACTGAAGATTCCTGATCTCTCTGAGCAATTCGTCGACGAAATCGTGCAGAATATGCCAGCAATGGACGGCTTTGTAGGCGACGGCTCAGGATCCTCTGCTGATGAAGAAACTGTATGCTTCCGGTCTTTGGTAAAGCCTGAATTTGATCATAAGGGAAAACAAGAAGAGAACCCTTGTGATCCAATTCAGCTTACCAAATACCGGAACCATTCAGAAGCAGCTACTACTCAAAATGTAGACTGTGAAGATTATGGGGATACGGATGCTCGAGGTCGTCCCGCATTTTCACCACGAAGCGGCAGCTCATGCTCGAAGAGTGGCACTATTGGTGGATCATCGTCCTCCCGTAGTGGGAGAACCGGAGAAGGAATCAGGAAGGGTGTGGTCGACGACCCTGAGTTTGAGTTGCATTTCCGCGTCCTCAGGATGGCTCTGATGGCGAGAAGCGCAGCTTTCTTACGACAGAGCAGCACTTCAACATCGAATTTTTCTGAGGATTTGAAAAGACGGTGGCGAAAATTCGTTCTCAACAATATTGTGGATCAAGCGGTATTCTTTTTCTTATGACATAATGTTATAACATAGGGTCTCATCATCCTCGACCACAGTATCCTAAGTTTTTATGACATCGACCTAACGCCTCTAGTTGCTTTATGGAAGGATGCGTAAGTACGCTACTCATTGTCAAATATCAACGGCTGTGTTGTAAAAAATGAGACTACATCAACAGGCCGATCCCTCGTTGTTTCCGTTCGCTATGCGTGGGAGCATCGAGGACGTGATCGCGGAACGGGAGTCAGCCATCCTCGAACTGCGAGAGTCTATTGCGACTCTTGAAAGTGAACAAGAACCAACATCTGTATGTGCATCTGGAGGCAGAGGTAGAGAACAGCGCCACTTGCAATTGCCACCCGACGCCCAGGACCTCCTGAACGGCTTGATACTCGACGCAGAGGCTGCGGCGCGCCAGCAGGTGTTCGCAGCGCGCTTACAGCAGGATAGCGAGATGTGGCACGCCTTGCGCCGACGGGAGGGACTGCCAGCAGGAGAAACGTTGCCTGAGAAAATACGGATCTCACGTCTTGAGAGTCTCTACCACGCTTTGCTTGTGGCGACAATGTTTCTTCCGCATCTAGAAGTCGACGAAAAAAAGCAAGACATGGAACTGAAACAGCATGCTCTCGTGCTGGGGATGTTATGGCATCTTCGCTAATATTCTAGTATACTTATATATAATGATCAAGATCAAGTTCAAGCGCAAAAATTTTGTTGTTGCTTCGCATTCGTCGTGTAGGCCCACATTGTCATCATCCTTATCATCTTGAGGTTCGGTAAGCAGAGCTAGAACTAATAGTACCAATAATCCTTCCTCTACGTGGCCTGCACTCTTGGTCACAGGAAGACTCTCATCTAAGACATACTGCGAACCTCACAGCAACCGACTCACAGCCAGGTGGCAAAGCAGGCGCCGTGGTCACCGACGATCATCCTGATTCGCCTATCATGCGTGAATGGCGGACGCCACGAAAGTTGGCAGTCGGATGAATGGACTTTTGATTCTTTCATTTACACTTTGCTTGTGATTGCTGTGAGATAAAGATGAGCATGAGGACGCAAAAAAAGATAAAGAAACGCCTGCTTGATCGACCTCCCTTACGCTTACTGAAGTCGGTGTACTTCCATTAGTCATACTACACATACGTCGTGTTCAAAGTAGATAGAAGAGTTTGGGACACCGAGATCAAGTAACTACTTGCTACTCGTACTCCTTCTCGATCCTAAGAGTCGACTTCAAGAAGCGATCCAGGTTCACCAACATGTAGGCTGCACGTTGAGATTGAGATGGTCCCCGAGAAGTTGTGATACAGGATTGGTGTTATTCTGAATTTAGTAGAGCAGCACGTCAGAGTCAGCGAGTGCGAGATCTCGTCCGTTACATTCTGATCGGTTACGTAGTCTTAATGCCCTCCAGCCTACGAAAAATCTGCAGGAGTAGTTAAGAGAAGATCATCTTAGTGAGCACAAACCCACTATATTGTCTTTGATTGTTGAGAGATCCTGATATCAATAACTATCAAATTCAAACTGTGACGTTGAGGTTGACGAGAAAAGAAAAAAATGCCGAGTGTCTCGGAATCGCAGAAGAAGCCGCAAAGTGTCGACGACGAGACATCCCCAGCGGCTAAACGCCAGAAGGCTGGGCCATCCTCGTCGTCATCCGGAAAGGCTGCAGCGGACCCGTCCGAAAAAGTCCAAAAGCAGGTCCTAGGTCCTAGCTGTAATACAGCAATCGTTTTTGTTGATCATAATGATCCCGAACCCGATTCAAGATCAAAGAAGAGTATGCGATGAATGAGAAGATTACACCTACAGCCACTGCTACTGCTACAGTCTAATGTGTCATCTGGAACAAGTGGCTCTTTTTACGTCCACTAAGAATCGACTCTCGTCGCGAGAACTGCTACTAATAAATCTGCTTGTTTATGTTTTACCATAGTCTATGATTCTTGATTGATTTGATTGCTACTTTCGATTGAGATTGACTGTCTGACTGAAAGAATACTGCAGACTGCAGCGGCGATGAAGAAAGCCCAGAAGGTGGCCGAGAAGGCCCAGAAGGCTGCAGCGAAGGAAGCCGCGAAGATGAAGAAAGAACACGTCCAAAAATTGCGGAAGGAGATGGTGGCGAAGCTCAAGGATGACATGGACGGAGAGGATGGCTCCGTAACCTGGCAGCCCTTTCAGCCGGATGACTTCAAAGTCATGTTTTGCGATCCGGTTGGTGTCCCCTACTACAGCGGAAACATGAGCTTCTTATGCCTTAACTTCGTCTTCATTTAATTTGTCTGTAACAATTAAGTACACTTATTGCAACTTCTCTTTTCAATCCTCAATTTTGTGACGCTTTTGCTTTTCTCACATATGATAAAATTTTACTTTATAATCTGTATTTTTTTTGAATCAAAAGTTGAATTTTGATTTTCAGTACTCTCTCCTTTGGCATCAGTGTAGTTTTACTATTTTCTCGTCGTCCGTGCTTCATGTTGTAGTCCAGTTCTTTCTACTCGGAGATACATAGTCGATTATCCGTTTCATCCGTACTATGAAAATTCAATTTACCATGGATGTGAAACTGAAAGTGAATGTTCTTGTTCATGAAAACCGGAAACTGATGACGACGAGATCAAGCACATCTTCGGCTGCGTGATCACGAAGAAGGGCTACAAGTTGATGGACATGGACATCGAGTACGTCGCAGACTCTCTTAAGGCTACCGCTGAAGCATCCTCAGCTCAGCATCATCCCTAGAAGCCTCTTTTTCCAGGGGAAAACGGGCGCAGGGATAGGCTCAGGGATGCACAGCTGTAGCGCTAACTCTCGAACACTAACGATTCATTATAGTGGCGAGTACAACCGGCGTCGTGACTCTTTATTTTGACATGAGATATATTATATTAATTACAATGACCTGTAGTAGTTCTATGACATAGCCTTAGCAAGATTGTAGATCCCTCTTCTATAGGAATTGCTCGGAGTAAAGTTAAGGAAAGTGATTTTCGGGGAAGTAAAAAGATGAATGGTCCCTTTTGGTCATTCCTAAAAGCAAGCACGCTTAGTTAAGCATCGTTCCACGCGTGCGACTCAGGCACAGCCCGGTCTAGTAATTCCTATTTCATCCCATATTTGCCATAGGACATCATGATCATAAAAATATATATTTATAAATTCGAATTCTGCTAACGTTAAAAAGCTCAGGAAGATGAAGAAACGTTACCAGGAGAAGGAAATATATTCATGACTGCACACGCTTCTTTGGCTCGTTTTAGTGTGTTGATGAGGTTGTTTGTCAAGAATTCACCGATGCATAACTGCACACGAACAGAGAAATGCTCCTCGTTGCTGGTGAAACAGGTCTGAAAATTGAAATGGGCGCATTATCATTTTTATGATGTACGACGGGATCAGTTGCCGCTGTCTACTTTGCACTACAACTCAATTTGGATCACTACCGCCACGGCTACAGCTTCCACCTGATCCTATCTTTACGAAAAAAAGATCAAGCAAGACGTAGAAGTAGATCTTCATCGACGAAGACGGCGATTGCGATCATCAGAGATTATATGATCTAGAGACAAGATGAAGATCTAGCTCCGTTGTAACAAACATGAAACATGTTCTGCTTTTATGAATTATATGCTTAACATGTGCTTACCGACGACATGCACTTGCTTCTGGCTGACAGGTCGGGTTACGTTGATCATGGTTATGACACTTTATTTCTAGTGTACGTGTATCTTGTCCTTGTGGTTTTGTTGTCCATATTATATTCGTCGATAATGTAGTTGTAGGGATAGGGGGGCCTTGTCAAACAAGATTACAAAAACGAAAGCGTTTGTGTTGCATCTGCTGCACTAGTGTTTTAGTCCTCCTAGTTCTGTGTCTTTCTAATATGTTCAGGAGTTGCTACTTGTGCTTCCTTGTAGGTCCATGTTTCACTTGCACAGCAAATCGATACCCTCTTCCTGACAGCATTAATAGACGAACAAAATGACTTCTTCAACATCATCCGCTGTGGAGACGCTTCTCCCTGCCGCACCCTCGTGGTATTGCGAGGTCTCGAATGTCGCCTGTGGTGAGTTTGTGGCGTTTCTCGGGAATCACCTGGTTACTGTGGTCCACGTTCCCTCCAGAAATGTGGTTTTTCGAGATGCCTGTGAAGCGGCTGTTGGTGTCGGGTTACTGGCCGTAGAACTACAACGAGATAGTAATGCTAATCCTAATGGAGAAGTTGCAGCAATCGGAGGTCCTAGTACTACTACTACCGGAGGTAGAGGTGGAGGAGGTGCTGGTGGAAATATTAACTCGAGCTCCTCTATATTGCGCGTAGTCACCGCACATAACGGAGGACAGGAGCGAGGTGGAAACCAACGTGGCGGAAACATCTCAAGCCAAGCGAAGTTTCTAGTACGTTTCCGAGATTTGAGGATTGCGGAGCTGAGACAGTGTGCGGAGAAGCGGTCCGTTCTTTGCAGCCCACCGCCAGCGTACGTCGTTGACGGGAGTCACAGCATAAGCAAAGACCTCACTGCTTTGGCGGCGCAACCAAGTCACAGTGTAGCCTCTATGAAGAACAATGGCGCTGGCAGCGGACCAGGAGGCCGCACTAGTACGACTACATCTTCTTCTTCGTCAACGACACGGAGGTCACCTGTTGTCATTGATTTTGCTGCTGGGGATAAGAAAGGCTGCTTGTACACCTGTTATACTAGCAGTGTCTTGAGGAATGCCAGTAGAGGTAATTCTTCCTCACACTCGGCTACTTTGACAAGGCACGCACTTGTGCAACTCAACAATATCTCTATCACGGCTCTGGCTGTAGATCAAGGCTTCGTCGCAGTCGGCCTGCAAACTGGTACTATCGTACTAGTCCAACTGACGGCCAACCGAGAGAACAACTTCTCCCCAAATTTATCTACTTCGACGTCTACGATGACGTCGAAAGAAAATGTAGTTCTCGTAGATACTGCATCCGCGAGTCGTGTGCTTGCAGGAAAGGTTAACTCACTCGCTGTGCTTGCGATTGACGATGACAGAGCAGTGGTCGTGGCGTCAGCAGCCCAAGAATTCGTGGTTTTGGAGTTTTCGATGACAACAGCCAGCTGCAACATTCTGCGCAAGCATAGTTTCCAAGCAAAATGGAGCTCAGTGGGCATAGCTCCATACTCTTTACGTGCAAACTTGGCCGCTCGCGTTGAGGGCGTCTCTACCATAGCTGTCACTTTCTTCACCAGTGCGAAGGGTGAAATCATGTATCTGCCCATCCTGTCCAGGACCACTCATCTGACTAGCAGCACACCCGGCGCTACTGATTATGCTTGTGGAGAAGCTATTCTCACTGATGGACAACAAGGAGACCACGCGCTCAGTCTGAGTTCATCTTATACGTTGGAAGCCGAGAAAATCCGAAGGCTCTGCGCTGGTAGTGGTTGCTATGCGTTTTCAATCCAGCCTGGATTTGTGGGCGAACAGCTCTTCTTTATTTCGAACTCTTTCGAGCGAAATATTACTCGTACCGATGTACAACTCGCAAGAATAGTCGCAAAAACAGATCAATTCTATGGTCAGCAAGCATCGGGAGCTGGAGGAGATTATAACTGCTCGCCGCGCAATGCAGCTGGTAATGCGTTTCAAATGGTTGAAGATAGTTCGTCGCCACGGCATCTGACAGGCGCAATCGGTGTACAAGCTGTTGAAAACGAAGAGTCCGGAACCGGTGCTGGCGCTTCCTCTCGCGGCGACCCACTCGGTGTTGTTCGGTGGCGGCTTTGCGGCTTAGCGGGTTATTGCCAGCACCTGAGCATGAACCGCGACTGCCTGGCTGTGATGAGCGGCGATGGACTTTTTCGCCTACTTGATTTGTACAACTTAGAGCACCGCCACCACGCACAAGAGGTCCAGGCACCACATGGCGCGGTCCTCAACATGGGAGCCATTGCCTCGAAAGCTTTGCACGCCCTTTTAGCGAGTGGCCTCGTACCAGGGAAGAGCCCGCCCGGCGGAGGTACTGGGGTCTTGGATGCAGCAGCAGCAGGTGGTGGCGGCGCCAATGGCAGTACGGCAAAATCGTCAAAATCCGGGAAGAAAAATCGAGGCAATAAAAACAAAACAGGAAACAAAGAAGGTTCTCAACAGCAAGCTCTGGTTGTACCTGAGATCGACACCACAACAGGAAGTAACGTTGGTGATCAATACAGCAGTGGTGCCATTATAGGACCAGGCTGTTCTAATGCAGACGCGGGCTGGTTTTTCTCCATGCAGGATGGGGGGGTAGGCCTTCTTTGTCGACCCGAGAAAGGAGCGGCGTATCAAAGTGTGTTGACCTCTTTGCCAGAAGCTGTGACGAGTTGCACCTGTCTCGGAGCCAAGGTCCCAAGTATTCTTGCGACAACTGCTTCCGGACATTTGATGCTAGTTGTTCCGAAATCTGCAGCAGCTGCTGCTTGCGAGGAACAATCTTCCTCTTTCAAGTCCAAGGCAGACGCAAACCTTGTTGATGAGACGACAACATCAAAACCTGACCACGTGATGCGGAATCGTGAAAATAAAGCCGCTGCAGGTACGGCAAGTGGAACAAATGCACAGAAAGGCCGTTCGTCTCCGTGGTCAGTGACGCGCGAATTCAGCAACTTATTTCGCAAAGTGCACACTTGTGTTGCAGTGCCAGAACTAACGAGGGGAAAAGCAGGAGGTTGCAAATCTACAGCTACTGCTCCTACGCCTTCAGCCTCGTGCTCGATATCTCCTCGAAACGAGCAGCACATCACCAGACAGGAGCACTATTTTCTAGTCGGGGGAGAGAGAAATGTTGTCAACGAACGGCAACAAGGTGCAACTGCGCAGATGGAAACGCACACCACGATTTCTCTCTGTCGCGTTGTCGAGACCACGAAGTCAGTTTACGTTGTCGAAGAAAAAGAAGGCGAACACTCACATCAGGAGGAACAACAACAAAAGTCTATCATGATGTTGGAGAGCGAGCAAACAACAGTTTCTATTGAAGAAGTTGCGGTGTGTGACTCTGCGCGCATGGAGGGCGTCATCTCCTCTATTCAGGTGGTAGAGTGTCCACGTGCGAAAGAGCCGCTGTACACCGTTGCAGCCGGCTTTCAGAGTGGAGACCTTGGCCTCTGGCATCTCGTGCCGATTTCTTCTTCATTTGCTGAGGAGGCTGAGCCTGAGGAGACAAGAACAACTATAGACGCTCATGTGACAATCCGTAGTTGCAGCAGTAGCCTCTCCTGGCAGTTCAGGGACGTGGTGTACAAAAGCAAAGCCCATTGTGGTGGTGCGCTGACCGCATTGGAGCTCAGACCTAGTTTAGTGGATGACACGTTATTTGTTGCCTCACTTTGCGTGAGTGACAAGTCTGGTGTCAAGGTGTGGCAATGCCGGAACCTGTTTCAGAGTCCGATGGTTCAGCACGCCAGTGCCACGACAGAAGCAATAGCTGCACGAGAAGACGCCACGACCACGACGGGTACCGAGGCCATTCTTGAGACTGAGAAACCTGCGTCAAACGACGTTACCTCCAAGCGTGCGTCAAAGACTAACGTATCGTTGGAGGCTTCGACTTCTTCTATTCGAGACGACATAGCTGCACCTGCAGTGCCATATTTGCATTTGTTCGCACGCGTTCCCCAGAACGGTCGCCCTTTACTCACACTTTGTTGGGATCCTCGGACGGCCCGATCACTGTTTTTCGGCGGCTATGACGGCGTGCTCAGTCGAACGAGCGTAGTCGAACAAAAGAAGTCAGATTTGATGAAGCCTGGTGGTGCACGCGCTGGGCAGCAGTCTTCCGTTGATGCAGACAGAGGAGCAAGTAAAGGGCCAGCTGAGCGCTCCTCCAAGGGTGGCGTGTCTGAGCGACAGGGAGGACCCCGGACCCGTAATGGTGCTGGCAAAGGCAATGTCACAGTTGATCAAGAGCAGTATGCGGATGGAGAACTTTCTGCGGTCGTGGCATCCGTTCCGATGTCGGACCTCACGGATTGCGTAGAGGAAACAAGCCGTGGGGGCACTGGAGGACTTCTAGGGACTGGAGGTAAAGCATCTGCAACTGCTGATACTCCGACTCCGAGCCAAGTATTTAATAAAACCGCTGTGGCAGTGGCAGGTTCAGGAGCTTTTTCCTCTAGTTGCTCTACAATATCAAAATCGACTCCGAGAGAACGCGATCGAGAAAGCGTAGCAACTCAGAGCGTGGTCGGCTTCGCTGCTACTGGTAGTAAACGCGGAGGTGCCAAGAAGACTGCGAGTTACTCAGTTCCGTGTCTTTGCCCTCTCACCCATAGTTTCGAAACACAGGCTTCTCAGGTGCAACTGCTTGGGCTATTGTGCTCGCTCTTACGGCGGGAGTTAACTGCTGGAGATCAAAGGTCTGTGCTAGAACCTGACTCCGACCACAAACAGAATGTTGCGGTCGAAGAACAGCTCATAAGTGCAGTTTTTTCACCCGTCCTGTCACAAGAAGCTGCGTATTTGTGGCATGCATGCGAAGCCTCAGAGTGTGGGCTAGCACGCAATGCCTGTGTATCTCAGTTCCGTCAAGATTTGCTAAGATTCTGGGTACAACCTCGCCAAGTGCTTGCAATGGTAGGACAGCTACCTCCACCTGGAGGCCTCCTCTGTGGACAAGCAGACGACCACAAGGGACCACAGGAAGCTACAGGCATGTGCATCCATTTCCCGCGCGTCGTCCACGGAGCGACGAGTAGCAATGCGACGTTTGAGAGTCCGCAACTTCCGGCAGAGCTCTTCTGGTTCTCACTTGGTATGGTCGCCAAGGAGAATCTGTCGCAAAGCGTTACATTTGGATCGGACACGGTCAGTGTGATGAAGCATTTGGGAAGAACTTCTGCCGCAACTACGACTCCAGCTCCGGCACCCAGGAGTTTTTCCGGCGATCCTTTTCTTGCGTCGGCGTTTTTTTTGGCGCAAGAGGACGTCTCTGGTGCGGTAGAGGCGTTCCTACGCGCTCACTTCTATCCCGAAGCGGCACTTCTAGCGCGTCTGCGATTGCCTAGCTGCCATCCTCTTGTTCGCAGAGTGTATCAATCGTGGTTTGACGGTGTTGATGCAACATCTACGACAGGGATCTCGTCTGCGCCGGAACAAGCTAATTATTCATCTCTGACAAATACTGGTAAATCTTCGTCCACGTCGGTAGCAACACGTATGGAGATTCGAGCCATGCTGTGTATCACATTGGGCCGTTGGAACGACTTGTCGCGAATGCTGGAACGCTCACGCTTGCAGCTGGAGGAGAAGCTCGACACTGGTGCTGCGAATAACGCGTTGATGTGCGAGAAAATCGATAGGCTGAAGGAGTGCGCGCAACTGCTAGATGCACGAGCAAAGAAACAGTAGGCGTGAAAACTCTTTGTCTTTCTTTGTGATACTACTGATAATATCCCAATTCTAACACTAACACTTTCACTTCCCGGACCCTTTCCCCTCTACTAGCAAGACCATCGTTCGTCTTCCGTCTTCGTCTGTTTTTACTATTATATCAACACAAGAAGCTGAAACTGCTGTTCACTTCAGAACCACCAGTTTCATTCAGAATTCGTCTAATTTGTGTTTATCTGGAGCCTGTTGAATAGGGGGTGAAAGAATATGTTCACAAAACAAATAGACGAAGCGAGAGAATGCGCACGACCTCCTTTTGGAGGTAGGACCTCCTGATGAGTCAGTTTGTTGACCTGGAAATCTTGCGTAATAGTCAAAGGTAAGAGAGTGCTTAGAGTGACCGCCTACACTCCTATGGTGACGCTTACGTCATGCTGATGCATTTTAATTTTCTGGAGGAGCAGTGAATTAGCTTCAGGTTGAGGCTTTAATCTTGTCTTGATCTTTTCCCCGCCCGCCTCTCCTGGTCCCCCAGTAATAACTTCCAAGCTCAAGCTTTCTTTTAGTGAAATAGAAATTTTACTTGTATCTATGAGGTATGAGTGTTTGACAAGATTAACCTTCTTGTGCAGTCACCAGGTCGAAGACCGTTGAATTCACGACGGCATGAATGAATCATGCTAATCATCTTAATGCTCTTCCAGCATGTTCAGCACTTTTTCTTTTTTCTTGCTACATTTTAGAATTCGTGTAAAAATCAAAATCAGTTGTAAAGAGCTGAATCACAATCATTAATATCATATCGACATTAAAAATGGCATCTTCCGCTGACCGAATAAGTACAATTACAAGGGGTCCTGGACGCCTGGCACTTCCTGGATGGGGCATTTGCAGAGGTGTTCAAGATCACCCTCATATCTTTTGTGCTGACTTTCGTACTCGAGCTCTTCTCGTTCTTTCGTACCGTATACCGACTATGGAAGAAGAACAGCAGCTGGGACTAGTACGGTGGCGGCGTCTATCTACAGGCATTAGCTTGTAACGTGGTCAACACCTTGGTGTTTGCGCTCTTGACCTTCTGCGCCGTGATGGTTCTGACGCTCTGAGCGGCGACCCTCGAACCAGGAGCGCTATGATGTCGGATTCGACTTCGAGCACGACTGGAGCTTCATCGACGCATGAAAATCAGTCCATAATATGATCGATTCCCTCCGGCGCTTGCTCCTACCTTTTCTTGCGACGATTGTGGGCAAAAAAGTTGCTATCTTCCAGGGCATCGGGTATGGCGGGGCATGCATTGCCAAAAACTGTATTGGATGCACAGCTTTCGCCACAGACTCGCAGCACATGCAGTGCCCATGGCTGCAAATGCTGTTGCGGTGTATGAGTACGGTTTCGCTTACTTATCTCTTGTCCAGACTGGTCGCTGTGTTTGTGTTAAGACCTGCACCATTCTCACTCTACGGATGATCTATTATATATAGGTTATAATTAATTGTTTGAAAGGGCGGTGGCATATAGTCCTAACGCAAAAACAAACATTACGGGTGCTAAGAACAGTAATATCAGGGGCATACACATGACGCGAGCTCTTGTCAGCTGGATGGCTCATCAGCAAGCATTTAAGCAAATTGGAGTGCAACTACTCGGCTCCGATTCTGGATGTTAACTGCTTGTTTAATGAGCGAGTCGTGCAACTTTTTGCTTTTTTTGGAAAATCCAAGAGAAAAGTGGAAGACACGTCGACGAAGACGCAACCCGACAGGAAAGAAGAAGCCGGGAGCGAGAAGAAAGATCGATTATTAAAGATCGCTGCGTAAGAAAGATAGCCATAAAACCGAGTGGGCATCGATACTCTTGAAAAGCTCTATGTGGATATGGATGATTGCCATATTATCAGGCGAGGCAGTAGTTGAACGTAGACGTATACAGTAGCACCAACCACCAGCACCAAAATCAGTCACTCAATGATGTTTGCCTATAAAATTATGTTGCTGCAGCATCAGAAGCAGAGCTATCAGATAAGTAATAAAAGTAGTCCAAGTTATTTAGCTATTTGGGTGTTAGTAGAAAGTATAGTATGGGCCTCTGGGCATGGAGTTAAATAATGAGCAGTTGGAATGAACAGATGAAAGTTTCACGAATGAGAATGACAACAACTGACTTGTGCCATGAGATTGTGGAGTCGTAGTACTTTCCCACGCTATGATTCGTGAAGATCAGATTCAAAAACGGATGAACCATGATCAATTAAGTTTCATCGAAGAAGGAGGATGCATGCTGCAGGTTTCGCAGTTTGATTGGTCCATGCACGGACCGTCGATGCGCGCATTTGATGAAGTACTATCGCGCTTTTCATATCTTTGTGACTAGCGTAAGTACCAACCCCTGTCATCGGTTATGATGGACTAACACTAACTACCTGCACCAGAACCGGAAAACACGATAAGGATGAACACAACTACTAACTTGGAGATCAAATGGGCTAGGCAGTATTGAAGATCCAAACGAGACAGATCAATGGTCTTTGTCATGTCCAAGAAGATCCTCTACTCCTTGTTTTAAGAACTTCCGTTTATCTTTACCTTTTTTGACAATCTTTTTAATTTTAACAATGATGAAAGACGGGTCAACTGGTTTTCAAAGTCGTGCTTCTCGATGCAACATCTTCTAGATCAAATTGATTTCCAAGCCCTCGTCAAGTACCTCTGCCGACCTCTCACCCTCTTGTCAATTTTACGTACTATTTCTCTAACAGGCATGAGGATGAGGATGAGCATTACGACATATTAAGGGTTGTGTATTAGTCAGTTTTTCTACCGCGTTGACGTTGTAACATCAATGTTCGTCTAGTTCTACCCGAGGATGATCATGATGGAAAATATTATCTTAGCGACACATCGACTACAAGTACAATGATGACGACACCAGGAGGAGTCCCTTTTTCGCCTGCCGAGCATGGCAAAGGCAAACGCAACGAGGGATCTGCTTCAAAACAAGGAGACGCTGGTAAAAAAGGTAGTGGCAAAGGCTCCACCTTTGGCTTTGGAGGTAAGGGCAAGAATGGAAAGCAAGTAAAAGGCCTCGGCAAGACGGACAAAAATGCTGCGAAAGGCGGTAAAAACTCCAAGGATCCTAATGCGCCACCCAGTGCAGCTGCCTTGACGAGCCTGATCAAAAGTGCGTGGACTTTCGAAGCCTTTTTTGAGACGTTCTCGAAGCATAGCTCACAATTGGACCACATCCATTTGTCCGCCTGCTGGAGTGCCTTAGGACAGTTGGTGGCTTACATTAACGGAACTAGTTCTACTAGTCTAAGTGAAGGAGCCGATCGAGATTTTGAGAAGCTTGTACGGGCGCAACACAGTCTAGCTATGGATGCGCTCGTCGCGCAGACGTTGAAGACAGTAAAAACGTGCAAGAAAATTAGGGCAAGGCAGTTGGCCAATATTGCACACGGTTTAGCCAAAGCAGGTTGTGCAGGAAGCAGCACCGCAGAACTGTGCGCGGCTCTCGCAATCGCGCTTCAATCGAGATTGCGGGACTGCAATACCCAGGAACTCGCTAACGTGGCGTGGGCCTTCGCAAAGATCCACGTGTCGATATCAACTGGGGGAACATCTTCTGCTGAGAGAACTTCCTCTTCCTCAGCAACAACTAGTACAGGCAACAAGGCTAGTACTGCGAGCAGCAAGCCTAAAAGCTCTGCTTCTGTTGTGGAATCGAACGCGATAAATGCAGCTCGACGACTATTCACCGTTCTTGCACCCGTAGCAACGGAGTACTTAGACCACTACAATTCTCAGGAGCTCGCAAACACGGCGTGGGCTTTTGCAACCATTTTAGCATCGCAAGCGGAGGAAACAATTCAGAATTCCAACGTGGCAGCAAAGCCATTTTTACAAACTCAAGCACAACAACAACTTGCGCCGGATAACAAAGCCTTGTTTACAAAGCTTGCACGCATAGTCACTGAGAAGGCTGACGAGTTTGCACCGCAGGGTCTCGCAAATGCAGCGTGGGCTTTTGCCAAGGTTGGGCATGTAGATGCAACACTTTTTCAAAGACTAGCACAAGTTTGCCGTACTAGAATCCAAACTCTGAATGCGCAGGATGTGTGCAATATTGCCTGGGCGTTTGCAAAATTGTCCCAATACGACGCGGAGCTCTTCGCTGCGCTAGGTAGCCGCATCAAAGCACCATCTTCATCATCGCCCCTTCGACAGTTCAGCACGCAGGGCTTGGCGAATCTGGTCTGGGCATTTGCTCGCTCGGGATCTCTTGACCAGGATTTATTTGCGGCGTTAGCAGGTAATTTCAAAACACACTTGAGTGTGAAGGAGAAGGAAACGGCATTCAACGCGCAGGACCTAGCAAATGCTGCCTGGGGCTTCGCGAAAGGCTGTTACGTAGAGGCGGAACTCTTCGCTGCCCTAGCTAGAGCGGTGAAAAGTCGGCTTGATCAGGGGCAGGCATCAAGTAAATCCGCAACCACAACTAGAACATCATCTTTTTCGACATTCAATGCGCAAGATCTCGTGAATCTGGCTTGGGCTTTCGCAAAAGTTGGACACTTTGGGAAAGAAGAAAATGAAGGGCAAATGAACGGAATGGGAATCGGAAAAGCGCCAGCTTCTGGTGCGAGCAAATGCGTGTTTGACCTTATTTCCAGAGCCCTGACTTGCAACCAGGGACGCTTATTGCATGACCTGACAGCGTCTCACATAGCCAATGTCGCATGGGCATTTGCAAGAGCACCTAATGAAGAAGATAGTGGCAGCTCGTCGTTCTCTGCATTTTTCGCGGTTTTGGCAAGCTCGGCAGCGCGTCGAGTTGGCGATATGGGTGCGGCCGATCTAGCGACTCTGGCATGGGCGTTTGCGAATGCAGGACAGCTAGACCCAGATCTATTCACCTCCCTGGCGACCGCGGCGCATAAATTTCTAGACGACTTTAATGAAGAAGAGCTGAGTAACACGGAATGGGCGTTCTCGCGTGCTGTGTCTGCGTCAGGAGCTGCGAGCTCCAGTTCAGAGTTGCAATCAGTAACTCATGCGTTGCGAGCACGCAGGAAGCGATCTAAAGAACAAGACGAGGGAACCGTTGAAGGCCGCGATGTGCCAACATCGGATCAGAAAGCTTCGGAGAAACTCGTTGTGAATAACGGTAAAGAGCTCAAGAGCATGGGTGCTGGAATATTAAGCAAGGATCTAGAAGACCTTGCCATTGCACGCTGTGGCCGCATTGTTGTCGCAGGCGGTGGTATCGGTGGCGCTGCACTCGCGGTCGCCCTGCAAGTTCACGGCTTTCAAAACGTGCTTGTTCTGGAAGCGGATGCGAGTTTTTCTTCGCGAAAACAGGGATACGGTCTTACCATCCAGCGACAGGAGGCTACACAGGCCATGGGAATCGACTTAGCCACAGACGACGCGCCTTCTACGTCGCACTACACGTTTGCTGCGCAAACAGGTGAAATCCTAGGATTTTACGGCGAGGCTTTCGGCGCAAGCTCCAAAAAGCGCGCGGAGGCCGCAAACTCTGGACGCTTTGTCCACATACCACGACAGAGTCTTCGACAGCGCATACTGGAACGCATTCAGCGGCCTGAGCAGACCATTCGCTGGGGAAGTAAGCTACAAAGATTCGACTGCAATAGCAGTGCTGACCACAATGAAGTACAAGACTCAGCATCAGTTTCACTGCTTGATGCTCCTTCAAGAACTTCTAGCTCTTCCCTTCCTGCGTTTTCTAAAAGAAAGAGGAGGAAACTGGAAGCAGAGGCATTGCGTCTAAATCAAGGTGGTAGTGGTGGTACAACCTCGTCGTCATCTAATAAGAACAACTCTACTCCTGAGGACGAAATCAAAGGAAAGGTCAAGGTCACACTGACTGATGGGGTTCAGCTCGGTGCGGAGCTTTTAGTAGGAGCAGACGGGATTTTCTCGACCGTGCGTCGCCAAATGCAACTTCCCGGTGATAGGTTGAACTACGTGGGTCTCATAGTCGTCCTCGGCATAGTAGAGGATACGACGACCACTTCATCTACTGAAAGTCCTCGCATCACTTGTCCTTTGGCTGATCGACGCATCTTTGAGACCGTGGACGGTTCCACACGGATATATGCAATGCCGTTCACAAAAACGTCAACAATGTGGCAGCTTAGTTTTCCCTGTGGAGAGGACGTCGCGAAAAAACTCTCAAAGGACCCCGCTGGCTTGAAAGCAGAAATCGTGCGGCGTTGTGCTTCCTGGCATAACCCCGTCCCGCAACTACTCGAGGCAACACCGCTAACCGGCATGGCCGGGTACCCAGTGTACGATAGAGAACCTTTGCAGGCAGAAGTTCTGGCGAAACTGCCACTAGATGTAGTAGATGCTGCCCAACATCGTCGTGTCACCTTAATGGGTGACGCGGCACACCCGATGACCCCTTTTCGTGCCCAAGGTGCCAATCAGGCATTGAGCGATGCTGTGTTGTTCGCAGAGACGTTGCGAGAGTCAATCTTGAAGCAGGTTCGAGACGGTCACAGCTACATCGTTGGTGCTCCTTCCTCGATCACTAAAGCCGACGATGAGCAGCAGAAGTTTCAGCTTCACCTGCCTCATCTTGATACTGCCATCAGCGCAGGAATTGACGCGGCTGTGCCAATTTTTGAGCGTAAGATGTTGACCCGTTCTTGTCGGATGGTGACTGGATCCCGCGAGAAGGCCAAGGAGCTGCACAGCAGCGTGGTGCTTCAGCAGGGCCGCAAGGTGCAGCGCGAGACCGGTGGTATCGATATGCAGCAGGCCTTACGTATCTTACGAGACAAGGGGATTACGGCCTTAGCCGCTGCAGATCCAGCGGGGCTGGACGTCGTCGTGGCAAACGCAATAGGTCTGGGGACGGGGAGCGAGAAGAACCACGAAAGAAGTACAACCAAGACATCAAAAAAATTGACAAAAACAAGTAGCAACTCCTCGAAAACTAGTTGCCCTGAAATGAATGATAGTCCAACTTCCGCCTCGACCGCTAGCACGACTAGTAGCTGTAGAACGACAGGGGTGGATCAGCCTTGCAAGACGAAAAAGCCTGTAGAAAAACTAGGGGGACCAGTACAGAGTACGAAGAGAAAGAGAAAAAGAAGTTGTATTTACGTGGCTGCAGAAGATAATGCGGTACAAGATAAAGGCGAATCTGACGATCCGACAAAGAGACAGAAAACGAAAAGAGAAGCGGGGGTCGAAGAAAATGGAAATGCTATCTGCTCAACAAAAATTACACAAGTTTGGGGCCGTCACGAAGAGAAGTGGCAGCGATGTGTTCTATTGAGAACGCGCAAGTCAGGTCACGAAGTTGTGTGGCGCGACGGAAGCACGCAGGTCCTAGGATTTGACTGCATTAGAGAAGAAGCTCCGGCGAAAAAATGGAAGAAGTCTTCTCTAAAAATGACAAATCAAAAGGTGTAATGACATTGCGTGGGATCATCTCAGCATGTTTCTATTAGCCGCGCCCGCGTACCCGTACGTTTGAGAAGATATTTTTAAGTCCTTTGGTCTTCCACGGTCTACCTCACTATTAGCCGCGTAAGTACGCATTTTTCGTAAGCACTTTGGTTTTTATGGTCTAGCTCTTGCTCCTACAACTCCTCTATAGATTTATTTACAAACGCCCTCGACAACCGACTGATGGTCCTGCCGATGATTCAGACATACAACATGGTCCCTTTTTCTACCCCTAAGGACGCAATGGGATCTCATCGGACTAATGGTCGTACTGGAGGTGATAGATGAGCCCAAATACCCACGAAACAAATACCCACAGCTTCACTTCTTGCGGCTGATGTGGGTGATCGTAAGCAAGGAGACACATTGCATCGTTGTTCTTTTGAAATGAGAATCAGCGGATACGTTCTTTTCATGATGTTTGAACTATTGTGAACCTGAGCAGTACCAACATCTGAGATTGAGAGAGTGAGAAGTCTCGTTGTAATGGAGGGTGTGGCAACTCTTCTCTGCCTGTGCCAAAGTGAAACAGTAAAAGACGTCCCTGATCAAACTACGCCTAAAAATTGCAATCAAGCAAAGGAGATGGAGATGCTCAATCGACATTTTCAAAAATTCAGAACAATTCTGTAGTAGGCATGCATAAGCAAGTCTAAAGATTGGAGTTGGAGGGGACAGGTTTAGAGAGAAGGAGGGAAGCTACTTGTTTCTCCAGTAGCTCTTCGACTAGAAAAATGTCTATGTCTGCACTGGATATCATGGATTCGCACGATCCGTCTTCCACACTTGCGGAAGGGGATGACGACGAGCAGCTTCGTGATGTCGATGAGGAGCAAACGACGTCAGCAGGTGTTGCACGTCTCGCTGCGCAGGTTGCAAACAGTGCAGAGAGACTTTTTTGCTACTTTCCAGAAACAGCGGCATCAACAGAGCCACAAGGCGAACGCCAACATGTTGATGGTCGTCTTTGCCAAGCAGAGCAAGGACAAGGAGTAGGTGTAGAGGTTAGAGAAAATATGCTACAAGTTCAGCCATTGCCACGTGTTGTTGATGGGCATGGATATGGAGCGATGGAGAATGCTCGTGAAGTGGAAGCCTTTCGAGGCTCGTCGATTTTCGTGCCTCGTGGCGCTGAGTGGAGAAGGTATGTCGAGGCAGACAGCTGGCAATGGCAAGCGCGGGCTCCGGAGCTACATCGCGCGCCAGGGAGTTAAGATGAATTTTGTTTTTTTACGCGAGTCTTGCATGTACATGCACTATTCATCGCCAATCAGCTCCTACAGAACTAGATTAGTTGTGACAATACACGTAGATCACCTAGATGAGGTCGTGAAATACGTGATGTTTGCTTTCTCCTTCTCGGTGGCTTGTTGAGCGTAGTAAAGTATGATCTGCGTGGTTACGCAGCTTGCGATCATGGCAGCTGTTTCTAAGGCACTACGTTGACGCAGAGGAAATTCGAGAATGCGATTGCAGGATTGGTCGTTGACAAGGAGGAGGCACTTGCACGGGCTGAAGTTGAGTTCCGAAAGCAAAAGTCTCTCGAGGTCCGGCGGGAAGCTGCGCGTGCGCGTCGGGAAAACGCATTGATTACGCGTATGCAGCGTTCTCATGGTGCTGAGGAGGAGCAAGCACGACCCAACGAAGAACAAATATTCTGCGAGGAAGCTCTCGACTTTGGGTATTTTATATATACTACAAATATTGAAATTGAAGCATGTTGAACTTCTTGAACTGACCACATCAATCTCAATGAGCTTGATGTATCTATTAGTTAGTAGACAGAACAACAGTAGGCCTTTATTGTTCCACTTCCTCTTGTCCCTTCCCATCTCATTCTCAGTCTGTAAATGCCGAAAAGAGATCAGATTTCGGGTTCTGAAATTTTAAGGTAGTCCGTCCGCTGCTTTCCTGGAGTCCCCCTTACCGCTAGTGTGTAGCACGTGCTTCGAACCCTGCCGCTTTGTTTGTCCGGCTCAGTTGCATCGATATTGCGAACCAGCTCACAAAAAATGCGACTGTACTCCGGAGCTCCATTTTCAGCGGCGTGGCCCGTTAGAATGTCGGGATCCGACGGAACTTCACACTGCATTTGAGGCCGAGTTAGCCAAGAGGGAACGACGTGCTGCTTGGGAAAAAGACCACGTAGCTTTGAGCAACAAGAAGAGTATGAATCATGAGATTCAGGCACGAGAACGTCTACATCGAGGAAAAGTCCTTGCACAATCTTCAACTTCATCTTCATCTGATCAAGCTGAGAGGGAGAGCCACACGACACGGACACACGAGGAACGAGAAAATGTTGAAACGAGAACGCCTTCACGTCGACCTTTGAAGATTCCCTATTGTCCGGTCTGCTTCGCGGCGCCCTGTCAAGAGTGTTTTTGCACGGATTGCTACAGTGTTGCCTACTGTTCGGCGTTGCATCAGCAGCAACATCGAGAGCTACACGTCGAAGGTTTCGAAAGTCTTCAAAAGAAGTACGGTGTCATGGGCGATGAAAACAAGACCACGAAGTCTAACAGTAAGAGCATAGCAGGAGTAGAAGCTGGGGGAGAACAGCGGCCTGAACCTTCTTCAAAACGAGCTACCGGTACTAGAAGAACAGAGTCTGCGTCACCCACTGTTGATGCAGACCTCGAAGTTCTAGAAGGACCACAAGCACAAGCTGCACATGGAGTTGACTGTTCTAGTCTTATTACAAAAGACACCCTCGTGCGCGGTATTTTTGACCGATTTCCCATGCTCTTGTTTCCGACCTGTAAAGAGCTTCGAGGCACCTGGCAGGCGAAACGACAGCACTACCGCGACAAAGTGCGAGGACTGCCATCTGTCTTTCTACGCAACTTCCCTGTGCTTATGAAAAGCAATGGAGATGGCCTAGAAGAGCACGATTCGGACACGCAGATCATGGAGAGAGTGCCACCAGTACTAAGGCTTTCTTCTTCATCTTCATCTGCCTCTTCGATAGGAAAAAAAAAGGGACAAGGAGATAGTACTAGTAGAGATAGACGGAAGATGAAACACGACCTCGAACAAGTGTCCTTGTTCGATTCCGCGTCCTGGACAAGCTTCTTGCTGAATAGTGGTTGGGTGACAGCGTGTCTTCCTCCAGCCGAATGGGGTCTCCTTTTGCATGGATTGTCCGAGGTTTTTTTGATCCTGCAGTGCCGCAACTATTTGGAAGTGCCACCGAGTCCCGATACTTCTGTCATCGAACAAGAAGACAGCCACGACGTCATAATGGAGGCATTCAAGCCAGCAGTGGACACAACTGAAATATTCACAAAAAGCCGTCCTTTGAATTATAAAAAACCTGGTTTAGTAGAGGTTGTAGACAGAACAACAACTAGAACTACCACTAGTACTTCGGAACATTTCGTGGATGATTCACTACGCGAGCAAGTACAAGGACAACGGCAACAGAGTTTACAGACCATTCCGGAAGAGGAACTGGAGGTCTTGCGACCCTCTCCGGCTTTGCGTGAATTGCAAGGTGCCTGTAGTCAAACGGACCGCAAAAAAGCGATTCTTGATGCACATGGCGCTTTGTTGAGCGCACGCCGCCGCCCTGGTCGGCTCCGCATTGTGTATCTCCACGCCACGCCTGACATTGAGTTGCAGCAACTTGCGAAGTGGGCCTTTCTTGTCATTAAGCTCTGGGTTTTTTACCTTTACAACGCTTAAAGTTTAGGTCGGTTCCACCACAATTGAATTTATAACGCTTAAAGTTCAAGATTGATGTCAATCTTTTCGGAACGACTTCAAGTTCTAGCACATCTTCTTGTGCCACAACCACTTCCACCACATACATGGCTCTAATATGCACATGGGAGTTGCCGACGACGTTGAAGTGGCATTTCTGTTGCCAGATCATGTCCACTATTCCTGTCCGCAGTTTGGCGACCTCGTTGTGGACGGTGAGGAAGACGAGGAGCACTCGTCATCTTCTACCGAACAAGCTGGCGGGGGTCGTGGTGGAGTGACAGATCACAAGCCACCGGGAACTTTATTGAACTGCAGTAGACTTCTTCGCAGATCAACAAGGTCATCTGCAGGTTCAGACGTTGGGGAGACGTCGGAGAGACCTTCCTTCACTTCGAGAACACCGAAGCACGCGCAGGCTAAACAGGAATTGAAAGTACGGCTGCTGCCTCTGCATGCAGGAATCTTTCCTGCTTGGTTTCTGAATGCGCGCACGCACGTTTTCGTCGCAAACGAGCTCGATTTCGACTCATTTTTTGACGAATACGCTGTATTCGCGACAGCACTTCCGACTAAGCGGCAACGGGAGGTGCTTAGAGGCTTGCGCAATTTCGGAGAGGCAGGATCCACGCTCCTCATCACTAACTCGACCAGAACTGCGGTAGCAAGAAATGCGCGTTACTTACGGCAGGTGCTCGTGCTCAGTGCCAACACACTCTACGTCTAGTCTCTCTCTCTTCTTTGTAAACTTAGATTTCGAGTACTTCTTACGGAAGAATTATAATAGAACAGTTTATAAGGGTTCCCAACATGGCTGGGCTGGGCACACTGGGTCGCTGGGCGACCCAAATGTGCCACATCTTCCGAATTCTGCGCCCAGCGTCACGCTGGGCGTCCTTTCCAATTGCGGGGCGCCCTTCGGGCGCCCGCTTGAGAACCCCGCCAGCAGTGCTAGTCTAGCGTAGGCCAAGGCCAACGACGCTGGCGAGTTCAACGTTGTGCACAAGAGCGGCGCAGCATTGCACGCATCGAGCAGCGCGACGCAAATGCAAGCCTGAACAGAACAGGCGCCGCGCAGCCCGCTACTGCGCAAACTGGCGCAGCACTGCCCTGAACCTTGAGGGCGGCGCGCCGCCTTTGTTTGTCCTCACGGGACGCGCTGCAGCGCGTCCCCGCGACGCAAGTAAATCCATCAGCCGCGCAGGCTCGGCATGCCCAACGTGTGGCCCTCAAGTCCGCCAAGTGCTATCCAAGCGCCCGCCCAGCGTGCCCAGCGTTGCCGCCCGGTGTGCCCCGCGTTGCCGCCCAGCGTGCCCAGCGAGGCCGCCCAGCCACCCAGCGTAGCCCAGCGTGCCCAGCCGCCCAGCGTCTATAAACTACTCTATTATAAGAAATCTCTCGATCTGCAGAGGCATCTAGTTCATCAGCGATGCTTCTGAAGAACTTAAATGTGATCAATAACCTATGCAGCACTCTAGCGCACGACAAGCATCGTTTTGACCTTGATGTTAGTCCGCAAATCGTGCAATAGCTTCAAGATGGGGGTGGGGCTCGGTTAATAAATTACTGGTGGCGCTAAATTGTGCGATCGAAAAGCTCGGATTCAGCGCGGTATCTTCAGGGCGAACTCACGATGAAGATGATCCACTTGACAATCACATTGAAATATTCGAAAACAATTTTGCCAGCCCATTGTATCTGCATGTAAACTTTGGGCGTTTGTTTCAATTCTTCACACTTCTGCGCAAGCACTTTACGATGTGAGAAAGCAGAACTACCTAATGATTTGATTTTTGAAGAAAATAGAAGAGACAGGCAGATGAACTGAGTACATGCGAGGAGGTTCATTCGAAAATATTTCGTTAATACGACGTCCTGCTGTGCTACCACGAGTTTTACTGCAGTACATTGCGAGCACCTTCTTTATCGTTCCTTCGCTAAAGAAGGACCTCAGGGGCAGAAGCAGTCCCTAATATGCGCATACTAGTGCTATTTTTCAATCTAGAGTAACTAAGTAAGTACTTAAACAAAATATTCTCTCCTATTCACCAAGCAAATCCTTGTAGGGCATTCAACTAACCACCTTAGCGAAAGGTGTAAAAAATGGCCTCTTGTCTTCTCTCTGTCACTATAGTGACCATCAAAGCCGCTGCGGATAAAACGGCTAGTGCGCTGGCACTATAGACATACTTTTTTGTTCGAGAGAATATCAAGATTTTGGTCTTCTTCGGTCTGAGTCAATATTTCGCTACGACGCCCTGCTTGTGCTTTCAACGAATGGAATGAGAATCTCCTGGTTCTTATGGAAGTCAATGATGGTCGTTTCATCAGCTGGCAATGAGCGGCTGAGTTCCTATTTCTCCAAACGACCCAACCAAATTGCAATTTCTGATTTCTTTTTCTGGGTAGAGGATTATTTTTTAGCAGCGTTCTGTGGCAAGAAGGAGAAAAATGAATTGATGGTGTCGGGGTCAACTAGCTTCAGTTTAAGAATACTCTGTTCAGAGACTCTAAATCTTCTATCTCTGTCATCAATCTCCTTACACTTCCTTGTGGAGTACTTTGACGGTTTTCGAATCCCACGATTGAAAGAAAATGGCTGATCCGTTGACTGCGGGCATTGCGGCTGCGACTGAAGGGGTAGCAGTGGCATCCACTATCGAGAAGCATGCGCGCCAGGCGCAGCAACTGGTCGGCCTAGATAGCGGACCGCCGAAGAGGCTTGGCACTGGAGGCGAGGTGGAAAAGGAGCTTAGCTGTAAGGACTTCATCACCTATGTGAACTGGGAAAAAACCGTCAAAACCGAGAAAAAAGTTGTAAGGCATTGATCTTGATGCTACTCTTGCTGCGTAACACAGTCACAGTAGATGTACAGTCGAATCACACACCACTTTGTACGCGTAGAGAACACGCATCTTAGTTACTGCTACGCTGGTAGACGAGCATCACTTGCGCGTATTGCACCGTGGTTTTCGTATTGGTCAACCAGCTCTGTAGCATTGTTCACGACACTTGAACAAAAGAGAAAAAACAAGAAACAAAACGAAAATGTACCAAAGCATGATCATGATTGATCATCATCATTAATAAGATTTACAACTTCGTAACCGAAACCGTCTTCATCTTTGACATCTAAGAAAAATAGTGTTTCCGAACGCCTCCGCTCATAAGGCATCGGAATTCATGTCGGCAGTGACTTTAGGAGACATACGCGACGCTTTCCTGTCAAGAGAAGGAGTCGAGACGCCGGCCAGTTCCAATAATCATCGAATTTTATGGCTATGACTATGTAGGTGGATTGCGGATGATGCAAATTTTAATGATCTTCTTCCTTGATCTCGTGTAGTTAGTAGTTGCTAAGCACTAGGGGTAGGGCAAACCGCAGACAGGACGCACATCCGTGCTCAAGATGTACTAAAAGCTGACTCAAGACGAAGACATCTAATTCAGACTCTGACTCATTTAATAGAGCAGTTTATAAGGTTTCACGGCTCGCATGGCATGGAGTGCATGGATCACATGGAGTAGCATGGAGCTAAAGGGGGAGCTTCTTGCGCCCCTTAAAGCTCTGCGCTCCATGCACTCCATGCTACTCCATGCACTCCATGCACCATGCGTGCTATAAACTACTCTGATTTAAGAATCTTTCCGCTCTCTAATCGCTGCCGATGTAGATGGATATGATCTGGCAGCAACCCTCCCGGCAGCGTATTTTTCCCAGCAGTGTCGGCTGTCTCTCCGATTCACAGAAAAACGACTAGAAGCGTACAAGGATACAGTGCAGAGCACTGTAAAGGACTTCCTTGTTACGACCTGAAATTAGAAACTCAAACTTCTTGTTGGTCAGCAAACAAAAAGAGCAGCAAATGATGTTGCGGTCAGACTGACTCTTTTGGCAGCATTCTTTTGTATCCAGACAAGGCCCTTGCAATCTTGTCATTCGGGACGATGAAAAACTATCTCTAATCGTAGCTCGACGTGGCCAGGCAGGCGAAGCGCGCCACTGGGAGCCACTTGAGGAGCCGATGGCGCCGAATATTCTAGTAAAATTGATGATGACTGATACCGTATCACGGGAATATACCTCCTCTGAATTTGTGATGGATGACGTTGTGAATTGAGATGTAGGTCGAAGATAGAAAATAGTGAAGTTCATGTTCATGCTCTGGTTTACATGTACTACTATTAATACTTTTTTTTGAAGAGCTTCCACCTACCTTGTTTTTTCCGATTCTTGCCTTGCTCTGAAGCAGCTGGTGCCAGGTAATTCATTCATCTCGACGAACGCAAACTTTCATATACATATGCTATCATCAAAGCTAGAAGTTGAAAACTAGCAAACCTCATTCCGCTCTCGAGGTGCTGTTTCCACTCACGGAAAGAAAGATATCAGAGCGAATGATATGATGATGCTGCGGTGCAATCTTTCCACGCGTGAAACAGATCAAGGTCATCATGATGATGCGAAGCGTAGTTTAAAGATTCATTGATTGCAGTCAAAGTGTAAGTGAGTGGAGTTGGACATCCAGACGTGGATACCAACACCACATTACCAGTCGGTGTCTCGGTGATGATGGTAGCGACTTCATGAGAGCAGTCTGTTCATCGTCATATCCCCCGGATCGTCGGTCCCGGAATATGGTTATGTATCGAGGCGTCCTTCTTTCAAAGTTTGTTGCAACACCCTAGAGCTAGACTTAGAATTTCCAAGGAGTGAAATCGCTGAAAATAAGTATCTGTTTTTATAGTGCGCAATTACGACCAATGCTGGTGGACTTGATGTTTTTGTTGCAAGAAAGTCTCAACATTGTGGACCCTGATCAGAACAACACGCTTTAAAGTTTATCTTCGTTTCTCCTTCTTTCTTTCACTAGAAGGCTTTCTCTTGTTTTTTGCGTTGCTAAAACTTTGAAAAAACATACAAGGCCCACGTGGTGGAGTCTACACAGATCAACTTGTGAGAACGAATGAGTGAGGGAGTGAGTTTGTGTGATCCACAAAATGCACGATAGAGTCGATTCGCGCTCGAATGCGGACGCGACGTTGGCGGCAGCAGGCAGGGATAAGACGTGCGATCTAGTACAGCCTCTTCGGGTGCAGCTAGGGAACAGTCAGGAGAGGCACATGGAAAATCCCCAACGGGTGGACGATCGGGAAGTAAGCCAGCAGTTCAGGGGAGATGAGCATTCATACGTGCAGGTGGTGAGGTGGCTTAGCAGGTGACGCTCAACAACAAGTTGACATAGTCGAACGCTTGAAAAGGCTATGAAGACAAATTCAAATCAAGAAAAGGAATAACAGAATTTGACAATTCTAGCTTTTCGCGAGCCCAAAGGCGCGCTCTAGAAGTGGACTTATATTGATCATGTTGATGAATCTTCTCGGTTTTCCGCTTTAAATTCTGCGTATGTAGCAGTGGTGTCGGCGCCAACAAATATGAGGAGGCGTCGGCATATCGCTTTTCATTTCGGTAAGGAGTACAATGAAGAATTCGGCGCCTTTGGCATCCTTCTTCTAAGTAGGCATTCAAGAGGGGCCAGCGTATCATCAGGTCGGTCAAACTACAGAAAAATAAGCATGCCCATGAGGATGAGCGGCCAATTCTGACACGACTGAGAACTGTTAATATAACTTTCATGCCCATAATCAAAATCAAGACAGTCAACCGTAGTAGCGCGATGTCGGGTCATACTCGTAAACGTTGTAATCGGTCACGAGCCCTTGATAGGCCCGCCCCGTTTCGGATCCTTCCCGCCTCACATCCATCCCGCATCGCTGGTGGATAGATATGGAATTATCTTCACTGAACATTACCTTCTTGACCGTGATAGTTACGGAGCTGCGCCTACGAACTCGTGTGGCACAATCTCAAACTCAAAAACAAACCTTGCTACTGCTACATAAAAATGAAAATATAAATAAAAATATATCTAGATACCAGTCACTTGAGTTTCTGCTCGTAAGTTCTACTGCAAGTCCTCGTGCTAGACATGAACATAATTGACCTGATCATGACTTGTATTTCAATTTCATCTGGGGTAGAATGAGATATAGGCTTACACACATAAGTTTAGTCATACAGACGAGGCAACGACAAGCATCTTCAGGATCATTGCTCAGACTCAGAATTCCACCAATTGATCCATTACCACTTTTCTACCATTAAAATTAGATATGTAGTACTTTACCGTCCATATCAATCTTGCCCATAAACATAGAAATTGAAATATTAGATGTTTTCCATACCACATAAACATTAACATCTACATTCTTGCCAAGACTTGGCTCAATAGAAAGTTGGCTGAGGACGAGAAAAGATCATGGCAAATTTGACAGGATGCAATACAACGGTGACGGAGGGCGAGCCTGGACGCGACTTCTTGCGTCCCATGGGCCTGACGAAAAACGCGGCAGGTCGAACTGCAGTGAGATACAAGGACAACATCATCCAAATGACGCACCCATTACCCGAAGAAATCTTCTTAAGGCTGCTCGTGCTGTACTTGTACTAACTTGGTAATGATTTTCACAACAAAGTGAAGGTTTCTTCAAGATGAACGCAACAAAAGCGAAAGCGTGAGCTCTAATCGCCAAGCAGACTCTGTTCGATTTGAAGAAGGAGATGCGGTCGTTTCAACGAGGAGTAGACAGACGCCATGGAAAGAACCTGGAACAGGCAACAAAACTGAAGAAGGGAAGGTAACGGTTTTTTATAATTTGATTTTCAACTTGCTTAACTGTTTACGTATCTATAGGTACGTAGAGTACAACAAGTAAACATGCATTTCGAGAAACTTCTTGCGATGGTCTCAGAACATGTTGCTTTTCTAGACAACATCATGAACTCAACTTGGAGTAGAATTAGAAATACATGCTGTACTACTCATACATTTACATTTACATAGAAAGTAGCGAGAATGTAACTGAAGTCGTTGGTCAGGTCAGCAAAGTCTTTGGCAGATCCGCAGTGTTATGACCCGCATCCTACTGCGGAGAGTGTGGCAGCAATAGAAGCAAGGCTTACAGACTTGAGAAAATCGAAAGGAGACTTGATCGACAAAAAAGGCAGCAGAGTGGTGCTCATGGACCTACCGGACGATGTTGTCAATGTACTAGTACTTTCCTCTGGATCATCTGCTTATTGTTTCGTGCCTCAGCTACACCTTCACTTTTACTTACAACACGTGGTTATGATTTTTTGCGTTGAGGTATCATTCGCGACTGTGACTGTCATCCGATAAAATTTTTATGTTTAGTTGTACTAAGTAGGTTTAGAGCGTACAGGTTTAGTTGGTACAGGTAGTCCGTAGTATGCATCAGTATGTGATGCTGCAACGTCCATCTTCTCACTCAGCGCCCCGGATTTGAGGACTACAAATTAGGCGTGCTCGACGACGCAATTAACAAGAAGCAGAGGAGCCTTAGCATGGGAGGTACTATCTAACCTCACATGAAGACTCACAACTTTCACATTAACCTCAGCGACATCTTCATCTATCCTATTTAATATTAGATCCAGTTATGCGCCCGCGTTCCACCTTGGCCTCAAAAATACGTCTTTCTCATTGCAAGCAACCGTCCTTCTGGATAATTTAGAAATTCGAAATTGAAACTGAAATTTCTCATCTCGGGCACAAGAACAAGCACTTTTCAACATCCAGCTCCTTCTCATTCTACAGCAAATGGCTTGAGCACGCGGCGGAAGAAGAGCGGGCAACCTGTGCCGATTGGCATCGAGGTGGATGAGAACCAGAACGAGCGAATATTATACGATCAGTATCCTCAGTGTTACGACCGGTGAAAAATTTACTATCATTCGTTTGTAGCACAGCAAGTTTCGATCACCATTTACTTTAGATCTACTGGCGTGGTCCTTCGTTCTTGATCTTATTCCACCTTCATTCCTGTTCTAGCAACTGTGTTGTGCTTGTGGGGGCACCATTCATATGTTTTCTCGTGTAAGTCTATAGATAGTAGGTATCATACCACACGTACTGTGCATTCACACTCATAGAAATAGATTGACAATTATCTTCACATCCGTCACCAGTAGATCCACACCATCACAAGACCCCTCCTCCTCGTCTAAAAACCGTATCGTATGAGCGAGTACCAGGAGAACATGTTTGCGCGTTCGCAGGAGACAATACGAGGCATGGGAATGGGGAAAAAGTCCTACGCAGTACATCCGAAAGTGCCAGATTACGACTTCCGAACCAGCTTCGTGAAACACCTTATCGCACTAGGCGAGCGGCGAGGATGAGAAAGGTGAAGAAACTCGTCATGGAGGAGATGATTGGCAATGAATGGCAATTGAAGATATATGGCGACACGCGTGGGCAGGCTACAGGTGCTCCATGCACTTCGTGCATGCTATAAACTACTCTATCATAATGCTACGATAAAAAACCGCTTGAGAGCAAGTCCCAGAGCGATGACAGTGAAAGATCAACTTGCGAGTTTGAGTTGTATTTTTCTGTCGTCGTAGACGTAGAGGAAAGCAAGAGCAACACGAACACAGACGTCCTCATCTGGTGCTTGTTCATAAATTGATATGTGATCGATTGGGGGCATGACCGCATGACCATGATCGTCGGTGTCATACACATACTGCAGTACGACTACGACTGCGAATACTAAGAATGCTTCTACTTTCACATGGTTGCACCGGTTCGCTTTACAAATGATGATGATGTTTGATCTCATCCTCATATTTATTTACTTATGCATGTACCACTGAACACATCTCGGCCATCAATCTTCTGAATCTTCTTCGCAAACATACTCTCGCTTCTTCGTGTTCTTGTACTCGTGTACTGTACTTCTATATAGAAGCTGGTACTGGTAGCAAGGTTGAAGTTGAAGAGATAAGTGCCAAGAGCTAACAAGAGGGATGATGAGCCACTCTATTATTATAAATATATAAGTAACAAACGTGTCAGCAACCCAGCGTAGGCGTCGGGTAGTACTGGTAGGGAGGAAGGGTTGACTCAGAAAACCAAGACAAAAAAAACTGTACTACACGGAATAATTTTACTTTGCCGGCCAGCTCTTCATGTGTTGCTCTGCACCGATCGGGCAGCGCTTGGCTGGCAGCAGATCGGGCAGCGCTTGGCTGGCAGCAGCGTCAGTGGCGGCCCTCCTCCATGTAGAGCCCAGCCCCCATTCTGCGGCCCCGATGCCGTAAGAAGTCATTTGGGATGTCGGGTCCCGCAAGGCGCCAAGAGAGGCCGGACCAGCGAAATCAGTCATTTTTGCAGGTACCTTAATACTTAGGCTGTTTGGCAAGTTGATGCAGATTTTCTACCCCCTCAAGCCCAGGACCGCCATCGAACCCGGTTGGGGTGCCTCCGATTCGAGGGGGTTGAGGGTCCCAGTTTGGTCCCAGCCAAGCGTTGTCAGCGGATCCCCAACCAAGCTCTGGATTCGCATCCAAGGTAGCTCGTACATGGTCGATACCCACATCGCCGTTTGCAACCTGGCTCACGATGTTTCCAAAAATCGGCGTTTTCTGTTCGGCTGGAGACCCCCATAACGAAGAACTCAGCGCGGAGCCAGTGCCGATATTGCGCAATGAAGAGCGATGAACTAGATGTAGATCTACCTACTTGTACTTGTTGAGTAGAAGTAGAAGATACTCAAAACAAAAAACCAGGAGTCTGCTCTCGCCAGACCTCGATTCTTCGAGGATAGAAGCAACTTAGCAGAGGAACATGGCCATCCCATTTAGTGTACGACTTTTTTTCTTCCTCTAGGCCTTGCGTGCTCTAGATCGAGAGCCATCAAAAAATGAAAGGCAAAGTGGTCAGACTCAGAGTCGGACCTTTCCTGGTCTCCCTACTCCTCACCCCGATCTCACTCTTCCTCTTCGTAATGACTACAGCAATCGCTATCTCTCGCCTGCTAATTGTTTGTAATTGAAGATATCAAAAAATTATATTTCCTCGCGACTCCGCGTGCGCGTGAAGCAGTTTCACATAGGCCAACCGAATCCGAAACTTCGTCCCGAGCATCGCCGTGCAAAGAGGAAATTTACAACAAGAAGATCTCCATGTCCATTGTCACATGCACGGCTCGACGTCACTAGAATTTGTCTCTGCCATATGCGCATGCCCATGCGGTTTCTTACAACACTCCCCTCGGAATATTCGCTCGACAGAGGCTCTGCTCACACCTCACGCACATGCCAAACTCACAGATTTGATACTTCAGCACACGGACAAGACCAAGAGTTGTGACTTCGTCACGCTCGTTAGTAGTCTTGCAAGCCTCGTCTGAAGCCCGATTCGCCTTACACAAATTGACTGGCAGGTAACTTGAGGTTGACGTTGAGGCTTAGATGGAATCGATATTGATATAAGTTGGGAATCGCATCATGAACCTGGTCAAGATGGCCATAAATGACTCAAAAAGAAGCAACGGATCGCGATAGAATCGTGAGTGGTGGTTTCATGACATACAAAAGGAAGAGGATTCATCGATCGCTGCGCGGCAGATCTTTACGAGCAACAACAGGGAAGTTGCGCCACCCAAGAACCTCTTCAATTTTCAATCAGCCTACATTTTCACTATGATTATCATGAAACTTCAACAGTCAGTTACTTACTCTTCGTAGCGTTAGAATCCGCGTTCTGAGACTCTCGCACTGGTGCTAGCAAGCGGTGGGATGGGCCGTTGTTGAGAATACAGGGATTATTTCTCTTTACGAGTAGAATGGCGAAGCGTGGCGGCCTTCTAAAAAATCGAAAAACTCTAGTGGTCGCTCTCTTATTGTTTATTGAACAACAACTAGAACTACCATATGATCCATGAGATCAATGGCTGCACACTGACAGCGACAAGCAAGCTGAAGCTGAACTTTTCTGACCTTCAACTAGTACTTCAATATCATCATGTTACAGCGTGTCCCTTTTACGATCAAAACTCCACGACGGATATTCTCGAACTCGGACGGTGTAGTCCCCCGAATATAATGTGCACGACCTCGTAACTTTAGGAACTGGAACAAGGATGTAGCAGAACCGCCTCAGTCTCAGAATGAATATTTACTCCACCGCTGAAGCCTTCATGTAGACCCTAAGCTGCATTGTAAAACAGAGCCCAGCGATGACGTGGAAAGCTCTGTTTGCAGGTACCTGACCTGACTGTAAAATCTGCGCAGGAAGGCTACAGGCGAGACCTTGTACTCGCAATGACGATACTCAAAGAGTTCACCGTCTTTGCTCCTCGCTTTCCCTTCGAATACAAAACCGTCTTTCGAAACGAGCGGTTGGCTTTTTTCGTCCTTGGGCTCTGCCCACCTGTGAAACTGAGAACTATCCCGCCGCACCAGTCCGAAGTAGTGGAGCAGCTGCCTGAGGACAGCATCATCCGCATAGACGCTACCAGCAAAAGCATGCAAGGGCACTAGGTGCGTTAATTCCATGGTCATCCGATGCGCAAGTGCAGACGAGCTAGTCGCGCTCGCTTTCGATGTCGACGCACCATTCTTAGATCGACTCTGCTGGGTCGATGAAATAGTTGCAGGCGCAGCGGTGGCTGTTGCAGCTCCGACTGGCACAGAAGTCTTTATCGATCGACTGAGGTTTTTAGTACCTGTTGCTGTAGCTGTATTTGCAGAGACGGACGTTTTCACCACGACGGTTGGCAAGCTGGGCATCCGGTCTTGGAGGCAACCCGCATCCTGATCAGTTCGGCTGATCGTGCAAAAGAGCCGCAAATTGCTCGAATTGACGAAGACTCTTTCAGCCTCCAAATTCGAAACGAGCAAGAGAACATCTGACTCCGTTTCGCTTTGCTTTTTCCTCCTGAAACGCACAACGAATTGTGGCACCTTCATCACGGCTGTCGATGACAACGTGCACAGATTCATGCTGTAGGCGAAGCCTCTTGATGTACTGCTTAAAAATGCGTGCCGCGTTGCTTCCTCTGGAACGTGTCCATCTTTCCTCGTTTGCTTGGAAACGGATGTCACCGACTTCAAGTCTCGCAACTGCAGACCTTGGTCTTCTTCATTTTGTTGATTTTGAAATTTCCGGCACTGACTCATGATGGTTGTCAGAAAACCCCTTGTGACGAAGGTGAATGTCGAAGGAAAGCAATGCTGCTCATCAGTCTGGTCACAAAGACCGCCATCACAAAAGACGCCAATTTCCTTCAAAGCATCACGCAGTGGAATAAACTCGCGAGGGTCGTCGGACGGTTCCTAGAGACAATTGGAATTGAATTTGAAATGCATCCATCTGATCAAAACAAATTCGCGCCGGCTGCACCTCATAATCGTGATAGCGATGAACATTCGCAACTTCAACAAGGGCCGAAAGGATGTTGATAGCCCACTTACTCTTACACTACTTTCACTTTCTACCAAGATTTTAGAAGCGAGTAGCACTAGCAGATATATTAGTTACATGTCCCTCGACGTCAAAGTCGAAAGTTTCTCCCCGATTCAGTTTTTGGCGCAAATCCGCGAGACCTTTCGAGACACGAGGTGTCGCCGGACGTGGCGGCTTAGCTCTCTGCGTATGGCGTTCTTGCTCCAACTCTTGCTCCATTTCCCGTTCTTGCTCATCAGCAAACGCGTTTACCTGTCGCATTACTTTCGCACTGTTAGAGGCTAAAGTCCTATACATATACTAGCAAGTCATTCACATTCACAACGCTTACGCCTACTCTTACACTTACGCAGCCTCATCGTCAATTTATGACTCCGTAGCCCAGAGAACCGGAGCAGCAGACAGAGGCACACGATCCAAAATGCTAAGTAAATGGCTGCACTTCGGCCTTGATGTACTCGAAATACGCTCGCACATTTTTCAGTGCCAGTTGTTGTAGTTGTTGTAGAGAAAAAGATATAGAATTAGGCAACATGAAGATCAAGTGACAAGCGCAGCCCTTAAGCATGAGACGGCGAACACGTTGTGGCACCTCAGAAGCCAGCGCATTCTCGGTCATGTATTCGCCCAGTTTGTTCTCTACGAACTCCGCAAGGTTCTGCAGTTTTCGCTGGTGGCCGTAGAGCTCGCGGAGCTCATAAGGCTCTTTCTCAACGCAGTCTTCTGCGTATTGCTGAAGCCTTGCCAGATCGTAACTCTCTGTTGGCCACTCTTCACCACGAGTCTGCACCAACCTGTGGTCCGTCCCACCTTCATCACCGTCAAGAAAACCGTTGTAATCGACGTTTTCAGGTGGGCAACCGCCCCACCAGGGGTCTTGTTCCGACGCATTAGCGCCGTCATACCCATAGCCATTCGTATTAATATGGTAGTCCCCACACCAAGAAAAATTGCCTGCATGTGCGTCGTCCTCATTATAATCTCCGTTACCGATTGAAGCTCCATCTCCATGATGAGGCTGTCCCCAGCTTTTTTTAGTGCACGAAAGTGAGGAGACCGCGCCGCCATCGGCAGATGTTGTGTCCTGCCAACACTGCTGAGGGCCTGCGCCGCCCTCCTGTAACAGATGCAGTGACCTGGCTTTCTGCTTTCGGAAGTGTGTTCGCGCTTGCGCTGCAATGTACGGCACATAGTCGCAGGTTTGCCTAGCTGTGTTTCGTTCAGCAAGCGCCAGTATATACGGTACTCGCCACAAACACGTGATTGCTCCTCCAGAGGTGGGCTCATCTTTGCCAGTCCCAGCATTTGCGGCGCCAAGCTTGAGCAGGCGCTGCTGCTTCGCTCGGAGCTTCTGAGTTTTGGCTTGTGCTTCTTCTAGTTCCGCCTCTAACTCAGCTGACCACAGATTTTTTCTAGAAAGCATTGGCTTTGTATCTGCGAGGTCTTTTTCCTCTTTTTCGGCTTTCTCTATCTCGTGCTTGGTGTCCTCCAAGCTTTCTTCTTCGGCGGGTGGGGGAGTCGCGGCTGCATTGTGATTTTCGTCCGAAGTTGTATACGTCGATAGCTTATTTAGTGGGAGTCTTTCATCATGATCCGCACTTCTTTGCTGATTTTGATTATTCTCCCTCGTCCGAAACTAAATTCCCTGTCCGCACTACCGTGAAATCTAAATCAGTGGGAAGCAGGTGGGAATTATCCCTTCAGCCTCAGCGGGGCAATGCATAGTGTACTTACTTAGTTAGCAAAACAGATAATGAATCACTACCCTTAAAATTAAATGTGGATCAACCGAAACAAAGACGTCTGGCGTGGTACTCATGGCTTGTCTCAAGCTCTCTAGAACTGAGCCGTCGGGCGTGCTCATCTCCCCTTCGGCATCTTCTTCTGCTCGGTCGAGGTCAATGCAGTCCGCGGGATCGGCTTGAGCTTAGAGGTAGGTTTTTGGTGTTCGTTTACCCCGTTTGTTATGCCTCTCTCCCCTGAGAGCGGCAAAACAAACGGTAACGCGAACGCCTTTAAACTAGCCTTAATTAGCCTTGATGCTATCGATGGCACGGGAGATTTCTCGCGGTCCCACGAACTCGACGCTTTGGCCCTGACCGAGTTTCCGCATGCGCATCACCCCCTGCATGAGCCTGTCCCTGGTTGTGTCAGGCCCAAGGGTGACCAAGGCCCTCGCACTTGTCGGGAGGCTGAAATCCGCACCGCGGGTGTGGCTGTCGTCCAAGTACAAGAGACAGCCAGACATATCCTTCTCAAACGACGATAGGGCAAAGGGGATGATTTGGTTGCTGTTCGCAAGTCTTGAAGATTTGGCTTCCTCGTTTTCAGCGGATGCTGCTCCAATGGGCATTCGAGTTGGGACACTAAAATACGATTGCTGAGTGGCTGATGAACCACTGTGGTTTCTTTGACCGCCGTCCGTCAAATTACGAGTGTCGCACTGTTGGCGTTGTGTAGAAGATTTCCCTTCTCTGGGAAGAAGCACCTGTATCGTATTCGATTTGTCGAAAAATACTACCCCACGCGTATCCGGTCGTAGCCGTAGCCACTGTTGGCAGAAATCTAGCGCCGACAAGTCTAACACCAGAGCTCCGACGTCAAGCACAACCGTGATATTCTTTTTGCTGGCAAGCAGCCACAAGATACGTTGTGTGTTATTGCTCTCATCATCAATCCCGGTCTGTAGTGGATTCGTCGGAAGCCTCACGTGGCCGCTTGCAGTGATTTCGTTTGGAAAAGAGCCTGGAGTTTCCCACCAGTGAGATGGAGTCGCATCCGCTTCCGCACCACAAGCAGAAAGAAGATAATTCGCATCGTCATCATGTGGCCCAGTAGGGATGACAGCTTCAGCCGAAGCCGTTGCTTCAGAGGTGGATGATGTAGGGATAACAGTTGCCAAGCATGTGTACTCGTCATTCTCCTGACGCAGAAGCGTCCGGACTTGCCTTCCGTTCGTTGTTCGCAGTTTCTGCATATTGCGCTGCTGAATAGTTGACGGCAGCACTTCTTTCAAGTCATCGGTGCCGGAGAACCCGACCGTGACTCCACGGGTTCCCGCTGACTTGTCGCGACATAAGTCCCACGCCGTAGAGGCAAGGCGGTACTTGAACTGCCGCGCTTCCGCTGGGAGCACGACTCGCGTTAACCAGAAGTCGACCGCACCCGTGTGCTTGCTAAAGAGCGGAAATAAGTAGGCATCGAAAGCATGGGAATCGTCGAGATTTACGCCTTCAAGCGTCTGTAGCGCGTGCGGCAAAGAGGGCCGCCCTTTCAGGCATTCCAATGCTTCCTCGTCATGCTTGAGGCGCTTCACCCAGGTTTCATACTCTCGGCGGGCATGCGCGTCCGCTAGGTTTTTCAGCTTCGTGAAAACTTCGCGTAGGTTCTCACGCGAGAGCCCATCCTGGTAGTACGTCATGAAGGTGAGAGCGATCGCCAAGTCTGGTTGCTGGAATTCCGTTCGTGGCGCAGCGACGTCTTTTGCTGTGTAAGGAACCGCCATGCGGCAGCCCGCTCGCGTCGGGTGCGCTCCGTAATTCACTCGATGCCGCTTGGTCAGTACAGTTTGCAAAATGGCGTGTGAGAGCATCCCGCGGAGAATGAGTGCTTTGTTCTTGTCCGCTTCGTTCAACTGATCCAGCGACGCGTCCTTTTCTGCGTCGCTGTAGAGCACGACTCGCTTAAACGCGCGCGCCTCATTTGATGTCATGCCGCGCTGACAAGCCGCTGCGATAGCCCTGTGGTCTACAATGGCCTTCTTAAGTTTCTCATAGGCGTCTCCCTGTTTCGCGTCGTCAAGCAGACGAACTGGACGAAAGATCGACTGTGTTGCGACGTTCGGGGAGACCCTTCCTCCAACAAGTTCGATCACGTCAGGCCCATAATCCCCGTCGGCTCGCATCTTGTTAGCAACCTCGGAGGCAACGCGCAGCACAGTCGCAATGATCTGCCAACGAGTGCCGCCTTCGTGCGTTGGCAAGTGGTCGCCCAGGGTATACTGCACCTGGTACTTTGGGGTCAAAATTTCATCCGACTCGTCAAGGAAGTTGAAACAGTTATTGTCCAGGAACTTGGAAATCTGGAAGAGGCGGCGCGTCGCTGACTTTTCGCCATCATGGTCTTTGGACTTCGCAAAAGACGTTAGCTGCTCCAACGCCTTCGTCTCTAGTGAAAGTCGATGTTCTGGCGTCGTGGCCACGATGTTGCCACGGGCTCTATGAATACGAAGATCTTCGCTCAATCCCTTGAGCTGCACGTCGCTCAATGTGCGGTCTCGACGAAACAGCAAAGGCACGATTTGCCTGTCAAGTATTCCGCCAATCTTGTGCTGCCAGTCGGACAAGTTCGTTGAAAACAGCGCACTCAGTACTGTTGCGCGCGCCAGCGCTTGACCACAGCCGCGCGACGCCGCTGCCAACATAATCGGCATGATGACTTTCGTCTTGCCCTCACCCATGTTGAACTGCATCAGGCGATTCTCGGTCGACTGCAGCAGTTCAAGAGCGATCTCAGCCTGTGTCTCACGGATGCACATGTTGTTGTCGCACTCAAAGCACAGGAACTCAGGCCACTCGTCTGCATCCCAGCCGCGTGAGCCCGGGTTTTCTAGCTCCGCTACCAGCTTGTCTCCCCAGGAACCTGCTCCGAAGAGAGAAGTGATGCGCCGAGTTCGCTGGAAATTTCTGACTGCAATTCCAAATTCGCGGACGGCTTTATACTTCCGACGAAGAAAGTCGTGCCTTGCGCACAAGCTGTGACCTGCAGCTGCGTTACGTGCATCGACATTTGCTTCAGCTTGTTCGCCATTTTCGCGCCTATCCTCTTCATCACACTGTCCTTGTCGTCCAGCAGTATAGATGCTTCTTACTCCTCGGCCCCACTCAAGAAGCGCTGCTGTCGGTGTTGGAAGCGTCACGAGGCCGCAGCGGTAAGGCTCGTCTAGACCTATACTGTTGCTACGGAGTGTTGCGTTCGCTTTCGCTTGGTTCAAGTCAGAGGCATCCTCTCTTGTCTTGAGTAGAATGTCGATTTGCGTCCAAAGTTGCTTCAAGTTCGCCCTTCCGGCACTACACATCTCTTCCAGCTCTTGGCAAAGTCTTATTCGTCGGTGGCTATCCAATCGCCCGAGAGCATCCATCAAAGCCTCTCCAGTGCGGTTCGAAGAATCCTTAGCCGATGCTCGCCAGCTTTCCAGAAATTCCCTCTTCCGTATCTCGGCTAACGTTCTATACTGAATATTTTCAACCGTGTTAGGCAAAAAAAGCCGCAGTGGTGCTGGTGGTTCTTGTGCGTCTTCGCTTACTACCTTCTGAGCTGTGCTAGTAGAGCCAGCAGGTGTACTGGTTCCTTTGTAGCTTACATCAATTCTTCGCATTTTTAGGTAGGGACTGGTAGAAGCCACTTCCTCTTCCGGAAAGACGTTAAGTAGAGATTGGACTCTGGCTAACAAAGAATCGGTAGTCACAGGTTGTTGCGGCTTCTCCTTATGGCAGAAGAGCCCTCGTCCCGCAGGTAGCGGGACTTTATAGTCGTTATACGCTGCATTTGCGTTTGGTGAAGAAGAAGAACTCATATTGTTAGCGTTAGCTGCGTTCCAAATCGAAGTCGGAGATGGGTCCGAACAAGAAGCAGTGGACACGGATGCTCTCGATACTTTTGAGGTGAACTCTGCTCTACCTCTACCAGAGGAACTTCTGACTCCGTCAGCGGATAAAGCCTCAACGCGCTGGCAGATACTCCTAGTTCTACTAGACGTTCCCTTTTCCTCATTGTAGGCGGATATTAGCTTGTTCTTGAAGAATTTTGAGAATATAAATCTCTCATGCACACCGTGTTCATGCAACGACCTTCGCAATATTACTAAGGGTAGAGCCGCTGATCCTGATGCTGTAGTCGGAACAAGTCTGCATGCGAGAGTTGCTTTCGATTCATTTGCCGTCTGGTTACCCTCTAAGTGTCTGCTAGACCATTCATTGTAGCTATTGTATGCAAACTCCGACACGGTCTGACAGTATTCCACCAACTCTCCTGCTCGCACGAAGTCTGCTAGAACCTCGTTTACTGCTCCTGCCAGCGCTCCATGCGGAACGGCAGCAAGCAAGTCACGCAGACGGGCAGAGCGATTACCCTTCGGCGGTTGGGAGCCTACTTTTGGCATATCTGCATCTGCCACAGCCTTCGGCTTGACCAGGTCGTGCTGATTTCGCGCAGTCTTCGCGGACTGATAGGTTTCGTACGCCTTTCTGGCGAATTCGCAGTACATGATCTCAACGTCGTCCACCGCATCGATGTTTATGGTGTAGCTGCCAGAAGTCGCGGCGTCGCAAGAACTGACACAGTCACGGATCACCTGCCTGATTCGTTCCTCGTTGAAGTCATTTTCGTAAGGTCGGTTGTACTTCATGTAATTCGGTGGCGGCACAAGCTTTCTCGATGTGATGCCCTGGCGTACAAAGGAGAACTCGTAGGAAAAACAGCGCAAGATCATCAGCAACTGCACCAACAGAGGAACTGAGGATGGCTCGTTCACCGCGAAACGACTCAAAAACATAGTAATCTGAAGTAAATCATGTTGCGCAAAGCCACCAGTCGTGCCGGAAGAGGGGGCCCCAATTGTAGGACCATTACCTCCACGACTTTTGCCACCTCCACGGTCCAAACGCGATGAATCATGATTGGAGGACATGCGCTGAGTCTCAACCATCGAATGGACCATCTGGCACAAGGTCAGATAGACGTTTAGAAAATTCTTAGGAGGTGCCTTCGTTGGATCAAGCATAGTGCCAGCTGCGTCTGAAGGATCCTCCTCGGATTCTCCATCCTTAGGATGCTCTACGTCTACATGTGCGTGTGGCTCCTGAACATCTTCACTCTTCTTTGCTGCAGTTCCTGTTCCTCTGACTTGAGATGCTACCTGTGTGCTCTTCCTCCCGGATGAACGCGACACAGCTTCGAGAGCTCCAGCATCTTGTGTTGCGCGAGTGGTCGGGCCTTGACTAGGTGATACTAGAGTTCCGGCGCTGTCTTCTGTCGGCGGTGTCTTCCTTGCATTCGAGATCAATTGGCGAGCACTTTCGACAGTGAGATCTTTGATGAGAATGGTCTCCTGCTCCACAACGCCCAAGAGATAAGGAAGCTGTTCCTTCAAAAGCGCACTCACATACGCGGACTTTCGCCAGAAGCGCCATGGGAAACTACCCACAACACAAGGGAACTCGCAAAAACGACCGAGCACGTCGAACGCGTGCAGTTCGTCATTAGTGAAACCCTTACTAACGACGTGAAATTTACTCATCCCGAAACTGTTGTCCAGTGTACTTTCGTCAGACTTCTTCTTCTTCTTCTTGCTGCTGCACTTCCTCTTTTTGTAAGGCGAGCCGGCAGAAGACTCCTCTTTGTTGCTGCCGCCTTCCTTGAGGAGCTCACCTGTTTGTAATCGGTCTTCTTGAGACCATCCTTCTCCTGCATGATCTTCATTATCTCGCATGTCATCGTCCATATCGAAGTCGAACTGCTCTCGTTTAATCTTATATACATGGCGTTGCCCACACCCGCCACTAAAGTGGCCTGATGAAGAACTTGAGAAGCCGCCCTCTCCTTGTCTCCGGCCAACGTTATCGTAAAGATCATCTGGCTCGAGTTTGATCTTGCTCCTGACTGAACGAGGACTTTCAGGCGTATCTTTGATGTCAGTGGACTTTGATGTCGATTCTTCATTTCGTTTTTTGCCAGCACTAGAAGTAGAAGGACTCTGCTTTTCATCGGTTATAATCTGTGACTTCCCCTTTTTAGCGTCACTCACTCGCGCTCGCGCACTGTCAGTGTCACCCTGCTGAATGGCCCAGAGTTGAACTGGCGAGAACCATTCGTCATACACGTCAGCTGCGTTATCGTCAAATCTGTTGATCCCTGCCTTTGCAGGGGGATATTGGAATGCTCTGGCCAGTTCACTGCGCGTGGGATGCATGCATTCTGGCCAAAACGCGAGTCCTCGAAGCGTTGCTCGCAAGCACAGACGCGAGAGGCGGGAACCGCGCGCTGCGTGCCAGCGTCGCTCGAGGTCACCGTCCTTGCATAGCCGCATCGCCTCCTCAAATCTGGCACGTTTGCTCGTCTTCTCCTTGCCTGGCTCAGAGCCAGCTCGATCAAGGCTTTCGAGAATATCCAGCATGCGGCATTCTGCGAGGCAACCGAAAACCTGCGGAGCACACCATGGCTCCATTCGGTGCTCCCAAACAGACGTGCTTTCCTTCAAATGATCACTGCCCTTCTCTGGTGAAATCTGTTTCATTTATTTTGAGATTTCGATCTTTTTTAACGATATAAACTTATACTTTAAAGATGTAGTTCTAGTTACACTCACACAAACATCAATATCACGTCCGCGAAGATAACCATTTGCATTTCCAGTCGAAGATATAACTCTACATACAAGAACATCAGGAACACCGGATTAGAAATGATCTGCGAATGAAAGTAGAAGGTAGTCTGAAGTTGAAGTACCTCCATGATCTCCACAAGATTTGCCGCGATCGTGACAAGAGCCGGGAGGTCGTTGTCGTCCAAGGTGTTTGAAATGTTTCCACACGCGCGACCTGACCGCAGGATGTGAACTGCGCGCTCGGTCGCGTAGCATCCGAGAAAGGGATCTGGCACCAGCCGGCCTGTCCATGCATGTAGTAAGGCTAGATAGATGCTGGCGACTCGGCACTCGGGAGGGTGCAAGTCTCGCAGTTCGGGACGAGGTTCGTACACAAAAAACGTTGGCCAGCGTAATCGCGCAAGATCAACATTGGCGTCGGCGCTCTCCGGCTCTCGTAGTACAGGGCCATGCGGTATCAAGACTAGAGAGTCTTCGCTCGTCCGCGCTTGCGAAGCTCTTGCAAGTGGATTCGAGCATCTAGAGGACGCTAAAGAGCTGCTTTCGTCGCCTAAACGGATCAATGATGTTCCACAAAAAGTGTTGTGATCTTCGTCATGCGACTCTAGCTTCAAGCCCTGCCGTAGACCTCGAAGGGTACCCAGAGATTGATTAGGGGCAACTCGCCGATTACCAAAATCAGGAAGAAGGATGCAATTGTTCCGCCCGGGAGTAGAATTAGAAAGCAAGGTGGGTTCTTGTTCTTCCGACTTGTCAGGAGCACTGGCGCTGCTTTGAGAACGAGCCTTCTCTTCAGCGTTTACTAGAGGTGGCTGTCGTGCTCTCTTCAGTGACGCCCCCTCTTCTTGTTTCTTTTTATCTTCTCCAGGTCCGTCCTTGACTTTCGTCTTCATCGGATCTAGAATTGTGTCTTTACTGGGACCAGTGGTGTCCGTGATTGGTAAAGGCAGTACATGCATACGCAGACCTTGGTGGCGCGGTAGACGAACATCTAGAAGTGGGCAATCATCTCTACAAGTAGAAGGAAACGTCGCTGTTCCAGGCTCTTCTCCTGGTTGGGAACAACTCTTCGCGCTTTTAAAGTCTCTTAGGTTATGACGTTGTGTCTTATCTTCTGCTTCTGGTTTTGGGCCACCGACATAGACAATGTGGCAGAACCATGGCAACTCCAGTCGCGAAAGAACGCGGCAAGTCAACTGTTTCGCGGTTTTACTTCCCATTGCGATGAGACAGCCCGCAGACGCACAAGTAGGCTTTTCCCGTTTGCCGAGCGCGTGGCGACCAAGATGGCTGCTTCTTTCGTGCACGTCGACCAAGTAACCAGTATCCAAGTATAGGAGATAGCCTGGAGACAATTTTTTCGTCGCGAAGCCCTCGGCCCGAATGTCGAGAGGCAGAAACTCTACTGTTCCCTTTGTTGAACCCCATCTGGCAGCGCTATCTACTTTTTCCGCTTTTCCAGAGGCCACTCCCGTCTGCTTCCAGTTGTGGGCGTCTAGCGTTAGCCATTGTGTGAAGTTTTCAATCAGCTGCGCAGGAAAATCGTCTCTTTCGGATCCTGGTTTACGCCAAGTACAGAGCCGAAACTCGTCGTAGGATTTCGCCGCTGCAATGTCGTCCACCTGGTCTTCATTTTTGATAAAAGAGCATGCTCCAGCACCATTTTTTTTATTGTTATCGATTGACGTTGAACAGTTGTCCTCTCTTCCATTTTTACCTGGATAAGGTGCAGGTGTCGTGGTAGTATTCGAGACATCGTTCTTGCGTTTTCTGGATTCTTCAGTCGTCGGATCACGAAACGGGTCGAAAACACGGCTTGTTGGCTCTCCCGATGATGCGTCGGCCATTAGGTCATCCTTAAAAAGGTCATATGACTCAACGACATTGTCCCAAACACTGCCTTCTCCAATCTGTTCCTCGAAAAAAGCGTCAAGGAACTCATCCTCTTCCTCTGGACGAGCTGGACTCTCTATGCTGTTCTCTTGCCGCTTTGCCAACGCCGTCTCAGCGTCGCGGCCTTCAGCATCTTCATGACCGAGGTTAGCATGATGCTCACGCTTTCGCCGTTTCAGTTTGTGGTGCCGGTCTTTCTTCCTTCTGTAAAAAACAACAGCACCATCTTTCTTCTTTGTGACAACCTGTGGTGCGGCAACGAAACTATTTGGTGGAACCAGAATCAGTCTCTTTGACCCACGTTCAAGCACGATGTCAGGGGGAAGCCCTGGATTTTCTCGTGCACGGATGTAGAAGTGCATGTCGTTGATCTTTTCTCGGGTCTTATACGTGATTCCATCACCCACGGGGCGAACTTTCGGAACGAGACCGCCGAATATACGCTGAAAGAGCCAATGCTCAGAAACCGCGGAGGGAAGTCGAGACGCAGGCGTCCCGTCGACCAGGACTGAGCCACGAAAAATGTTTATGTCGAGGACAGGACTCGTTTTCTCACTGGCAGTGCTCGGGATTTGCGTTCGGTACCACGAAGGAGTCGTGTCCTCAGACTTTTTGTGATTGTGTGGCAGCGGGGACGGGTTCCACTCTAGTTGGTCTTTTGCTTTCTTGCGGCGGTGAAAGCCGATATCGTAGTACTTGAAGGCAAACTCAGACAGCGCGACGCCGCCGTCCCCTGACGAGAAAAACGCGTTCAGTTGCGACGTGAGCTGCTCGCTACGCACCTCTACAAATAAAAGAAATACTCTCCTCCAAATACCGGCGGAGTCTCGCTGCCCAATTGAGAAATCGTCTGTCGCGACATTGTCAGCCAAAATTGCACGGAGAAAGAGCCTCTTCTCGAAGTCTTTTTGCCGTCCCTCCCGCTGCACACTCGGGTCAACTCCAGATTCTTCCGAGGCATGCCCGCTGCCGGCTCCGGAAAAAGCCATGCTCGAGCTCCAAGAATTTCTTGAATGCAAAGCCGAAGAGGAGACATGCGCTTCCTGGCCGTGGCCGAGAAGCGAAGGATGGTCCAGGAAAGTGAGCAATCCAGCAACGCACACGTCAACAATCTTCAAACGAAAGCTTTGCGATTTCTGCAGCGTGCTACCCCTAGTAGTGCTTCCCGCAGCTCCGGTACGAGCGGACTTTGTGTGCGTGTCCTTTTCGGCTTTGAGCAGGTCTGCAAGCCACTCAAGGGCGACCTCCCGTGCCCTTCGCAGGAGGTCGACTGCAGGTTGGCAACTTGGCTTGTGCTCGATCAAGAAGCCGCCAAGAAGCACAACGAAGAGGAGCATGTGGCTTCTGTGCCAGTTACTTCTACCAGCTTCTAGCAATCGCATGGCCTCTCTGCATAGGTCCTTCGCAAGGCTGCAATCCACGTCGCCCCTAAGGAGCCTGCACGACTGTCTGCGCCAGAGACCAGCCCTGTCTTCTTTACACGTAGTTGCATTTCCACCTTGTCCGAATGCAGATTCTTTCTTGTCTCGGGTATCTAAGCCGCGTCCTGGCTCTTTGAAAGAAAAATTTTCACTAACTTCTTGTGCGGTGTCCATCGATAACCGCGGCCCTGTCTGCCACAGAATTGCTGCGATGATTCCTACGAGGCTTTCGTCATTCATAGACACTGTTCCTTGCTGCATCAGCGCAGCGAGTCGCTCCAACTGCAGAGACGGGCCACTGCGCAGCAACCCAAGTTGTATCCATTCCTTTTTGTTCATACCTGGAGCAGTATCGCAGGAGCGAGAGTACACCTGATTTTCGCTACCTTCATCCGGTCGACAGAGGAATGGAGCCAGAGGGCGGTATCGCGGATCCGTGATGGGCAAGCTGGCAGAGCAGAAAGCGCCAATGTCCAGTTTCCAGTCTTGACGCCGTTTCCACTTGAGGAACTTCGTTTTTTTTCCGTTTTCGAGCAAAGGCTGATGATCTTCATAGAGGTAGACGAGCTCGAGAGTGTTGGCGTTCGCAAGTTTGGTTTTTCCCGCTTTCACCTCCTTCATCAGACAATCGATGCGCTGAAAATTTTTCTTACCCACGCCTCCGGTAAATTTAGATCCAAGACGCAGTAAACGCTTCGACGAGGAGACAGATTTTGTACCTGGCATTCTGCTCGTCAAGCCAAACTTGTTTTTATTTTCTTGGAGAAACGCCGCTAGGGGAGAATTGTCCCAGAACACGGGCGAATTCAGACCGAGATCGTTAGAGCACATGCTTTTAGCTCCTTGGAGGCGGCCGGGCGAGAGGTCACGCCCCAAGACTATCCACTGTTCTTCTGCGGCAACGACCAAGGGGTCTTTTAATATCTCGTATAGAACCTGCCGCTGGTCGTCTTCATTAGTGGGTAATAGATTCACATATGGCTTCATCTTTAGGGAAGTGCCTTTCGCGTGTAGAAGTGAATGCTTCGGACATTTATCTCGGATATGCTGCAAACACCAGCGATTCTTGGTATTCGGCGAATGTTCCGGGCATCGACATGTCATTTTGTTGACCTCGAGCTGAAGCTTCTGCCAATCGTCAAGAAGCTGCGCACTTTTTTCTTCATGTGCCTTAGCCTGCTTCTTATCCTCTTCTACCACAAGCTTTCGAATCCTCTCGATTTCCGGATCGTTAGCTGCGCAAATTACCGCTATGTTTCGCTCGTCGTAAGATGTAGTTGCCGCAGGCGAAAGGCCCCGAAAGGAATGAGTCTCTCCTGCTTTTCCTCGTTGGTCGAAGAGCCAATTCTGATAGATGTAGTGTAGTAGTGAAGCAAGTGCAAGAGCGACGTTGTAGTCCTCTCGTACTAGTAACATACACTCAAGCTAGAGCTGTTCAGTAGTATTATTATAATATGTATACATAGGTAGAGGTAGAATTTGCAGATTCATAGTACAAGGTCAAGATGATGATAACAATCATCAGCATAATCGGCATGATGTCAAACTAAGAGCTCAAGCTTTCTCTCCAAAACCTCAGCCCTATTTTTCGAATTCTGGTTAATACCTTGATGAACATTTTGAATATTAGCCGTATCAACAAAATCGATTACTTATCCAAAAAGTACCTCGAGAGAGTGCAGTTGTTTCTTCTGCTCTGAGGTCGCCAGATGGATGAGGTCGAGAAAACTCTTGCATTCGATGTTTAGAGGGAAAACCTTGTAGACGGGAAGCTTTTGGCACATGAGACGGTCGAGGAGGAGTGCGCACGTGAGCGCCGTTAGCACAGCGGCCCCAACTCCACGGCAATCAGCCAAGATAGACGCAGGGACAGAGGTCCTTTTTTGCATTGCGCTATACGGCGACACGACATCACACACAGCATCAGTATGAGGCTCCTCTTCAGTGGTAGACACGCCATTTCCTCCGCCGTGGAGGTCGTTAATATTACTATGTCCTTCCACCTTTCCCGCAGCAGTCCCTGATGGGTCTTCGCTGGTGCCTGCATCAGCATTCCGCTGTACAGCTCGTGTTGTTCTTGTCATCCCTTTACCATGATGTACTTTTGCCGTAGACGAGAACGTCGACACATTTGCGCCGTTCAATCCTTTAGAAGATGTAGAGTTCTGCGCCTCCTCTACGTGGCCCAGTATGAAGAAATCCAGTGCCAGTTTCAGATATCCAGGAAGCAGTCCTCGAAGAAGGCGGTCATCGTGCAGAGCACAGTCACTGAGATCCTCTGACTCCCCTAGAAACCACAGAGCGCGAATGTTAGAGTCCACATCCAGAAGTAAATGGTGGATTTCTTGCGACTTGTTCCTGGAGCGAAGCCCCTCTGCCCTATCCGGGGCTACCTGCTGCCTCAGCGCAGCGAGATTCTCGCATACTCGCCGGACATCGGGATCTGGGTGCTTTACATGACATCCGAAATTAGCAGAGGGAACAAACTGAGGAAGCTGCGAAGAGGATTGCTCAGACTTTCTATTCTTCGCGGTCTTTGCTACACTCCCCAGTGTGTGATCCCCGATACGGCGGCCAGAAGCATTCTCATTTTTGCGCACCAGTGATGAACCAGTAGAAGGTGAGGTTTTCTTTTTCTCCGCAGAGCTTGCACAGATTTTATCTTCATTTTCTTGTCTAGTTGTAGAGTTTGTAGTAGATAATCCTTTGCTCAATGATGCAGTCACGAACGCCGCGGCCCTCGCTGATGAAGCAGCGCTCTGCACCCTCGAAGAGAAATCTATAACGGGGGCTCGCTGACGTCGAACCTCCGGCTCGTCTGGCGGCGGAATCTCGTTTGATTTTGCTGCACTGCTGACTGCAGCCCCTGACTTATTTTTACTGAAATCCTGTAGCACACCAAGCAGGCGCTGGAGCTCGCGCCTGCTGTTCTTCATCTCGTGCACACAGTCCGTTTGCGCATCCTCTTTGGTAATCGTCACTACGCAATCCTCGGTGTTGATGTGCTCAGGAGCAGCAGGATTTTTCAACAATTTCGCGTCGCCTTCTGCACATCTAGTATCGGAGCGCTCATCGTCTTGTTCAACAAATTCATTAGCGGTAGCTATGGCAGCACTCGCTTGACGGCAGCAATCTCCGAAGTAGCGTCGTTCTGCCTGATTTCTATTGGGCGTTGATTCATCCGTCGTAGACCTAGGCGTCGGTGAGATCGTCCGCCCGTCTCCTCTTCGCAGGTCACAATGATGCGTCAGCATCTCCTCTTCGAGCTTTGCTTTTCTGCGGACCAGCTTAATGGCGCCTTCTTTGATGCTTGAGGTTCGTAGTGCGCAGAAAAGGCGGCGCAAGTGGCGTTTCTCGCGGCGTTGCCCTTGTGTCGGAATCACTGAGCGCAGAGTGAATGACAGAACACGAAGCCACACGCATTTGAAACCCCAGGCGCCGGTGTTCAGAATTTGATCGCAATAGAACCGACAGAGAGTCCGCATCACGTTCCATCCCGCAGATCGGCGCCATGGCTTGCGACCAAAAATGCTGTATTTCACTTGATCTCGATATTGCAAAATTGTCTGGCTTCCGATAGGGTCGGACATCTCGCGGAAACCAAGGACTCTGGGAAACCAGTCACTCGCCATCAGCGGATGCGGAACGTTGTTCAGAAGGTCATAGCTGACCGCACCAATCGTTTTGTGTTGAGTGCCTCCCTCAGCCGCCACCACCACCAGCTTGTTCTCACTCATCGCAATTCTTTGTTGAACAATTTGGCTCTCGCCTAGTTCCGCACTTCGCTTCGACGTAGCGCTTGGCTTCTTTCGACCTGCGCTGAATCTCGGAGAGAATGCACGAGGATCGTCCTCGTTTGCCAAATGCGTCAATGTCGAGGAAAATGCATCGCTTTTCACTCGCCAAAACTCACCCACGTACCGCTTTGCAGGAAGTTTCAAGAAGACCCGATACGAATGAACGATCTGAATGATATTGTTAGTGGGGTTCAGAGAAAACATGACGACAATTGGTGAAGGATGTACTACGTGATCGACGAGCGAAGGACTAAGAAGGTATCTAAATGCGTCGAAGCGAACGGTAACAAAGAGTCGACAGAAGGGGACTTTTAGATTAAGAGAAACTGACACGACGACGTCCAGCGCGTCGACGCCGTGTATATTTTCTGACTCAGACAACTCTCTTCCTCAAAAGCAACAAAAAACTGTAGTTCTTGAAGACCTCGCTTGACGGCACCTGCACATCCCAAATGTGCAGGATTGCGTTTTTCCCGCCATCGACTGCGCATCTTTCAACGACGATAACGGCATTTTGACACCGAATCCAGAGGGCGAAGCAGTGACCCGGCTTTAGTGTGGACAAATGTTCGTGTACACGACTCTGCACAAGCTCTCCTTGCGGGAGATCCATAGCTTGGAGGAAATTATGGAGAAACTGGCCCAGCGGTAGAGGGCTATGAGGGTTCGAGGATGATGGCAAGTACAGGACGTCGATTTCAGATTGCAACTCTTGATCTTGCTTCAAGAAATTCTTGAAGTGCGCGACCGAGCGGGCCTGCGCCTCGTTTTCTTGCGTTGCCGATGGTACAGCCTGCGGCAGAAAAAAAGAGTTGAACACACTCAGGGCCAGCGCTTCCAAGCTTTCTTCGTTGTGGTGTGCTTCTTCGGCATGTAAATCGATACGATCCTGCTCTTTGCGATCAGGGGCCACTGCATTGTCCTGCTGATCGACACGGGAGGATGTATCTTCACGACGAGATAAGAGGCTTTTGCCAACGATATTTTCTTGATCTGCAACATTTGTCGTTGTCGTGCTGCTCGCGTTTACTTTGTCACCCGCAAGTGAGAGAGACTTGTCTTGCTCAGGAGCTTCCTGTTCAATGCTAGGCAAGGTGACCGTCGCCAACCCGTCTGAGCGAGCTGTGCTGGAACCTGCCTGAGTTCCTGCGTCGGGTGCCGACATCCGAAAGAGTCGTTCTTGTTCCTTTCGCGTCTTTACAATGGTAAACCCAACATTTTTATGGTGGATGTAAAGTTTTCATCTTTTTCTTTCTACAGCAGAGGCAAAAAGAGCTAGTGATAGGCAAAACCAAAACCGTTGTTGTGCTTGAAAATACTCTTCAAAATGAGTTTTATGTATACACAGCGACTTTGAATTCTGTTATTTCACAATGATCTCGACTTTCAGTTTGACATTGGACTGGGTTTATTTTTTTTACGTACATTTTTAATTTTTCATGTGTTTGTCGTCTCCTTATCTGAAGAAAGATATGAAAATCATAATCTGCTTGTCGTGGTGGTTCTATTCTAACTTTTTCGAGGAATAAAAAACAAGAAGAGGTATATTTTCCAAATAAGAAATAAGTAGATCTGGCGTCAAAATATTCACTCACAAGCATATGGATATGCCCCCAGAGGGACCGGTTTGAAGAACCCTACTTCTAGATGCTTAGACTCCTGACGGATTTTGTTGGTTGCAGGGGAATGGAGGCGCAGTTCATGCGGACCAGATCTGCAATCATTACTCATGTGTTGGTGACAGGCACTATGTAAAGGCATGGTGACCACGGTGAGGGCCGCTTGAGACGACAATAAAAATCGACACCTTGTTGTCCTTCTTCTCGTGGCTACTTTTACAACCTTCGACTCAGCAGGAGGAGGAGATGGTGCAGGAACTACAAGATGAGTCTGTAATGATTGAGGTTATAATTATTCATCCGCACAATTATCAAGCAGACAACTGCATCGACTCAGCCTAGAAAACCGACAGACGGAGACGCTATATCAAGAAAGACGGCATTTTTGCTTCAGTTGTAGCACGTCCGAGAAGGCACGACATTATGAACTTCACCAGCGTACGACAAGTACTAGGTTGATGTTTTTGCCTTGTCCTAGGCAAAATTTTCGTGGATCTTTCTATCAATATGTTCCCTGCACATCAACATGAGGAAAGACGTTGCGAAGGACGGCTGGACGCGCCGGGGAGTCTTCACGCCGGAAATTCTGGTGGCGGCTTCGGATTTACTTGATTACGACGGCGAGAAGTCTATCACGGAGATGGTAGTGGTAATGCGACATTCATGATATAAGTCAAAGAATCGCATACGGGACGATTTTCATTTTGTTCTTTCGCTTTGCGAGCGCTGACCTATCTCTTGCGGAACAAGTCCACCACAACTATAAATAGAGGTGTAGGAATGATTATTTGGGAAAGCAGGGTGAGATTTTAGCATTTCTTGGGGCTACTTTCAGAATGTTGAGGGTTCGATGGAACATGATATTGATAACGATATAAGGAAAGGGGAGACTACTACTACATACTACTTATCAAGTACAAGAAGGATGTCTTTCAAGACTCAGGCGCTTCTTGTGACGCGGCACCTTTACGGATAGACGGGTCCGGGGAGGTACTGGAAGAAGAAAACATATTACTGTTTTTTCTTTTTACTTTAATATTATCAATAGCCATAGCGTATTTTTAAAAACATCTATGTCGAGTGTTGTCATTTTTATTCTTTTGTTGAGTGACGAAATAGTTTTCATCTGGTGCAACAATCCAAGTACGTTCCATCTAACAACTTTTCTAAGTAATACAATCTGGCAGGGTTTCGGCTACTACTTCCATTCGTTGCATCCAAACACCAAAGTTGAAACTGGTTTTAACGAGCACAGCGATATGAACGTAAACTCAACATGAGCTATATGCGCACAATCATAGTCATGTGTGGCGCGCAGAACTTCCGCGTACTAACAGGATGAATGCGCACGATCTTCTCGTACGTAGAAGCGGGTGAATGGTCTTTGATTAAGATTGCGTCCGTGATTCTCAATCAGACAAGACAAGAATATCGCGCTCCATGATTCCTGAAGTCAAAATAAGAGGAAGAACTATGACTATGTTCGTAGGAATTGCATCGAGCTACACCATGACACTCCTACGCATCCATATGATAGATAAGAGCTGCGTTGTCTGTCAAATCTCGATATGCGTCGCTTTCTCCTAAAGACTTTCCGGGGATGTCGCGTTGCCGCCGTCGCTTACTCCGTACTGAAGAAGCAAGCCGAGCGGCGAAGTTGAAAGCTCGGATTGCAAATGTCGCGCCTGGCTGTAGAATTGCCGCAATTGCGCTACTGGTGACGTTTTGTACTCGCAAATGCTGTACTCTGAAAGCTCGGAGTCTTCATTTTTAGAGAAAGCACTAGCTGCTTGCAGCTCGTTTTCATTATTCTAACTTGGGTGGAGAAGTTGAAAAGGACGTGAGTACCAGCAACAGGTCCTTGTATATATGTAAGTAAGTACGTATGTCACTAAAGAAATAAAGAAGCTCGGAGCCGTTATCCAAAGTCAGAAACTGAAACTGAATAGCTCAATTTTACCCGTAATACTCCGCGCCTTGCCTGGCAGCACAAAGCCGTCCTTCATGACCAGTGGCGGCACTTTTTCACCTTTCGAATCAGTAAGGGCAAAGCGCTCGAAGCGGCGATCACTCCGACTCAAGATGCCGAAGTACGACATCATTTGGCGCAGAAGATCCTTTTTAGCATACACGCTACCCGCGAACGCATGAAGCGGCACTAAGCTCGTCAGCTCCAACTGCTGGGAAGGACTGCTGAAGCCAAAACCTGTAGAGGAGACGCCAACGCGGGGCTCTGCAATACCTTGAGCGGTTGACGAGGAGCCGCGAGACGACCCGCTGGAACCTACTCTGGGAACAGCCTGTCCTGGGCGTTTCGTCTTTACACCAGTTCCCTTGCTTCGACCAGTAGGCTCAACGGACACGGAGGTCGGGTTTTTGAGTATTACTGTCAGCGCATTCGGCATGCGGTCAGTCAAGCAGTCGCCGTCCTGGTTTGTACGGCTCAGAGTGCAGAATAGGCGTAAATTTCGGGAATTTGCAAAAAGACGTTCGGCCTCATAGTTCGACACCAAAAGAAGAGCCTCCTTTCCTGGTCCCACGGCGAACCGCACCACGAAGTGTGGGACTTTCATTACCAATGTAGTCCGCTTCTGTCTGTCTTCTTTTGTGGAGGACGAGGACGACGTAGTCTCCGCTTGCATAGGGGCATCATGAATTGTCGGGCCCCCTACCGCATCGAAAGCCCTGCGCTGCGACTTAGTTGTAGTCAAGAAAGCTCGTGTGACAAAAATATGCTGCGACGGAAAGGAGAGCGGAGTAGTGTGAGTACCGCCAAAGTCATACAAGCCTCGCAAAGCATGCTCCAAGGGAATAAAGTCGGGGCCCTCTATCTCATCGTTGTTCGGGTGCTGAAGTATTGATTCAGGTTTCATCTTAGCCTTCTATTCAATGCTTAAAGAGTTAAGGTTTGGGGTACAACGAGAGATAAAGAGAAGCTAGTGGCATGATCCATGCATAATATTAACCGTTAACTGAACAACATCCGCGACAACTTGGTTATTTAATGTTCGCGATTTTGAGCTTGTCTGAGGGCAATCCGACGACTATGCACATCATCCGAAAGTTCTGCCAGAGCTAGATATATCCGATGAGCATGAGATCGAAGTCTTTCTAGTTCTAGGTCTAGCATCATTTCAGCTGTTACGATGATGAAAGACTAGACGGCGACTAGAAATGAACTAGTCTACCCCGCCTGCTGATTAAATTACTGATCTAAGCGAACGAACTGATTAAGCGGACAGGTTGAAGGAGGTGAGAGGAGTGAGTAGGGAGAGTTTTTCTTTAAAAACGGCATCTGAGTCTGATAAAACTAAAAGATAAGAAGACAATGAATATGAATAGTATATAAATTCTAAGTGCGCTACGCCTACGAGGCAGCTAGGCGAGGCGCCTGCGGCGGCGGGCAAGCAAGACTCAGGTAGGGACAAGCCGAAGGCTCCCGAACTCCCAGGCGCAGGTCTGGAGGTTGCCGCACGTTCGCGCGCCAACTCGACCTCGCCTTCGCCGCGAGCTTGCAGTGGCTCACGCATGTGGACGGGGTGCGTCGACGCGGATCGTGCTGCGCAAGGGATGCTAACAACGCCTGGGTGTGGAGAGGCGGGGAAACTTTTTGCTTCGCGAGTGCCTGGACATCGCTGGAAGGCGCTCGGCTAAACGCACTGGGCAGGTGGAACCTTTTTTACCCTGCGTTGCCCTCCGGGGAGCGCGCACTACGCGCACTCGTATTTAAATCTCAATAATTAAAGCAAGCTTTAAATTCCACATAAAAATAAGCTCTGGAGCAGAGAGAACAGAAACAGTGCTTGGAATGATATTTTATGATCTACATCTGGATTAGGGGTACCATCTTGCCATCTTTTAAACCATCTTTTAGAATTTGGCTTACCCAGATTACCAACAATTTTTTCGCTTGTTTCAGTTGCTTATTACTTGAAAACAGGCGCAAAACAGGTCAATTATAGTGCAAAAATGCATGGTGACATTGGGCAGAGGAAAGGCGTTCTCTCACTCGCTGATCTGATTCAAATATAGGTCAAATACAAGACAGATATTAGCCGACCAGCAGTCGTGTATAAGCTAAACGCCTCTCACCCTCACAGAGACAGATGGTCCAACTCGGTGGCCAAGGCTCTCTACGGTAGCAAAATTCGGTTACATCTGCAGCGTATCTGAATGACAGAAGGACCGAGAGAGCCGAAAACAGCACAGAAGGACTCTGCAACGTGAAGACATCGGTTTATTGGCGTACTCTGAAACACTGCTTCCCTCTCCACCCGTCTTGCTTGATGGTTAGCACATTATATAATTAACGATGGGTCAGAATATTATCGCGTGCCGATTCTGTCGATGGGATAAGAAAGTCCAAGGTTACAACATGCTGAGTTTTACTATATTCGTGAGGGCTCATACAGCACGGGGCGTTCGAAGGGGGTAGGAGCAGAGGGCATAACACGAACTACAAACTCGATCACATGTAAGCACTGTTTCAAGAATGATATTAAAAAAATGCATGACTTCGAGCATCATTCACAGGTGTAAAAACGTGGGACTTCAATGTAACTGCGAGGCGTGACGCATGACGATCTTCACGGCTTCTTCTTGGCTGCCGGGGCAGTCCGAGCGGTGAAAGTTGCGGATCCTGGCAGCTTGCACTTGAATTTCTTCGGGCCACAGTTCCCAGAACACTGTGGATGAAGCTCCATGAGCCTCTGTTGCGCTTGCACTTCAGCACAAGTCCAGACCTTTTCGATTCGAGTCAGGTCCTGGTAGGCCTCGTCCTCATAGCACTGCTGGCCCCGCCACCAGCCGCAGAAGCAACGGGATTTGCCACCAGGTGCTTTGCATTTCACGTGACTGCACGGACCCAAAGCTGTTGACAGCAGCTGCGTGGAATCATCAACGGGATGGCACCGCAATAGCGGGCCGTTCTTGCCCATGATCCAAACGCGCCACATTATGCCAATTTCTCTGCCACATGTGCTGCAGTGTACATCACGCTTCTTATTCCGCTCATTGACATGCAAGTTCAAGAGGCTTACGTCGGTACGATGGAACTTCAACTCGCTTTGCGTGAGCTGCTCTTTCCCTTTGCCTGTGAGAAAGAACTGACGAGCTATGTTCGCCTCGTCACTCCTGTCAACATTCGCGCTGCAGCTACCTTGCCTGCAGATAAGGTTAGACGCATCCTGCGCATCTGCGCCATCGCCGTCAATGATAACCTGCAGTTGGAAGTCATCAGTTTGACATAGATAGAATCAAAATGACAAAAGGAGAACAACCTTCATGGAATTGGATGAACAATCTACAAGCCCACGTCTCAATGTGTGCCGCGAATACTCACAGACAGACTCAAGCTTGCTCAATTTTATCAAGCAATACCGTGCCCCGTATGCCTCTCTTGCCCAAACTGCGAGCAAGGTCCGGATTGTTGATAGCATCGGTAAGATTGGCATCTGCGTATTGCAGCTGCGCGTCTGATACTACACCGCCCTTCTTTTTTCTTTCGCGTGCGACTCTTTCAGGTTCCAGATGTTCCACTTCCAAGACGCGCCTCAATGATTCTTGATGTTGTGCGTGCGCCTCATACAACTTCATGATTACTGTGTCAGCTGTCTGCTGGATGGTCGAAACATGTGTGATGACGTACTCTCCTAGATTGTTCAGAGCATCCTGAAGAGGGTAAAACTTCTTCTTCACTAGAAACTCCTCTGCTGCCTTCATTCCCTTAGATAGGACGTAGTACACTTCTACCCACTGCCGGACTGTCAAAGAAAGCTGCTCCACGTGCTGGAATAAATGCATCACCATTGGCTTGGTGTTGTTCTCATCATGCCGCCAAAATGCTTCCTTCCCTGCCTCTGTAGGCTTCTCCTTGCCACTCTTCGCAACCGCTTGCGGGGCTGCGTTGCCACTCTCATCTTCGGCAACAGCAGCGCTACTCTTCGCCTTTGCTTTTGCTTTTTTCATCGCTGTTTTCTTAGATGTAGCTGTAGTAGTGCTCGTCATGTTCTGTTGTTCCTTACCCGGTGACGCAGACTCAGCAGCAGGCGCGGCGCTGCTTGACGACGCTGCTCCACCAGTTGTAGCCGGCTCCACGAAGATATCGCTAAACAAGTGGTCCGATGAAAGCGGCCTGAGAGCAGATGGTCGGTTTTTGCGCTCGCTGGGACGCTTCGGCCCATCACCCTCACTCTGCGAAGCAGTAGTTCCCACACCCTCAGCCATATCTTTCTCCTCTTTAGATTTGCAGCTTACAGGTCCTTCTGGGCCCTCTATAATAGGGTCGTGGTCGAGCTCATCAATGTACACAGGTGCCCAGTCGTTTCCCCGTAGGAGTTCTAATCGGAGAGGCTGTTCGCGCACTAGGAAGTGAACTACTTCAGACACGTCTGCTTTACGACTTGACTGATAACCTTTCGAAAACGAGTCACGCAAGAAGAAACCATTCTCATCTGCAGCAACTAGTGGGGTCATCAACTTGACGTCCTTACCCAAAACAATCCGCTGCCGCCCAAGGTCATCAACCTCATACTTCGCATTCTCCACCACGTAAAGGCTGCGGTAGTCGTCACAACTTGCGTTGCGAATGCTTGTGGGCTTCATTAGCAGCGTCAGGAGCTTGGACTCCTCTGCTACCATGCTCGTCGGAAATGGGAACATGTAGTTCGCCGGTTTGTTGGGGAACTCATACGCCTCTACCATATCACGCCCCTGCGCCTTCGGTGAAGATTTTTTACGTGCGCCACCTAGCTGCGGCGAGCCTGGTATTGTTCAAGATTGTTGTGAGAGGTGATGAAACTCCGTCGTTGCAAATAGTCTCTGTTTGATGCTCAACAAAAGGTCAGCAGCTGACTCGTTATTCATAAAGTTCACAGCTATTACCTAGCGGACTGCGCAGCGTCTCCGGAGGCAGCAGCCTTTCAACGCCACATGTTGAAGATGCCGCGCCTGCCGGCTGTGCTGGCAAAACATTCTTCGCAGACATGTCCAAGCTATCAGGCATGTCCAAGTCACTCAGATTAAGGTCGCGGAACTCTGCACGATTCAAGATCAGGAGGTAAACTGTAACCATCGCAATGTCAACATCGTAGACCATCGCGACGAGATCACGCGTCCCATCAGAAACGTTGAGAAGCGTCGGGCGAAACCTGCGCTGATTGTTGATCCAGACGCCGTATATGAACACCGCATGCAGCCTGCCACGCTGCCACGCCTTTTGCCCAGTCACCGTGCGATCGGTGATGAAGTCTAGGTGCTCTACTACTGCAAACTCGGCGGTGAGCATTCGTGGTAGTTGTGTTACGTCATAGTGGAAGTTGTTGAAGGATTTTTTCTGTTCTTCTGTCAGTTTGACGTCTGTTTCATCTACTTCCAAGAGAGTCTTCATCTCCGCCCTCACTTCTTTCTCCTCTAGAGGCGGCATCGTATTCAGATGATCGCGGCACGCATCGAAGGGATCACCTCCTTCAGCATAGTCGAACTCCCTTTCCCATTTTTGCAGGTCCGACATGCTAATTAATCCCAAAGTCTGCTCCTCGAATGTTGGATCTTGTCCCCAAAGATGTACCTTCAGGTCCTCCGTGGTATCGATGTTGTACAAAGTCGTTGGCTGACGTCCATCTAGTGGAGAAAAAGAATCAGCGACACCCATCACCCGGGGCTTTTTGCCCTCACCCTTTCCTTCAGGGAATTGCGGCTGCAGCCACGGCACCCAAGCCGGCACAAGCCTCTCCGCAATATACGTCGGCAAGTTCTGGCGTGATGGGATAGAGAATAGCTATAAAAATAAAAAACAATAAGCATGAAACTGGAAAGAAATGACGGAAGCGCCGACAGTCCGAACCTCGGCAGCTATGGCCCCGCCACCGCGGCTACCTCAATGAAGAGCCGCGGGGCCGGCAAGCTCAGCCAGAAAACTCCCTCGCACCCTACTGAGTATCTAAGAGACCACCGCGACACCAGCAGCCACCCAAGTGGCAACGGTTTCAAGATCCACAAGCAACGTCGTCGAAGCCCACCACTGCAGCGCGCGCCTGCTCTGACATCCTGCTAAAAGTGCCGACGCTATGCGACCTACTGCCTCGAAAGCGGCGACACGATGGACCCGGTTCCGCGCCGCCATTCCTCGCGCGATTTGCCGCAGGCTCTTTGGTTTTGATTCCGCTTTGCCTTGTCGCAGCCGCGTGGAACTCGCTCCGCCCAAATTGCGGGCACTATGTCCGGGTGACCCGCCGCGAAAAACGTTCGCCACGAAGCTCAGAGCTGCGCCGAGTTGCCCTTTCATCCTCCGCCGAAGAAACGGAGAGCAAGCACCCAACCGGTCGCCCCATCTCCCCACGCGCATAAACTAACGCCGCAACGTCAGGCAACTACGCAAACGCTACTCCCAGGCGGGGCATTCTGCTGGCCCCTCCGCTAGTTCAATGCAAGCCGTCCAATTCTGCAAGCGGGCTGCTTGGAGACCAGCCCCGTCCGCGAGCTCTACTGCGCGGAAGCTTTGGACTGAGAAAGCGACTCCGGGTCCCTCTCTGCTTCGTCTCGTTTTGAGTTCAATCCCGGAAAGCCGAAACGCGGCAAGCCCTGCCCGCGTGGATGCTGCTCGCTGCCAGCCGCGCGGCAGAGCCTACAACAGAACAGCGCGCGGCCGAGCTTTAGCACGTGCTGAAGCTGCTGAAAGGGTTGCGAGTCCGCGCGCGCCCGCCTCCCCTGCCTTTTCCATGGCCATGCTTGCCCTCTTCCTGCTGCCGTCGCAGCCACCGCGACCCAACGCGCCCCAGAAGCCCCGACTCAAGCGCGAAGCCCTCCCAAGAAGAGGGCGGAATCAGGGTGGCCGCTAGTGGGAGGAGCGTACAGAGAACGCATTGCCGACCCATGCGCCGCAAAAGCCCTGCGATGAAAGGAAGGGAGCAGCCGCCCCCCCCTGACAGCACCCACCGCCCCTGGCGAAGCCCTCGCGACCTCAAGACTAGTATAATAAAACCAAAAATACCTCCACAACCGATCCCGAGTAGTTGGCCTTGCGAGCCGACTTGCTCAATGCGCCACCTCGTGCTTCGATGTCTCGGGTGGACATCGGTCGCGCATCTAGCCACTCAGAGACATACGCCGTAGCCTCACTGGCCTGGTCACCGCGGACGAAGTTGTGAAACCTTTTGATCAGTGTGGCTTCTGCACAACCCATGAGCCGTTTCTTTATCGCCCATGCCTGCACACTGTGACAGCCGGTGATGGCCAAAATGTTGTCTGCCAAACGCTTCTCGAACTCCATCGGGGACAACAATTTGCGCGGCAACAAGGTGGTATAACCTCGCTGAAGGAGACTCGGCTTGGTCCGGTCGGCATTTTGGCCACTCGCGGGCACTGACATCAAATCATGGCTGTACTCGAGTTTCCTCTCGCCCTCAAGATTGTCCCAGCCAGTATCGGTCATGAAGTCATCTCGATGATCTAAGATCCACTTGATCGTAGGGCCAAATTCTGTGTTCTCGGATGCGTCGATGATATCCTGCAGACTGCGATCACTGCGATCATAGTGCCCATACATGAATACCCGGCTCAATAGTCCAAATCTGCCGCTTGTTGTTCGGATACTCGTGCCGACTACCTGGGTTGAAAAATTCAAGAGCAGACTGAGATGATTCGCACAGATGACTACAACAGAACAATAATGTAGATGCGCGCTGCTCATGCTAACAAAATGCCTCGGCTACTCTCATCAGAATTATGAAGGAACAGTCGATAGGTTTGATTTCTGATGGGAAAAGTAGATACCTTCTCGAAGTGTCGCCCTTGCAGATTGGCAGTGAACTGCGCGCGGTCGTTGCTCCACATCGCGTTTAGAAAGGTGAGACCAGGAGGCGAATTCATGACAGAGCCAAGCTCCGCGAGCAACTGCTGCCGTTCATTGTAAAACCACTTCCGAGTGAGCAAGTTGGTATGTGTTTGCGCGATCGCTATCGTATGATACCACATCTGACACCGAGTAACTCGATCAAATATCAGTATGCGCAACTCGTCCTCCACGGAGTCTAGGATCTTCCATAGCACGACCATCAGAGCCTTGTCGCATTCTGGCTTAGGCGGTCCCGCTTTGTAGCCTTCCGGCTCCTTCTTGCCTGGCTTTGCTTTAGCAGCTGCTTTAGCCTTCGCTTTCGCAATTGCTGCGTCGCGCTTAGTTCTATCTTCGAACCCAGACACCATTGGAGCTGCAAATGCAGCTGCAGGCGCAGCCGGATCAGCCGCTTCACCACTCGCTGCACGCTTATCATCTTCTTTATGCTGTTTCTGCTCCTCGCTATCACTCCCGAAATCCATCGCGTCTTTGTACAAGCCTGGATGGTGTGAAAGAGGGGGAGGTGAATCCACAAAATTGCTGCACAGTGAGACGATTCGATGCAATTCCGAAGCAGCTGGTTGTAATTCTCGACAAGAAAGCAAAGCAACTTCATTCGTCATCAGTGAGGCCAAATACAGGGCGTGTGTCAGAATTTCTTCTAGAAATATTCATCGCGGTTTGCACAGTTCTACTCTAGATAAGCTATACCAGCCCCCTCGCCCTCCTCGTCCTTCTTCTTTGCGCTTGCATCTGCAGCGCGGAGCGTTTCTCGCGCGGCTGCCAAGTCCTTCGGATTGAAGATAATGCGAGTCACGCCCTGTTCTGTTTCTTCTGCAACAACTGCGCGCGCCCTAACGCCAAGATGCGCAGGTTTCCACTTCCGCAGATTCGACTTGATGATGAGTCGCAGAAAAGGAAGATTGTCAATCACCCACGAAGACGCGAAGCCCTGCTTGAACCATCGCACTTTTGATGTGAAGTTCGAAATTTCGCCTCTCATCTTCTTCAACCTCATGCGCGCCTTCATTACCATTTCACTACTAGTGAAGGGCACCGCTAGAACTGCCTCAAAGCGCTTCTTGTCATCCGCCATCATGTCCAGAACCGTCGCGTCGTCCCGCTTCAACAGAGTGTTGATAAATCTCCCCCATCTCACGGCAAAAACCCCGTCGTGGGTCGAGCGGACCTTCGTAAAGCGTCCAAAATCTGCAGGAAGTATATCTTCCGCGAGGCGCGCGCAGTCCCTGCTTTCGACATGCGGCTGATCAAAGGAGTGATGCACCAGCGCGCCGTTGTGCATCAACCAGACCCAAAACAGTCGCTCCTCAGAACCTTTGTCAGAAATGGAGTGAAGAGGACGCTCAATACCCAAGTCCCATCTACTAAGCATCCAAGACACGCGCTCTCGGACAGCTGCTACTTCGCCACTTTTTCTAAGTTGAGTCTTCTTCTCCGCTTCTCTACGCTCCAAGAAGTTGTCCTCCTGCAGGATTTTATCCAGGTCCGCATCGCTATACTCAGGTAGTAACAAGGGAGGCAGTGTGATTGTTGTCAGTAGGTCACCGCTGTACCAATTCCCCCGAACTCGTACTTGTTTGATTGTTCTGCCGCCACTCCTGACACCGTCGAGAGAAAGACCTACTGGCTTGTCCTTGTACAGTATAGAAGAGCACTTGGTTTTGATGCTTAGCAGCGAGCTCACATGTCCCAGCGTTAAGACAAGCCGTGCTCGCGTTCGCGCCTGTTTGTTCCCTTGGTCCGATGCTAGAGCGGATATCTTCCGCGCAAAGTCATGAGCTTCGTTTCCCCCTTGCTGTGGAGCGTTCAGATGCTCACTAACGTACTCTGGCATAGCGCTATGACGGGCGCGAACGTAACCTGTTCAAGGATGTAAGGTAGAGGAAGAAGCATACTCTTATGAGCCTAGTGGGGTGGCTGCGTACCTGATTGAAGGAAGATGTTGAAGGAGGAACTGCAGATGTTATCTGTGGACTCATGTCCTTAAAAATGGCGTTGCTGAAAAGAAGCGACATTGTCCTACAGTTCTCATCCATCGTAAAAAGCGCCATAACTCTACCGACACACGAGAAGAAGCGCCTCAGTCAAGCTCATCGCCACCCTTCAGCATGTTGTTGCCCCGTGTGTGCGCCACATAGTCTATAAATTTGGCGCTGCTTCTCGAAGTCGACTCTCATAAGATCACGCGCTCTCCAGGCACGTCAAAAACCCTCAAAAGTTGGTGGATGTCAGTCCCCTGCTGTTACTTTGTGGTAGAGGAAGGAGTTGTAGTCTAAGATCAACGATACCCAGCGAAGCTCTCGTAACTAGTTGAAAGTACAAAGAAAACGATGTACAAATTTGCAACATTTTTGGCTCATATTTGACTGAAGGCCAAATTCTAGTCAAAAACCAGAAAAATAGAGTCCAAATATAAAAAAGAACCTCTCCCGATGCCGTCTTGTTCTGTGCGCATAGTCCTCTTGTAGAATCGACTAAAATTATCGGCAATTTTCTGGAGGAAATCCGTTTTCGCATGTTCCAGCACATACGCCAAGTAAACCCTTGCTTTCATTTTCTTCGGAGCCTCGTCATAACCTGAGCCACAGTACTTGCTGATGATTGAACGGGGACCGAAGTAGAATCTTGAGTGAGAGTCTTGTTCTGAATTATTACGGGTCTACGGATCGAAAATTGCCGACAAACAGCAGAAGATCCGCAGACGCTACTAATCGTCGTAGTTGGTCACCCGCTTGTTTCAGCCCTGTTCTTCACCTACTTCTTCTCGCAAACGCCACCCATATTCTGCTGATATTTGGACCTCTATTGCGCTCGTAGATGATAAGTTTGCCCCCAAGGTAGCCTACTAGTATTTTGCCTGTTTTTGACTTGTTTTGGGGTTGTTTTCAAATAATCCTCGTCAACGGTCGCGACCAGTCGAACGCGATCTCGATACTTCACAAAGAAAGAGCCAGTCCTACACGCCAAAAACAAGCCGATCGAAAGGTCGAAGGGTTCTCTCGGCAGTCGCTTTTGTTTAAGGAAGATACACCCACGCCGATCTGCACGTTCTCCATGTCACCATCCTCAATAGATCTACGGCGCCCACAATACGTTAGAGCGATGAGCCAGATATCACGATCATCCGGACGATTCTTCTCAAGTAAGAACGAGAACTATATCAATGCTAGACAACTCAGTATCTTCTCCATGCTTCTGAGGCACCACTTAAAAAGGCCAAACGACATAAGAGCCTGAGATAGCAACTGCAATGGCCTTAAGGTATGAGCCACACGCAAGTAGTCAGCTGAAGACGCAGGTCAACAGATTGGACAGATCGCGAGCGCACTGCGGGCATCCGTCACTACTTCAGCTTCGCGATGTTTTCTCCTCTACTATCCGCCAAGTTGCGCAGAAGACGTCCTGGACTACTAGTGGGGAAAGGGCCAAGACTGGGCTACAGTCAGTGACGAAGAATCTGTATTGATCATGAATTGAAAACAAGAATATACTTTCACCCTCTAGATCACATGATAAGGAGATAACAGCTGTCGACTATACGAACTTACCAGGCCACCCATTTAGTATTGCATCATCCTCGACGAGTTGACGAATGTAGCGCCTCTTGATCTTGCTGCTCAAGAAAATGCCGTCATGTAGCTCCGCATCAATGTCGTACAGATCGAAGACCTCGGTCAGAATCTCAACAAAAGTATCAGCAAGGTTGTCGGCGAAGTCGTGATTGACGTTTTTCGCCCCACGAGGACGAAGTCGCGCGCTTCTGATCTTGTGCTGGTAGAGAAGAAGAAGCTCGAATACCGGAATGAGGTCTGGCTGCTCGCCGGAGTTGGGTATGAACTTGCGCCAAGGCATACCTCGAAGAATCTCACTATCCCACGATCTGTTGTAGTAGCTGACGCAGCCCTCCTGGGATTCATGCATCTCACTGAAGATGAGGGCCACAGTACTCACCACATTCCCCCTTCGTCGAAACAGCTGAGCATTATTCGATCCACGTTCGAGAATGGAGGCCAGGGAGACAGTCTTGCTTTTTTTTCGTAGATCTGTGACGTCACGCATAGGTAGGCCGAGAATCCATGGACAGACGTCAACGCACAGTGTAGATGTACTATGACCAGGCGCCGTGAAGATTTCGAATCGCAGACTAGTCTCGCAAGAGCTCTCCATACGGAGTACGGGATCAGGGGGCCCTATGGGCCCCGGATTTGCCGCCATCTTTCAGACACTTCTTGGAATGTCAATTCGAATATACTGCAAAGAAAAGACTGGCGATCAGATTGATGGAAGGAGGGGTTCTGTCAGTGAGTGTCGACGGAGTCAGGCAGTGAGAGCTCGTTCTCCATGAGCGGATGACGAGAAGCGAAAGTGCCAGGTTCTGAAAGAAGCGCTCATTAGGACCTCCAGGAAGACAACAAGAGTAGGTCGGTCCGGAACTGTCAGGAGAGATCTGCTAGCGAGCCAACACAGAGGAAGACGCTGGATCGAAGGAACACGCCACCTGCATCGCCCTCGTCCTCGTCACTCTTTTCTCATTATGTATTTCGGCGAAAGTTGTATGCACATTTACAAAAAAAACGTCAACTTTCACAGGTCTATGGAACTCCTCGAAAAAAACTGATGGGAGTATCATGAATCTGTACAGTTCGTCTTGTGTGGCGCTGTGAACATGTACGCTAGTACACCACTCACCAACTTCGTCAACAATTCCGACGAGTAGATGCACTAGCGATGCTGATACACCCACTGCAGCAGGTGCTGGCGAGCCTATGGATTACACCACTCGACTCACAGCAACGTCTGCTTCTAAAAAAACATTGGCAGTGAATGCATCAGCACGGTGGCTGTCACCTCAGCACACCGAGACGCATGTCCAGCCTCCTGCTGGAGAATGCGGGGTGATGGGACCAGTTGTCCTCACACTACTCCTCCCGACGCAGCTAGCACTACAGCTAGCTGCATACTCCTCCACCACTTAGTCACTCGCCAGAAGATCGTCCTCCTGATCTTCTTCACGATCGCCAGACGGAGTGACTTCCGAGTCATGCGCCTCCGACTCGTCATCATCGTCTTCATCCACTGAGGACGTGCCGCTATCCACTTGATCGACGCTGACGGTGTCGTCCGGTTCCTCAGTGGACGTGTCGATGATGGTGGAGAGGTTCTCGACGTGGTCAGTGCTCGTGTCCATGCCATCCTCTTGGCGAGCTGCACCAGTGCGTTTGCTTGCTCCACCTTTCTTGTTCTTGGTGTTCTTGTCGGTGCCACCTGCCGCCGTCTTCTTGCCCTGTGGCGGGAGAGGCGGCTCTGAGTCGCTCGGCCCTTCATCAGCACGGTAGGCCTTGCGTTTCGAAGACGACGGCTTCGCAGATGAAGATGAAGCTCTGGTAGTCGCCTTGCCGCCAGTCTTCGACGCACCTAGACCTGTGCGGCGAGACTTCTTCCTGCGGTCATCCGGGCTGGAATCTTCGCTCTCGGAACCAGAGGTAGACCCGTCGGACGAGGAGTGGCGGCCAGCGGCCTTCTTGTTGGTAGCCTTGTTGGTTCGACCCTTCTTTCCCTTGTCGTTCGGCTTCTTGGCGCTGGTCTTCGGGGCCTTGGTGTTGTCAGCGCTCTTCCGCCTACCGCAGGTAGAAGACCGCTTAGCGCTACCTCTGCTCGCAGCAGAACTTCGACGGGAAGCCTTCGCACCATTGGAACTGCCCTTTCTGCTCTGGTGGCGATGCTTGCCTGCTGCACCTGGACGTAGTTGAGATAATTATAAGGATCCTGACTGGATGAAGAAAGAGGAGCACTGCCGTGAAGTTACCGAGTGGAAGAAGTCAAGGTGCTCCAAGAGCATCAGAGTACAAGTAGTAGATTGCTGTACAAGCATGTTGTAGACCTAATTCGTGGCTTCTATTACACAGCCTAAATTTCATCGATTTGTATTATGGTAGTGCGGGATCTGTCTGCCGTCTTGCTCGTCTCCTTCTCAGACTTCTTGTTGGTGGCCTTGGTCTTCATTGGCGCCTGCTTTTTGCCCCTCGGCGCTCTGTCCATTTCGCTTGGGCTCGAGTCTGTTTGGTAAGAGTTTGATGAAAATCAAAATGATGATAAGATTTGGAGGTATTCAAAGTGAACGCAGTCCAAGATCGAAAACAAATAACGGCACAGAAAGGAACTTTCTGAAATAAAAATCTAAACTGTGCCATCGTCTGAGCTGGAATCATCTGAGGAACTCTGCTTCGCTTTGCGCTTTCTAGCCTTCTGACTCTTTTTGTTTTTCGATTTCTTCTTCTTCTTTTGCTCCTCAGAGCTGCTGCTGTCAGAGCTAGAGCTCGCAGCACCACGTTGCTTGCGACTCTTTTTCCGTTTGCCCGCTGCAGAAGAACGCTTTCCTCCATCTTCCCCTGCAAGCGAGCCGGCCGCCCCAGCCGCGGAACGACCTGTGGATGGGATGGCCAATGAGATACAACATCCCGAGATTGCGGCTTCGGGTGTTATTATAATACAACACGGATAAGATACAGACCTTGCTATCTATGAGAATGAAGGCGAACGTGTGGAAGTACAAAGAATTTGGAAAAGTAAGAAAGTATTCTAATCAACTATAAAAATCAAGAGTACGCGGTCCCGGGCTGCGCAAGGTGAAGCCTGGTGCGGAGTTCTCCTCGATTAACCGCCCTCGCGCGGACTCCGTAAATTCGGCCCACAGGCTCTGCAGCTCCTCTTCACCAGGTTCGGGAGAATTGGTTCGACGTGCCTGCGCAGCATAGACCTCTTTGAACCAGTAATAGAAGATCGTCTCCTCCGAATTATTTCCGAGGCCCCCCATCACTGAGCACACCTGGCGAAGAAAAGATGTAGAAGAAAGTGGCAAGTTACTAAAGGTTTGCTGACGGAAGATGAAATGAACAAGGAAAGGTGGAGCCTGCAGTATGATGATGATTCGCGCTCCTTAGTATGGGACTGCTTTGCTGATGAGTCCCTGGTTTGTTATCATAACTCTATACCCAAGTTCACTCCTCTAAGTTGTGAGTGAAATTCATACGTCACGAAAAGAAACGATCAAGCATGACAAGAATTTAGAAAATTTAGATTACAGCGTCCCAGCTGCGGCCGTATGAATCCACTTGCTTTCCTGTGGCGCTGTGGATCACACCCAATAATAGCTGACCGTTTTGCGGAAATCCTCCTAATTGGTGCGGCGCTGGCCATCCCGTGACCAGTGTGATGGCATAGCAGAGCATAGCTCTTGTCGGGCATACTTCCTGTATATCGGACGCCTGTGAGGTAGAGCGAAGTCGAGATAGGTAGGTGTGTGCTCTTTGAGTAGCAAGGTGAGGCATTTTCGAAGATGTAGCGAATGTCTTATAGCTTTGACGCCAGACGACTAGATAAGTGAAATACTAAGATGCTTCCCGGTGAACTTGCATCAGTATCACCATGCGTTCCTTCATGCTGTTGGACAGAGAGCAGAAATTAACTCCACGCTCCACAGAGGGTTGACAAATAAGCGAGTCCATAGAAATAAGAGTACATCTTTTGTATCTTGCAAACCCACGGTGAGAGCCTTCACGAGGATGCCGATGTTGCACTGCACAAGGCTCTTTGCTACTGGTCCATTACCAGGCGACTGCAACGTAGAAGCCTGCTTATTGCTTCGCTCTAATACTTGAGCTCTTTGCAAGATGTTGCCACGCTGATTGTTGACGCCGTCCATTTTGAGTGCACCAAGGAGCGTGCAGGAAGTTCAAGAAGTGCAATTCACCTCCTGAATGGTCTCTCGCTTGTCCCATCACCCGACTAAGTTTTTGATTGAATGGCCGTCAATCGAGGGCGCAGGGGTTCTAAACAAGGAGTCCATGTAAAGAATGAAGGTAGTTATTGTATTAAATCAGTAAAGCTTAAAGTTGATAAGTTTTCTCCTTAAAAAGGCCGCTTTGTGCATTTTTTTCTAGAAGACAAGAAATAGTAGCTACTTCCTCCGCATGAGGCGCTTCTTTATGAAAACCTCTCAACGCTCTACTACTCTCTCGCTGGCGCGTAGAAGTCTCTCCTTCGCTCTCCGCAATCTTCGCCTCATCAGTGGGCACATCGCAGGTAGTGTGCTAGTGCGATCTCTTCCAGATAGTCCCACACACAGCAAAAGCATGAAGGAATGCAAAAATAAAGCCTGCTTGTGCCTGAGCATCTGACAGCCAGCTTCTAGCTCCTTCTATATCAAAATGGACGCGCTTAAATTGCCGACGCCTCTTAGAAAGATGCAGCAGTAGATCTGTTACACAAGCAGCGCTATAAGCTTTTCCACCTGCTGCCACAGATCACCAATCCACAAGAAGTAAAAGAGGGTATGCCAACAGAGCAAGAGTGCCGTCATCAGAACTCCAAACCAGGCGCTTTGCAAGCCACCTGCCACAAACAACCTCCAGACGCCTACGCGCCTTCACTTCTCCATCGTCGAGGAGGAGGGCACGCTAAGAAGCCCTCCCGCATCCAGGTGTCGCTGCCGGAAGCCTGGGACCCTGGCAGGAACCGAGGGGCACTACCATATCCAACAAGCCGCCCGCGCAGCTACTGTAACAAGAAATCGACGACGGGCAACGACACTCACGAAAAACCCACCTGCAACTCCGCGAACTGAGTACAAAACAGGTCCAAAACAAGCAAACAACAAGGGCCGACGCACACCCAACCCCGCGCGCCACCCTCTGCGACTCAGCAAAACCAACACGGTAACGAGCAGAACCGAAAGAAAACGACTCAGCAAACGGCACACAGCCTGCCACCCTGCTCTTTCCCTGCAAGCGATACGACGCACCCCGAACACAACGGCGACGACAACACACACCGCACGAAGATACGAGCAAAAAACAAGACGAAAACAAGTCCAAAACAAGCCGGCAACACCATACTGCCGCCGGAAAAGCCAAACGCATCACCAAAAGGCACACCTCTGCACCACCTAGCCCACCCTTACGCGCCCCGACATAAGCCCCCCCACCCGCTGAAGAGAGAAAGCCAAAACACCCCACCACGCCAAGTGCCACGGCCTAGCACCACGCCCGCAGCCATGAATAGAAAGCCAGGCGCACACCCATGCTCCAGATGTCTCTCAGCAAGGTGGGCGGCAGCATCTGCCAACAATCCCGAGGGGAGTCCCACAGCCCCCGCAAGCCTCCAAACCACCGACGACGAAAGCCCAAGCACACAGCACCACCCCCTCCCGAGTGAAACACCGAGAAAGCAGACACCCAGAAGGAAAAACCACCAAACGCACACCCAAGACCAGCAAACACCCCAGAAAAACGCACCGCGGGCACAGCACAAAAGGACAACAAAACCCAAACAGACCCGCCACGGCGGCAAAAGCCCCCCCGAAACTAACCCGACCAGGCGGCCCGAGCGCTGTCGGCGAGGCCTCGGGCGCTCTCCCAAAGTCCAACATCTGCCAACACCCAAAAAACCAAAACAGACCCCGAGACCCAAAAGAACTGGAGACGCCTACGCACGACACCAAGCCCCCCGACAACACCGAGGCCGAAGACCTCCCCCGCAGCTAGGTCCGCGAAACTGGAGACCACTCCAGACAACGGACCCCACGCACGAGAGCAGCAAAAACCAAAACCCGCCCGACGGTTTAAGGAGCCCGACAACAAAAACGACGAGGACCCAACGACAGCGTACAACCGCGGCCACCCACACCAACGACGACGACACAACCGAGCAAAACCCCGCCGAGACCCACACGCCAACAAGTGCGCGAACCAAACCCAACAAACGAGAAGCAGAGAACTCCGCCGGCCGGTAAAAAACTGACGCAGCTGCTGGCAAGAAAACAACGAACCAAACACCGGCAGCACCCGAAAACCAACCCAGACCACGCGGCGAGCGTCGCAGACAACGACACGGCCCCCGCCAAAAGGAGCAGAAACAAAGAACCAAAACAAAAAAACCAACCCCATCTTCTTCAGTTGCAGAAAGCCGCGCACCGGCCAGGGCCCCAAGGAGGGCCATCTTTCCCCTACTTTTCTTCTTTCCTCAGGCGGCCACCACGTCGGGGTGGCTTGCCGCGAAAAAAGTTCGCCACGGGCTCAAAACCCCCGCCGAGCTGCCCTTTCCCGCCAGCCCGCTCCTCACGATCACCCCAAAAGCGACGCACTGGCATAAACGAAGCGCCGCGACGTCCGCGGCGGGCCCCTATAGTAATAAGCTTTAGGGTTTTTTTTTCGACTGCCCAAGATACCCCCGCAAATTACTCCAGCCACCGGGAGCCCTCGGCGCCTTCAGCCCCGCGCAACCCTTCGCCGCTGGGCTTCCACGCCCTCGAGCACGATGCAACACCAAGACAACAAGACGCCAACAACAAGCAAAATAGAAGCAGAAAACAAGCAAAAACAACCCGAGGGCGCGGACACTTGGAGCATACGACGCAAGAAAACTCGACCAACCACCCAAAAAACGCCACCACTACAAAACCAGGGCCGCAAGATATCGAAGCGCGCCGCCGCCACCTTCTACGCAGAAAAGCGTCAGGCCTCAGCCATTACCCTGAGCCGCCGCACAAACCTGGGCCCAAGATCGTGCAGCCGGCGACTATCCGCGGTCGCAGGTCAGTCCGTAGCCCCTGAACCACTTAGCACCCCGAAGACCACAAGAACGACACACACGAGCACCCCGCCGCAAGCCCTACACCGCTTCCCCAGGCGGGCTCGTCTCCGCAAATGTCTCCGCGGCCCACACTCCGAGGGGCCCCGCAGCTAGGTGCTCCGCCAGCGTCTTCCCTTTCAGAGGTTCAGCCGCCAAGCCCGCGCAAGCCTCGCAAGCAACAAGACCGCGGCGGGGGCTGGCACACATACGCGCGCACCCCGACCAACTGGAGACGCAGAAGAAGCCCACGGCGAAACCCAGTCCAAAGTCCTGCACAGATCACACAGCAACGGCGGAGCCCGCGCGGCGCGGTCGACGGCACCGCGTGCAGAAACACCAGACCCGAACAAGACATCCAGCAGGGCCGAAAGCTCCGAACAGGTGCAGCACTGCCACGATGGTGCAACGCCACCAGGCGCGGGAAAATGACCACGCGCGGCAGCTTTGCCGCCCATCGTCGTCCGGCCTGCCGCCTGCTCGCTGCCGCTGGCTACCATGTTGCGGAGCGCGCTGCACCACTGAAAGCAACAGCTGAACGCCACGCAGGAAAATCGCCGGCAAAAGCGGACAAAGACAAGCAGAGCACGCACGGAATAAGCCCCCCGCGCAAGGCCCGAACCTCACACCCCGCGCCACACAATTGCGGACGCCATGCCCGGAGCTCTTGCAAAAAGGGCAACAGAACAGTGCCAACGACGCACACCACCAGAACAGCACGCAAGAAGGCCCCAAACTACCATCCCGCGTAAGAATACGCACAGCCACAGGACGGGCGCTACCAAGTTGCCAACACACTACGACGCCGCTACGTCGAACCGCTGCCAATACTACAGCCATGCGGCGTCAGCGATAAGAGGAGGCTGCGGCCGTCGCACGCAGATGTCTGCCCCGCTATCTTCGTAGTACTCGATCTCGGTCGGGGTGCCTTAACCTTATTGCTTGATAGATTTGTTGAGAAGGTAGAGGTCAATGGTGGAAATCTCAAGCAAAAAAAATGTTGGACAAATTGGTTGAAGAAAATTCTAAAAGATGGCGATGCCGATGGGTTGACGGTACCCCTAACTGGATGTAACAAACCGACTCCGGAGCGCATAAGAGAACAATATGTATAATATACATATTGTTCTCTTATGCGCTCCGCAATTATATATGTTCCAGGGCTCAGGGCTGGAGGCCCCCCCCCCCCCCC